CTAATTGTGGTGTCATCCCCTTTTTTCCTTGAAGCGTGCTCACGCTGAAGGGAAACTCAGTTGTAGTTTGTTCTGACTAAATGGACTATGGGGAAAAGGTTTAATGGATTGAAAAATAACAAATTTATCATGGTTAATAGGAAGCTATTCAGGTCAAATTGACCTCATGCGGGGGGTTAAATCGCATCCTAACTTTCTGGCGCTCGACCTTCACTGTTAATTGGGGGCAGAAAAGAAGATTTTTCATTCATCTAACTGTTGCTGAGGAGAGCACATGATTCTCTGCTCACAGCTAAATGAGCATGAGACCCGTCCAGTGGGAACAGCAGACATTAACATTACATGAAACCCAATGCTGCATACAGGCAGGAGAGCCCTGCTTGAAAACACAACTAGCAATTAGCTAGCATACCAAATTGATGTGCTGTCATGTCAGGGGCTAGGAGGCACGTGTCATCAATGAGTCAAGCAGCATATTTGGTTTATGCATCATCCATTCCCAGCAGCAAAGGTAAACACAGCCTTAACCTGGATTACTCAACAGACTGCAGTCTTTTATCAAAACAACTGACAAATTGGTCAAACTTTCCTTTATCCTGTGTGCGGTCAGACTGAGGAGTGGGTGGCGTGGGGTTGAAATGAAAGATGTTGGTTAGTGTCAGACAATCATAGTTTTTGTGGCACTAGTGTTGTGTCTGAAAACCCAAATGTAATTTGCAAGTCTAGCAAACAGACAAATCCTCAGAACATTTCTAAAAAAAGCCTTCAGGAGTAAACTCCAGCAGACAGAGTTGTAAATATACAAAATATATTGAGGAAAACTGAGCATAAATAAAAGCTGTCAGATTGGATTAAATCTTTTAAAGAGGTTTAAAGCTCCATTGGAATATTTTTTTTAGATTAGCCAGTTGTAATCTAATTTGACAGGACAGCTTGAGAGTGGGACAGGAGACATAGACAGAGTGAGGGATTACCTCCTCTTTTAAATCTTCATCTCTGAATCTCTTCTAAAGTAAATAAGATACACTTTGAGTTTGTGAAAAGTCAGAGTTTGTGTCCGGACAAAATATTTCCCCAAACTAATTACATGATATCAAACATAAAGTATTCAATTAATTCATGTATTTGTATATAGATTTTGGCGCCCTCTGTGGACAAAGAATGTTAGAACCCTATGTACAATCATGGTAAACAAATTTAATGTCTAAATCTGGATTAGCGACTTCAAAGAGTCAATTTATGGATTAACTGTGAAGAAAACAACACTTTCAGGTTTTCTTTTCAGTGTCTATTTTGCAGGTTTTGGTTCAAAATCAAAAATAATGTCAAAATGTCTGCAAATGCCTGTAAAGGCATAAAACCAGAGGAAATGGATCCAATATGGGCTCTGGACTTTGTGGAAACTGGACATTTCTGCTATGAAACAAGTATTGAGCCTCTTTTCTGCACCATGTTTTAAATTGCACAAAACAGATTTGGATGGTTAGCTGCAGGAAAGTCATCATCAGTTTAGTGCCAGACAGTTGGCATGAACTCACAGACTCCTGTCTCACCTTTAGCCCAATTACTAAACTACCCCATCCAATACTGCCTCTGCATCCTTCATGTTGTCTGTTATGAAGCTGTGTTGAATAAAGCCATCACTTGGTAAGTGTGGAGAGCAGACTTTCTCTCCTGTGGTGAAAGGGGAGGGGGGGTTTGAAGGGTAATTGGGGCAGATATCCATTTCTATTCTCCTGGTAAAGCTGCTAATGTGGAAAAAGCTTAACCTTGATTTTCCATGGACGGTTGGTGGAGACACACCGTAAACGGGGACTGAGGCTGTGAGGCGTGTGGACACATCACCCCTTCAGGACAAATAGGGTCTGACCAGCAGGTCTTTGGGCCAAGTCAAAGCCAGGAGGACGTGAGCCAATTGAGCCTGGGACAACGACTAATCCGAAAGTATGGGGAAAGTTAGCAGGGATGGAAGAGAGAGTGTGGAGGGGGAGGAGTACTTCAGTTTAAAAGCCATATGATCTATTCACATGCTAACCTCTACTTCCCTTTTTGTGTCAACTCTTCCCAGATCCAAAGAAAATATGGACACATACCCAAAATTTACAAAAATGCATGTCATGACAGATATAATAACTATCCTACTTGTATTTTGACACTACCGCCTGTGTTGATTTATTCTGATTGATTACATGTGATTTTGATTTTTTTTAAGCTACATCTGGCTAATGACTAAAAGGCCCGACATCTTTTTAATATGTATGTTTTCTGGAAAGTTATGGAAGGTTTTCATTTGACCTAATTGGCTGCCAGCATGGTCCACCCTTTGAATCAACTCCAGTGGCATTTATCACGCAGCAACGTGACATCACTCTTTGTATTGTGAGCCGGAGACGCGTTTAAATCAAACTACAAGAGACAGACGGGCTACACCACAAAATTCGAGGCTAAAGTGGAGGATTAAGAGACATTTTCAGAATTGTGTGGTGGATTTTCTCACTGACCAGAGGTGAAATCATTAGCCAGTGAGTTTTTCAACATCCCACTGAGGCTGCTGCCATCAATGAAACAGTTTTAGTGTGATAAACTAGAGCCATAAATTCTAATAAATCCACAGGAATCTGCCCCTTTGAACCAACTCCCTTGGTCCAACAAATTTAATTCTCAGGGTAAGACATGGACAGCCGGATCACATTTCTTGGTTATATGGTAATGCAGCCTACTGGATCTCATTTCAAATAACTGAGATAGTTTTGTCAGCTAACCAGGCCTGATAAAACAACAACCATTATTTGACTTTCAGCACATTGAGCCTATGGATGCAAACAGGGACAACTTCCATCCTTCTCAAATGTTCAGGGTGAACATTGTTGAGGGAATTGTCTATGGGAGGGATTAGCCACATGTGGATAACAACAGTTGTTACTCACTGGCCATTTGAACCCTGAGAACTAACCTTCAAAACCACGGAAAACCCATCAAAACTAAATCCATAAAGTCATGTTCATATTGTTTTTTTTCCATTCATAGTGATGAAGATCGATAAGGACTTGACCAGTCATGGATGTAATTGTTGCTTTTTTAAGTTCCTGTGAACTTTTCTCATATTCTAAACTGGATGTATGTATGGCTGACCTGCTGACTGTCGGTAAAGTGTGGTTTACTCTCTCAGTGACCAAATGTGAAAAAATCATTCCCAAAAGATTAGAATTTGCATCCCTTAATAAATAAACAGGAAGATACACCAGTACAGAGCAGTAAAAATGAAGAAACTTCAATGAAGGAGGTCAAGGTCAAAGTAGATTCCACCTCTGCATTCAGGTGGGCCATCCAGTAAATACATGTGGATCCGCCATCTGCTCTCAACTTTACGCCCTCAACAAACTATCACTTTGACCAACTAACACTCACTGATTGTAAAACCAGAGGTTAGATTTTGGTTTCTTGAGCTCTGACTTCTGATATTTGCTTGTCTTCATTTGATACAGTTGGCCCATGGCTAGTTTTTCTGCTGCTATAGGACTCCATCCATATCACAGACTTTCCTGTATGCTGTATAATGATTCCTGTACCAAAGCCAGCAGCACTTGTCCTCCAGGGCAGCTTTCAAAAGCAAGCAAAATAGTGATTTGTAAAAGGGAAGTACTTAATCTAATCTATGTCACAGCTTTCTCGCAGATTTCTTGACAACCCGGGCAGCTTAAAGCCTTTGTTGAGTTAACATTCACGCCCTGAAATGAATGAGCAGATCAGTCAGCCGTGAAGTAATACAGAGTGGATATATTGCCAGAGCTATGACATGCCTCAGAGACATAGCCGGTGGTGATATAGCTGGTGTGACTTTAACATTTTTCTGGATTGTTACCATACTTGAAAGCGTAGGTGGAGCTGATTGATTCTCCCAGTACAGCTTTAAAAAAAAAACTCATACCCGTCTCACTAAACCCATATATAGAAGAAACAAGTTTGAAAATCATGAAAGTGCCTGTCTTAAATACCGCCCATGTGACCTACTTCTATTACCCAGCTGACAGCACCTCATTCATACACACTGGGAAAGACCCTGTAGTCCTTGGCCTAAGCACATTACATTTATCCCGCTCTATCTTTGACTGTTTCCTCTTGTTGCCTGGATGCCTGTTTTATGTACGCTACTTAATCTGTTACGAAGCACGAATGAGGTCGTCTCTGATTTACCTTCCAAGGAAAAGCTGTCATGTTCAATGAAAAAGAATCAGATTAATAAAGCACATAATTTCAGCTTTTATGAAATGGGTTTCTGCCAAATGAACCTCCCTTTTCCAGGTTTTCCCACAGGTCCTCAGTGCTGCCCAGAGAGAACAATGTCAGTATTATGTTAGCTCCTGGGCAATGAGGAAGGAGAGCTGAGGGCTTTGATACAAACAGCAAAAGGTAGCTAACCGAAGAGATTGACGTTCCTTGTTGGTGCTCTCCATTCAAAGTCATCACAGAGAGCGATTCACATGGATCACTTAAAATTCTGGAGGGGAGGCGAAGAATACGCTGTTGATACTGGCTTATAATGAGAGCCCTACATTCTGAGTGTAATGATACTGTTTGGCTTTCTAATGGGTACACTTGAACTCTGACCCTCCACCCGCTCAACAGTGACCAGGCACTCACACCGACTAAATGGATGCAAATGTGTCTCTCAGGGGCTGTTCATGCTGACAGATACAATTCACTGAGGGTGGTGGCAGAAGTAATAACATCTTTTTAAAACTAATCCATGTAATGTAAGCCAATAAAAGTACTTCCCATTGCACTTCAATTATACATCATTTTATTCATACGCTCAGTCAGATGTGACAAATCATGTTTTCTATCTGTAAATGTTACATTCGTTCAGGTTAATTGTAGTAAATTGGTCTTGCTTTCTAACTGTGCAAAATAAAAACAATCATAACTCATCTTAAATGAATTAAAGTTAAAAGAATGAGCCTGTTTTAAAAATGTCAGGCCTCTCTGAATGTGTTTTTGATGTTTGGGGTGAAAAGAAAAATTCTTCAGAAAAATATAAACAATTACTAGTGGCAGACAGGAAAAAATGTATGTTACGTCTCGGCTCTGTCCATAAGAATACCTCTTATGTAAGTTCTGTGCCTTCACAGCATTTGTCTCACAGTTATGTAATGAAAACCATCTATGAAATCAGGCAATTAAAAGTACCTAGTAGTCTAGAGGCAAATCAAATCCAACTTAAGCTCTTTCAAGCACGCATATACATACAAGTTGTTTGCTTCGGAGTGATTACAAGATTTGGGTAGTGTTATTGTTACTGTGACCCTGTGCTTTGTGAAAAAACTATGCAGTGTGATGCAGTTATATTTCTGCTCTGCATTTGAAAGATGATAGGAGTGGCTGGGCTGTCATGCCAGAGTATTCAAAGGACTCTTTGTGTAGAAGCATTGGTCAAAGCCAGAGACATCCTCCTGGTATTTATTCCAGAGTTCCTCCAGATGCAGCAAATTGTATCAAATTGGGCCACATTAAGGCCCACTTTCATAACATGGATAGCTGCCCCACAGATCTTCAGTGGTTTCCAACCAGAGTTATTTATGCTCTGTAGGGTATTTATGAAGTTAGCAAGAGAGTAAAGGGGTATAAATATCTCTTAAAATGATATTTAAATGTAATGAATAGACGGCTTTAATTGTTGATTAAGAGGGTGGAAGTTGTTAGCTGAAAGTGATGGATCAATGGTAAGAAATGCATGTTAGTAATGTGGATTAACTGAATCAGTGGTTCAATTGAAACCTCAAACAAGTGAGCCTTATTGACAAATGTACAAAATAACCAAATTTATCATTTATCAACGATTCAGTAGCTTCATAGCTCTTATGATAGCACACAACTTAAGTTTCAAAATGTACTTAACAGCCATATGAAACTTATTTTCCTTCGCATAATGCATCAAAGTTACATGAATCTGGAGGCAGGGCTCCAGAAAACACTTGCGCACACGCTTCTCAAGACTTGGCAGCACAAACTTTACCTTGAAAAATGACCAGTCTTAAACAACAACATTATGTAGTGTTAACAAAAACTAGACATCACGCCCTGTGTGTTTTATTGAGGATATGTTAGCTTAATATGACTAAAGCATTGGCAAGCTGGGCAGATAAATAGCTTAGTCTATTAATGAACAAAAATGTCTAGTTTCTCATTTTTATAAAGTTAAATTCAGGTGAAAATAATTTTACTTACTTGTCAAATTGTAAGAAAATATTCAATATTTATGTACATTTCTAATAGTTGATGTGATTGAAAATCTACCAGAATGAATACATGAGGACAGGGAGTGCCAATCAAGACACACTTGAGTGCGTCTGGCTGGACTGTAAGGTTATGTCTGGCTTACTACAAGTAAATAATACAGCTCTCCATACTCGGGCTTATAACATGAAACTGTACCAGAGTAAGCCTCTTACTGAGGCTATACAGCAACACTTTGACTGCAGACAGCTGCTCTTATACTCACCAAAGTCACTAGGCAGAGACCAGATCATGGATTTGTCTGTGCATGCCCTGGTCACCTTCAAGGCCTCTGAGGTCAACAGGCTGTGATCTACGACATCTACACCCACCAGGCAACACGCCTGGGAGAGAAGGGCGTCTGCTGGACAGTCCTGAGACAAATGTGTCCCGCTTCTCTAATTAGATTTCTCATGGGGTGGAAGGTAATCAGCTGTGGCACTTAGCCCGAGTCAGCATACAGACATAATGTTTCCTTGGAGATCAGACATGAGGAGGACAGCATTACCCCGTTATTGTACAGTAACCTTTTTAAAATGCTTTTGTTGCATATTGAACCCTTTTAGAAGATGTGTACACCCCAGCTCTGGTAGGAACCAGGATGAATGGGCAAACTACTGGTCTTCCCCTCAGCTGCTGTGTATTTTGGATTGCAGTCTTGTGAGCGGTTGGTGCTGAGGGACCACTCATGAGAGAGACATGCGTACATCTTTGTGGGTTTAATGGGTGGAGAGAGCCAACTTTCTTTGGGTTGTTTTAAGATCTTATGGGAGAGGAGAAATGTGTTGTTTCCAGACGGTCAGAGGGAAAGTGATGATGCAGCATGGATGAGAGTAGGAGATGAATGAGATTTGTTACATAACCTGACCAGTTTTCCAAGATTTCAGATTAAGTTTGAACAGAGAGTGTCCAATACTTTTCACTGCTGGAGCAACACTTATCCTACTAGTTCTGTATGTTGATATTTATTAAACAATGCTAATGCTGTAATAGGATGAAACATGAAGCCTCCGCTGTATGCAAATCCGCATAAAATAGAATGTCTTAACTCTAATAATCCAGCAATCAGTGCTGCAAAGTCTAAAACAAAAACATCTGGCTCTCTAATTTCCATGATATTGTAGTAGCCTGTCAATTCGAATCTAAATTAAAGCTAACTATTCACGCAGCTGCATTCACGGTGATTCCAATTGTCCTGTTCAAAGGAATCAGAGAAAAAGACGCGCAGTAACATGATGTAACTTGGCAGAGAAAGTGCGTGTGGGCACATGGACCGAGCGGTGCGGCGAGTGAAGCAACATCACCGCCGACGAGGGGGAGTTTCTTCTCGCAAAGCGCATGCAATCCCTACGAAAATTCCCGGTGACTTCAGATCCAAGGAGGTGGTGATATTCATGGGAGCACGATTCAAACTCTCTCACTTGGAGTAGGAGCACAGCTTCAGCAGCCCTGCAGCCAACACGCTGCTCTCCTTGCTCCTCTTGTTTGACATAAACTAAAACAGATGGATTGATGTTTGCTTGAAATAACTATTTTTCAGCGCTGGAAGGAGAAAAGTTTAGAGTTTCTTAGTTTTTTTGGACTGCAATAGGGTGCTGATTTGACAACCTAAAGACATTTCTGCGTAAAGTCTTACCTGGGCATTATGAGGAGGTATCCAGGCTTTTTTCATTCCTGGGAGAGGATGCCTTCTTGTTGAACTCTTGCAGGCTAATCGCGGATATTTTCAAATAGCTCATATTTCAGTAGCTCTCGTTTACTGCACAACAGTCTGCAAATTTACGCGGTACTTTCAAAACTTTGCACGCACAAAAATGGACCGTGCAGGATTTGCTGTTTTCATGCTTTTGACTGTTGCGCTGGTGCAGTTTGGTGACAGTGAAAAGGATCCAACAGGTGGGAGGACAGCGGGTGCAGGGACTGACCGGGCGGTCTTGGAGCAGCAGCAGTCCCCGGAGAGGAGTCAGGGTCAGCCGCCGAGGGGGTCAAAGGACAGCGCATCCTCCGAACCATCCGCTGAATCTTCTCGCCCCTCCGGGACACCGGTCCGAATACCCAGAGGGACATCTTCCCACGGGGATGGCAGACATATCACCGCAGCAGCACAGCTTCATGTCGCAGGTTCCTCCCGGGAGGACCTCGTCTCTGCGCCGCGGGATGGTGCGCTGCGCACCGCGAGGCACCCGGCCAGCCAGCAGCACAGAACCAAAGTGAACCGCAGGCAGAGCAACAAGCACGGCTCCACTAGCACTAGGAGACTTACAGGGTAAGAATGACAGCCAAGTTTTTTCAGTGCACTACTTAAATGTTTCACTTTGCTTGATCCAGCTGCTAAAAGTATTAGAGTTCCCTGTATGAGCAGTGTTTTTGAAAGAATCTTTGTGACCTATTTTACAGTACACGAGTCCATGTGGTTTACTGTAAAAGTAGTGGTGGCCCACTTTTAGCAGAACCTCTCTTCCTGTAAGGCGAACCAAGTGATGATGTAACAGAATCACCCAGAGAAAATAGCCTCCTATAAAAACAAAACTACTGGAAAATAAAGTGCATTAAAGTGTCATCCAGTGGGTGAAAACAGGTCTATAGATAACTGTAATGTATTGATTTTGTCACGAGGGTCACAGCAGGACATGGAGTGATTGCAGAGGTTAAACCTTGTTCTGATTACAAGGCTGATAGTTGAGGCGTATAATGAGCAGCAAATGTATATGAATGGTTGAACTGCATCTGAACTATTTTGAAACTAATGCAACACTGCATTATCACCATTTCCTCCCATTACTTCACATTACACTGTATTTAAATCGTAGTAGGAGAGTGGCTGCAGACTACTTCAATGTGTGTGCCCCAGTTTTTGAGCTGTTGCCTGTGGCTATGTTTTGTAGTGGCTCATATGGAGTCTTGGCTGCTGTTTAACATTTGCGAATTTTCTTAGTGATCAGAAACACCTGTTTCTCAGATGGTCATTTCTCAGTGCTGGAAATCTCCCTTTTTTGTCTCTGCTGAGCTCCAAACAGGACAATGGGATGTTTCCATATTAGAGACCCTTTCTGCTTGTTAAATGAACCCTTGAGCATCAAGTCCTGTTTGTTCAATTGGGACAAAGCATGATACACATTGGAGGGGAGAATGTTTACATAACAATCAGAGAGGGATTTGAATGGCTCAACTGGGGTTGAAATCCAAATGAAATATCTCTTTTGTGTGCCATCATCAGGGCCTCTTACCTTTAGGAAATAGATTGTTTATATGGCCAATTTAAGGGCCTTGAAAGCAATAGGAGCCAGATGGGTCACTACCTGTCTTACACTGATAAAAACCAGGAGGATTAATTGAATGTCAATTTCATTCAGTACGTTGTTTCCCCCATCCACCTGCCAGCTATTGATGTACTTTTACCTTAGGGTGGCTTCAAAATGTAGCTACCTGAAACCTTACATGCACTCTTGAATACCTGAGAGCAATGATTAGTGTTAATGTCCAAAACATTTAGAAATTTTGTGCATAAATATGTAATATGACTCACTGTTAATACCCCTGATTCATCATACCACAAAAACAACTTTTCCCAACAAACCCGACAGTTGCACTGATGCATGTCTATTTAAAGCCGCTCATAAAGAAAATAGCTGGACCCAACATGCTTTATTACAGCGTGGAGGGAATGCCTTGCTCGGCATTGCCAAAAAAACATACTGGAGTATTGAATGAATGGGCTTCTTTGAGTTGAAAAGGAGCATGAAGGTGGAGTAACATAAATTTTGCGGGAACATTACCTTATAGTGGCCTGCTTTGTGATTTTAGCACTTTGATTCATTAGCTTCGGATGAATCATCCGCTGCCTGTTAGAGAAAGTGCTTTCATGACACATTTCCTCTTGGAGTTCCCAGTCAGTGCACTCCTTTACTGCACCCTGAGGCTCTGGCAGCGCTCTGCTCACTTAACTCTGCTTTACATTCATGTTGACTCAGAATGACTCCCCGTCTGTTTTCATGCACCTGTCAGATATTTGACTCATTCAGATAGCTTAAAGGTGATAAACACACCACAGCCTCGTGATGGGGTTTGAATAATAATACAACTAGGTGTGAACATGGTGTTATCTGTATTTCATCCTGAGGCGTCATCCTTACTATGTTGTTCAAAGTTCTCTATTACATACATACATTTAAACCCTGTTGGAATTTGAATGTGATGACTGAGGTTTTTGGCACGAGCCCGGCCCGATGTGTTTGATTTATGACAAAGCTGAGTCTGCCAAAGGGCCCAAACAACTGCATGTTATCCCTGTGACGCCTCAGTAAGGCCTGCAGTATCTAATGAGTGCAGTCCTACTAAGGTCAATGAGTCAATTCCTGTTATCTTCTCGAATCACTGTGAATCAGACATCCATTTACTGTAATATCTTGTGAAAAGATGATGGGGCACAGAGCCATGCCAGCACGTTGACTCGTGCCCTTAAGTTGCTCTTGCGGTCTGGTGCCTTTTCATCTTTCTTGCTGCAAGAATTGGCCTGCGCTGCAAGCACGGATTAAAGAGTGCAAAGAATCCAGTTATTACTGTTTAAAACTTGTCATCTCTCATTTGCTCAGTGATTTATAGAAGATGCAGGGTGCTTTTCATGTCCCGTGTGTTTCACATAATCCCTTCTAGGCTCAGATAACCCTGTATTTGTTTTCGCTCCGGATTTTTCACTTAATACAAAATGGGACTTGTGGGTCCATATTCAGATAGAGTTTCGTGACTTGCCCTAATTTTTTTTATTGAATAAAATGTAATTATAGCAAAATCTCTGAGGTGTTAATATCGATAGGCCAGCCACGTCAGTATGATCTGAAATTATTACAGCGTGCAATCAGATCGCTTTGGCATGCAATGGTTTAAGGCCTTCCATCTTCACTGTTATTGTTTCATGGATTATCAAGATCCTCTCTGTTATCAGTGTTTTATTGTATTCTAGTTTCCAAACATGTGTCTTCTTTTCCTCAGGCCCAATGTCTGCGGAGGTCAGCAGTGTTGTTCAGGCTGGGCTTTGGCTCCTGGAACCAACCGCTGCATAAAACGTAAGTAAAACTTGTTTGTCCAACTAGACTACACTTGATTTTACTTATACTACAAAGGATAACAATCCCCTTTGTTAAGAGGCCATACATAATTGTCAAGTATTTTAGCACATTGACATACATTATTGCACCTTTCTGAGCTGGTATGCTCTAGAGACAGAAAGGCTTTATAAACTTATGCACACAGACTGAAGAATAACACAGCAAATGGCTTCTAATGACCATCCTGTCAAATGGAATTGCCAGTGAGAGTTTTCCTGGCGTGTTATTGGCCCCATCATTATGTTCATCATGTGGTGTTTGCCTTTTCCTTTCATGTGCAATCCTCACACAGAAATCACCAAAACTTAGTACTGGGCTCTGTTTTTGACACATCTTAATTATGGGTGGAACTGCTTCTTCATTTATTGAACCAGCTGTTAAATGTCCTTACACACCAAATAAATAAATAAAAGTAGAACAGAAGGCACTGGCTTAGGAGGAGTAATCAGCCACTTCTTAGGACTTAATATTGACCAAAGAATTTTTACAAGTTACTTGTTAAGACTGCTGAGAAACTGGGCTAGTATGTTAAAGTCTTAACATTGACCCATAAGGGGCCCAGTTGGCTGCAGCTTACACCAGATTTGCTCTTTGCATGTCATGTTTCAATTTCACGTTTATGATCCCTATTGTTTTCTACAGACTGAAATAACACATTGGAATTGGAGCTTTTTTTAGGGAGAGTTATCTTAAAATTTTACAAGCAGAGCAAAACCAGCAGCAGTTGGCATTAAATCTCTGACAGTTACTTCTGTTTCTCTGTTTTTATCTGTCTACTGGATCCAAACTTCCTCTTGACTTATTTATTCCTCTCCCAGCTCTCCTCAAATGATCTCCCTCACCCAAACACATATGAAAACACAGTTAACAAACATTGCAGCGACTCAATTACACAACAAACTGATTGGCCCCAGCAGCCTTCTAATTAGATCTCCCTCCCTCGTGCCCGATGCAAACCCTCCTTCCTTCTTTTCTCAAGTCCCAGCTAAAGGCACACTTACAAAGGTGTAAATTACATCTAACACATAGCTGCAGTTACACAAATTATAAGGGTAAATACTCTGAATCTGCCAGAAAGTAACAGGTCCAGTCTAACACTGCTGTGTTAAACAAGTAGGACAGTGCATCTGAGCGGGCGGAGGGTCCGTCCAACCATCTGGAGCCTCTTAATGCTTGGCCCTCACCCAGGTCTGACTGGAGGCTGTGCTATCATCAGCTGAGTGAAGCCCCACAGCAGGCAAAGTGCCAACACAAAGGCCTCAGACTGGAGCTGGGACTGGAAGCCCCCACATTGAAGACCTCCATGGAGGAAAACAGGCCCAGGCTATCTTTACTCCTTCACTGCCAGAGACCTAGGCTGCTTTATTAGGAGATGGCAGCATGAGAAAACATGTTCACAGTGGGGGAAAGAAAAGGAACAAAACCTGTCTGCTGGAAGACAAAGTACAAACACATCTTGGGTGAGGAAATTCTGGCTAAAGAGATTGAAGTAATAACTAATATTAAAAGTGTCAGCTGTAGGCTTTGACTGCAAGGCTAGAATTATGGCATCCTGACAATAACTCTGTGTCCTCTGAGTTGAGCTCAGAGCAAATATATGGCAGGAATTGTTGTCCGTGGAGTGCGCTTACTTGTCTTAAGAAAAGTGTTTATAAAAGACTCTTAGTCTGGGTCTCAGCGTGGGTCTCCTTGTCTGGATCTTGAAGGACTCGGCCCTGCCCAGGTCCGGGAGGGTTTGGTGCTGACTGATTCTGTTTTCAACTCCAGGATGGATTGTTTGCAGACCTGTTTGTGTATTTACGCAAATGCCATGTGCTGAAAATAGCCATTGTTGTGTGTCAGAAAGCTTTAATCCATTAAGAGAGGAACAGAACATTTCATTTCCACTGCTGCGTCATGTTTATTTGTCGTCTGCTAACCTCTGTAATTAAAGATAAAAGGGTTTTATGGCCGATGGTAATTTATTAATGGAGGCCAAAAATCAAAGGTGTGTGCGTGTTATGCTAGGTTGGTAAAGTGAGGCCAGGTGCGAGCCTGACTCTACATCCGATTGTGGACTAACAAGCTTCCATTTTGTTTTTCTGTCTGCACTCATACTTATTTCCTTCTGCGCTTGGATTTACATCTATTCATCAAATTATATTGTTCCTAAGATGAAGAGGAAGGACATATTGTAGCCTCACCCACTCACAGCCAGTCATTAGTCCAGTTTGAGTTATAATAAAAGACTGTAACTCCTGAGTTGGAGACACAAGGACTGATGAAATGTTAGTCTGGAGATACTTGATTTCCTGCTGGTTTTCATTGACTTTGAAAGCACTTCAGAAACTGATCAACATACAACACCCCACTGAGGGTAAACTGTGGGAATATTTTACACCTGACTGTAATTATAAAAAAGTGAAAACAACAAGTTAGCGCCATGTAATTTCTACTACAAATTTATGTTGGGAAGGACCACAAAATGTATTTACAAAATATCCTGCTACTTTGCTGTGGAAAAGTTTGAATGGTGGCAAGTTTTTGGGTAAATATAGTAACCCTCAATTGATGTGTTGTACATCTGAGTAGAATCACTGTTTTGAGGTTTTGGTTTACAACATTTCCTGGAACTAAAACGATTAATTGTGGACTTTCAAAGCCAGTGTTATTTGAGATTATGTTTGTGTTTGATCAGTTCTTCATTTCATCTACTCTCAGGGGCTTCTCTCTTATCGTTGCACCTTTGAATGTAGCCTTCACTCAAACTTGACTGCAAATGGATTCTTGGACAAGCTACTAGGAGTCTCCCCGACAGCTTAAGGAGCTTTTTTGGCAAGACACAGTTGCAGCTAAGATAACAAAAGTCCACAGCCATGCAGGCAGATATGTGTGGTTTTCTTAATGTTAACAGAAGTGACATTAGTTGTGATGTTGTGAAACAACTAAAGAGCCTCTATTTTCTAAATCAAAGTGCTGCCATCCCACTTGATGCCTTCTGTCATCTGTGCTTGTTTACATTTGGGTTGTAGGGCATTAAGACCTACATCTAATGTAATGTGGATGTGCTGCAGTTAAGACACAACACATGGCCAGCACATCAGACCAACATCATAATTTTGCTGAGCTGATTAGGCAGGATAGGAGTGTGCATAGTGACATGAAGGGAAGAAGCAACAGGTTGGAGTCTTTCCTAGCCTGCCCACGTCTGTGTGGTGTGCTTAGACTGCTAGACCAGCGACGCCCCCTGATAAACTAAATTTGGTGCCTAAAGCGACTAGCCAGGATCATACACTTGCTCGTTTTGTAAATTAAGCATGCAGAGTCATGAATGTCGCGAGGATATGAAATCTTTCACATTTGCTAACAATTGCTCTACAGCTAAAACAGTGGGAATGCCACTGATAGTGATACTAACTCAAGACTCTAGGGGGTTTTAAAGTCTGCACAAAATTCAAAATTTTCAGTCCAATGTCTCTCTAAAAAAGTTATCTATGCCATGTAAAAACAAGTTTTATTTTCATCATGGTGCTGGAGGAAAAATCAAGATGTTACCAAAGACCACAGAATTCTTTATCACTGGGTTTGAACAGTTTTACCAAAGTTTCTTATAGATTTATTCCATAGTTGATGAGATCGCCAATCCTTACAGGAGTGTATGCAGACTAACATTGCCATGCATAGAGGAACTGGACTGTGTAGATAAGAATAAATGCTACATATAAGGGCAGCTCATACTGGCAGGGTCACCATACATCAGAGTTATGTAGCGCTGCTCTGGCGTCTCCACTTGACGTGGCTGTTTTTGTAATTGGATTAATGGCATGTTCTACCACACACAGAGTGAATGCACGGGACAATGCAGAGCAATTTGGAGTGGGAAAGACTCCCTGTGGCACAGACAGGAACTGGCTTTACATTTTACCTGAGCTCATCGAGCTCCCTGGAGCACAGGCTTTCAGATTCTGTCGTGGAATTCATTTCACCACACTATCCATCACTTTTCTTTGACTTAAAGCATGTGCTGGACTACATATGGCAACATGCTGCAAGTAAAGCCAAAAACAGTGAGCACACAGCCCTCGAAGAAAAGAGCCCACAGATGGCCATTGATTTAGAACTGTTGCTGTCTTCGAGAGTGCAGATGAAAGGTACATCATTCACGTGGATGAATAAAGTTGTTTTCAGTCTCTTAAGCAGTTGGTGATTGACACAATGAGACGAGGTGGAGAGGAGTTTCTTTTTGATTGCCTTCCAGCTTTCTTTGGCCTGCTGTGCCGCTCAGGGCCCCATCCCAGCCCCAAAATAACTCCTCATGCAGAAAGTCTCTCTCTGTCTGTCTCTCTTCTGTGTACCTCTGCCATCACAAGGCAACCATCCCTTTCTTTCCAAACAAAAAAAAGACAGCAACCAGCATGTTTCCCTAATTCCATCATGTCCCCGGTGTAGTTTGAGTAGGATTAAAACACTCCAGGGTTGAGATAGAGCCAGGTTATTCATATTAAAAGCTTGACTTGAAGATTTTCACGGATGTCAGGGCAATCAATTTGTGGATTCTATGAGAATGAATTCATGAAAATACAACATAACAGCCAAGGTAATAAAGCCTCTTTTGACAGCATTTAAAAATATTTTAACCTACTTTTTTTGTGTGAAACTCATTTGCTCTTCTTTTGCTGCAACATGTGCGAGGCAGCTGGCAAAGAATCAAGGACAAACACGTGTGAACGCTCCCTGACCTCCAATTCAGCACCCAAATATGAAGTCTGCCATCTTTCCTTAATAGATACAAGCTCTTTGAGTTTGCTTTTTCCTAACCTTCCCGGACACACAACAGGATTCATGCATATTTTGGATTTGATCTTCCTCTAAGACTTGTCCTCTGTGTTTGGATAATAAATCTTCCTCAGAAAGTCTGCCTGAGGGCATGTGCACATCAATAGCACCGTGATAATTGCTCATATCTTACACTCGTCACATGTTTGTGTTTTCAGAGGTAGCAAAGAGATTTCTTACACACAACAAGTGTTTGAACTGCATTGTTTGGGGCTTACGGCACTTAAACTTTAAAGCGTAGATTTAAACATGCAGGAGGAGGTCATGAACTTCAGCTGAGCACATGATGTCGAGTGCATCATGACCCAGTGAGTCACCAGGACACAAGTAGCACTGCTTGTTTCTGTTGATATGATAAGTCAGTTTCCTGTGGAAAATAAGCAGTAAATGACGCCTTTATGATGAGTAGGCGAATTGAGCTCATTAAATCTTTTATTCGCAATAGTCATGCAGCATCTAGGCAGTCAAATTGAGAAAAAAAAACATAAGAAGAGAAAGAAACATGGCTTTCCCAAAGGTTGATATAAGGGAACTTGCAATGATGAGAGTTTTCTCAAGCTTTCACAGCATCCTCCTCTGTTTTACAAGAACAGGAGGAGGTTTTAAAAATTCTGGTGTTTCTGGTGACGTCTGCAAGCCAAGGTTGAAATTACCGCTCCGCAGACAGCCGCAGAGCCCTCTGTAAGCTTTATATGTCGTGAGGGGATTTGTAGGGGTTGCGCAGTTCACAGTTTAGGGGCATAACTTACTTTTTGGCAGTCCTGTAGAGAGTTATGGCCCATTAGACAGATCCTGTAATCAATACACACCCCTTCGTCCCAGAACCCGTCATTAACACAGACGCTGGACGGCTCACTCTCTGTTTGTCTTCCCTGAACCAGGAGTGCTGCTCTCTCCACTCCAGCTGGTGCGTCTGTTTGTAGGTTGCAATTGGGTCCTGTTTCGGCCTCCTGCGCCACATGTTTTTCTAATTGCTACCATAGATGAAAGTGTGGTGAAAATGAAGAATTACTCAGCGTCTGGACCCTAGACATCTTCCTGTGTAGTTTCTTTCTTGTTTATTTGTACTTCTTTGTTCATGAGCTATTATAATACCAAATTAATGAAGAGATAAGTAGAACAAACTTGGCCCTGATGAAAAGTATTCAGCAATATTTGCTTCCTTTTTACTAAGACACAGAAGTACTCCCCCGGATCTCTAAGCTGTAAGCCTGCAGAGCAAAAGTTTGCTTGATTGACACTTACAAAGCAACAGTTACAACAAACACACACCCCTCTGTCAGGCGCACACACGCTCGCTGAGCCACAGTGTTGTTAGGGCAGCCCATACTTGACCATATATCACAGCACCCTCCTGCTTAAAGACCATATGGAAGCTGTTGGGATGTGATCCCTGAGGAGGATGGGGTTTGTGGCTTTTTTTCGGCGAACACCACGTCTCACAGAGTCAGCTTTACAAGTCGTGGGCACACGCCCCCACATCCAGATATCCTCCACAGAGCGGCTCAGCATGTGGCTCATTAGAAGTTGAATGTGGGAGTCTAAGGGGTGCAGCAGAGGCACACTATAGCATTGCTTAAAGTAATGTACACAGTGTCATGGGTCAGTTGTAGGTTAACAAAATCCCCCCACAGAACTGAGGTGGCTTTGGAGAATAAAGCTCCAACTACTGTATTGGATCGAAAAACCCACACAACGATTGAAAAATGTGCATCAACGACAGATGCACCTTAATCTGGTGAAATATTATCCTAGTAAGATTTACCACAGAGAAAATAAAGGATCAGTCAAACAGCGTCAGGCTCCCTCCCTTCTGTTTCTGATTAGAACAATAGAGGATTCAGAATTTTATAGCTACAGTAACAGCAGTTATGTTGCAGCAGAGTTAGCATTTGGCAAGCTTGAGATGATAGCACTTGCACTGGCAACCATGTGGAAATCACATGTTGCAAAGAGATTAACACTCACTTGAAACGATTAGCAATGAGAGGCAATTGTATTAACTGCTCAATAGACCAATTCTTACTTCTTCAGTGGATGGTGAGCCCAGATGAGAGGTGAATTTTTCTTAGCTCCTCTCTCTCTCTCTGCTGCCTCCCACAATCTTAAACACTTGACCTCTTTCATGAGATCTGTCAGGTTCACTGGCGACTCCCAAAGAGAAGCCCATGCTGTCATCATAGGACGTTTACCAGACCTTGTTTTTAGTCACAAGAGTTTTGCACTTGTCAGTCATTTTTTTTGCAGGTTTGTGTAAAGTAGTGGCAACTTTAATGAGCCATGTTTACTAGTTTAATGCTCTATTTTCTCCACTATCATTTTACATTGGTATCATAAGTTTTGATATATTTTTTCAACCTGGCAGAATCCAGCCATAGGTAAGGCACTGCAGCATTTACATCTAATGCAATTTTGTCCATTACATAACTTCCTGTCTCTCAATTACAGGATCAGAAAAGCCCTCTAATCCATCCATGTCTCATATTCAACTAAATTCTGTCCTCCAGAGCGGCTCCCAGCCTCTAAATCTCATAATGGCGTATAATGCGCTCAGCCTGTAGAGATTCCAAGATTGTTCCGATTATGCTTTCACTATCAATATTATTTTCAAAATGTCAAGTCACTCTAGGTAGCAATGTTGACCTGTGTAAAGTGAGAGATTTCCCGGCATGTTAAAGTTATGTCAGATATCGGTTTCAGATTTCCTCTGGATGAATGACCAGACTGTAAAGATTTGATGGTTTTTGTTACTCTGAGGCTGAAAGGGGGAAGGTGAATCTCTAGTGGACTGTAATGGGCTTGAAATGAGGCCTAAGTTGGAAATGATAGTCCAGTGGAAGGAAACGAGAATTGGAAATTTCCCCTTGACATGTACACACGTGCAAACCAGAGCTTATTGTATTCCACCAGAGAAATAAAGCACAGTACTTAGCACAGTGAAAGTTTGTATTACTTTAAAATTAGTGCTGATTAACCGTTTAATTTCCTTAAATCCAATTACAAGCTCTTACGATAGAGTTAATTCGGTTTTAAAGTCTGTATGACTGAAAATAACCTAAAGAAAATACTACTCAAAATAGTCTGGACAGGGTCTATCACCATTTTACTGCATCAATTTAGCACCCAGACACCAGACAAGGTCTTTACTGAAAAGGCATTGTCTGGATGGCAGCATATGTTGCTCTAAAACCTGCCCATATCACTTAGCATTAAAGGGGCCTTTCTATGTGTGTAAGCTAGGGATGGGTGATAAAGTACTGTTTACGATTTATCGTCAGAAAATTCCTCCACAATAAATATTTGCTGTCTCACGATAAGTGCAAGTTGATGACGTAAGTACAAGCGACCGTCTCACAGCCATTGCCCACACAGAGCAGAATAACAAACAAACATGGCCGAAGGTAATGAAGATGATGTTTCTGATCAGCTTGTTGCTAAAGGAGGCTCCACATGAGGGATTACCTTCAAGATTGGGGCTTAGATGAGTGCAGTCAGGTATGCCTGACACCGGACAGTGGATCTGCTGCTGTTCACTCTATAACTAGTGACTAAAACATATGGTTAAGTATCTTATTTGACTGTTCCAACTTTTTCCTCAAGACAGAATGAGTCAAAAACATAGATAGGAATTATAACATTTTTTATCAGGACTTTTATCGTTATCGTCAGAATGGCAAAACTTATGATACATTTTTTAGTCTATATTGCTAAGCTACCAATGCCAAATATACTAGCATTTGAACTGTGCATAGGTAGACATGCTGGGTGGTGTTTCGTCTTTTTGAGGACATGACATCTAAGATATCCAAAAGGAACGTCAAATTTTAATTCACTCACAGGACAGTTTTCCACTTTTTCTCAGTCCATCTTATACAGGCTCGGGCCCAGGGGGGTTGTTGGCGTTTCAAGATCATTTATGGTTTTCTTTTTTGTTTGCCAATAGAATTTTAACCTGATGTTATTGATAGACATTGTGTTGACAGACAATGTAGTGATTTTGACTAGTCATAGCTTTTTGTATGCAGGGCTGCTTGTGGGCCTTAAGGTCATGGCCAGTGTTGGATTTTGCCTTTGCATATACTGTTATATAATATATAACATCTTAAAGTGTACCCACTATGCTGAACTTTCAAAGTCCTTAAATTTCACACCAAAGAAAGTGCTGATTTCTTCGTAATTATGTGCTTTCTCAAGGACTTGTCTTGGTCAGCATGTTTGTTTGGAGGGTTCAAAGCTTCCGGCATCAGTCTATTAGCGTCCTCTTTTCAGATGACTGGATCAGGACACAAACTCCCAAAACTTGGCAGGTCTGACTCCATCATAATTGGGGCTAAAGTGGCAATGCCAGGAATGTTTGCCATTTTTCCTCTTTTATATCCAGTGGATTCTCATTTTATTATTACTCGCGCAAAGTAATAATTGCTGCGCATATTTGCAAAACGGATGGAATGCAAGGCAATTAGTTTTAATGATGTGAAAGACAAATCTGCATGACAGCAATTATTGTGACAATGTGTTCAACAGCCCAAAGGCAGGGCCCTGAGACAACACAGACGGGCAGTGACAGTGTGCGCTGTGGCCACGCAACAAGCTCCATGTGGGGCAACATGCCAGGCTCCAAGTCACTGACCTGTTCTCTCTTTTGTCAGCACAGGCGACATGTTTGTCTGGTGTCAATTCTGTGCCTCGGGTCACACGTGACGCAAACGAACACATATCCCACCGTGAGCCAGCTGGGAATCTCCATTTATTTTATTTCCCTGCCTTGTGCTGTTTCTCGTTTCACTTCAAAATGTTTATTTGGAGAATGTAGTTTAGCACATTACCAAGTTCCCCCCTGCAGCATAATGTCACTGCATGTTTGGCCCTTTAGATCAACCACTTTATCCCCAAACTTGAGGTTAAACAGACTCGGGACAAGACGGTGGCACCCAGCCAGCCTGTACTTTAGTTTGATGATGTATGTAACTCCTCGCCAAGCAGAACTCATGCAATTCCTTCTTTATCCCCGATGGAAAATTCACATCACATACCAAGTTATACAAATCCCTAACCACATGTCTCTAAATGTGTATACTTCATCAAAAAACAGGGGCCACATTTTCCTCAGGGTTTTTAAAACAAAATGCTTGAGTGATAAAAATGTTGTAAATAAAATTAGCTTCACTCTACAGCAGTACAGATAAACGATTGTCTGATACTTAATCCCTCAATTTGTTATTGTCATCATTCAACAAGCTGACATTGTGTATTTAAATGATCTTTAAGTAGCATGCATCACTATCAAAGAAGAACTATAAAACAAAGCTTGATTGAGCTTCTTTTGTAGGACTTTATCTGTAAAAACAGTCGTTACACCAGCCCTGTCGTGTTTCCTTCTGTCACGCTCAGCATATGTCATCAAAAAGAGCATTTTCAGGGTCCAGCGTGCTTTCACTCAAGACTAAAAGAAACATAAAGTGGCCACAGAGTCTGAGCTCCATCGCAATAACAGGAAATGTGCAGCAGGTAGAGCACTGTTCGCACCCAGTGGGGCCCTTTTGCAAACTGCCAGCACTCCTCACTGCCAAGAGCTGTGGCAGCGTTCCTGCCTGCGATCTGTCAGTGTCCACAGCATCTGTGTCAATAGCATTCCATAGTTGTGTTGACAGAGCGCCACTGTTTGCTTTAGCCACCACAGACCAGTGGCCTGATTTACTGTTTGAGGACAACGTCATAAATCCCAAAGTGCTGTCTACTACAGACATTTCTGTCACAAGATTGAGAGCTTATTTACTCCAAATTGCGTGCCGCAGGTCTTTCAATGCTTCAAGTATCTGGGCTGTGATGGAGGCATGCGGGGGTGGATTGGTAGAGTGACACAGATTATTTTTCCATGACCAAGAAATGACCTCAGCTCAGTGTATTTGCAGACTATTGATAAATATTGTGCACACATTTATCTTTTAAGTTCAGGAAGACTGTTCACATTTCATTTGTTTTTCAAATAAAAGACACAGGCCATTTCTCTGACGAAGTGTCGGCTATTTGCAGTTGGCCTGCTGCGACTGCTTTTTCCCATTTGCTCATTTTTTTATGACCTCCCACTCATTGTACCCTTTTAGCTGCCTGGGTTGTATGGAAAGCACACACTGGATACTGTGTCGTAGACTGGTGACAAAAGGTATTTTTTGGAAATCAGTTGAAATGGAAAAGTCAGAGGCACTTAGCTGGAGTATAGGCTTTACCTTAGTGAGAAATTGGATAAGGATTTAATGTAAGTCATCATATACATTTAGACTAAACAGGGCTGTTAGAGACTCAAGAGAAATCGAACATGACAGCCCCTCCAGACTCTCTGGAGAGGACAGAAAAGGGTTGAGACGTGAGACTAATGGTCCTTTGATTGAATCAATTTAAAGTGAGCTCTGTTGTTACAATCAAGGGGAGACATTTCTGCCACTGCTTCTGCTCCTGCATACAAGCAGGTGACGTGCACTAAAATGACCTGCTGATAACTTGATCTCCATCTGTGCTCTCTCCTTAGCTGATTGCCAGCCCCCCTGCCAGAACCGAGGCTCCTGCAGCCGCCCACATACCTGTGTGTGTCGCTCCGGGTTCCAGGGGCCCCGATGTGAGGAGGTGGCTCCGGAGCAGGTGTACATCCGTGACGGCGGCAGCTTGAGACGCATTCAGCCGGGGACCAACCCTTTCCAGAGAGACCAACCACGGAGAAGGCCCACAGAAAGACAGGCCATCGATACCACCAAGGTCCAGACCCCGCGACCTGCGACCACCAGACAGCCCGTCCACACTGTGTAAGTGAAGCAGCTGTGTGTCTGCACATTTCTTATAATAGCCACAGAGAGCCAGACCCAAATATGGACGAGTCAAAAAGTATTAACAACAGACAAGTCAACTTCACTAGACATGAGTGGCTAAACCAAAAAAAGGGGGAATTGTTCGCAGTAGTCGAGTTGTGAAAAAAATCAGGGGGGATGGTGGATTTTATTGTTTGGTACAGATATTTTATTCTGATGAAGTCCAAAAAAAATGGTAAAATACTATTTACAAAATGTAAAAGGCAAAAAAGAAAAAAACAACATGGCAAGAGTTCCACTGTAACTCCAGATTCTCACTCAAGAGAAAAAAAAACAGAAACACAACACCACTACAAATACAACAAACTACTTACATACAACAAACTTTAATCTCAAAGAAAGAAAGGCACAGGAAGCCCTCTGTTAACACCCCCTGACCCCTCCCAGAGGGCGTTATCAATAACATAAGTTTGGAAGAAACTCATTTATTCACATTTAAACCATTTTTACAATTTTTAACCTTCAGACCTTTTTCCTGTAAGTTATTGCCATTTCAACTAAACTTTTACACAAATCAATGGAGCATTAATTTTTAGGGATTCATGGCAAACAATAAAGGAATTAATTTTTCTTGCATCATGTGACCACTTTTGACGGGCCATACCCACCTATTTTACACACGGAAATCACGCGCCCTGTTTCCTCATTTGGAAACATGAGCTGGCATGATGGTGTGAATGGACACCTGGCAAGTAAGTGGAGGGATGAATATCTATGTGAATGTATGTTTAAGTTAAGTGATAGAGCAAAACGTGTGGTTACCCTATCCAAAAGAGAAGGGAGAAGGAAAAGTAACGCTGTTTAGTGTGTAATTAGTGACGCTGGCGGGGAGGGAAATGTTTGGCGTGTTTGTAGGCAGGGCTGTTGGCTGGCCAGTCGCCACTCGCCAAATGCGACTAAAATACTCCCCAGGCGACTTAATTTTGGAAGGCTACATGCCGAGGGGTGGGTAGATGTTTGTCCAGATAGTAATACAATCATGCACGATGTGTCACAAAGTATGGCTATGAAATTATAAATAGCGACGGTAGCTAATGTTAGCGGCTACTGATTTGTTGTGTGTCACACTGAAGTGGGGCTCTGAGCGGAACTGATGAGATGCCGTATAATAGTGAAAACACGACTCATACCTGCCAACACTTCCTTTTTTCCCGGGACTCTCCCGTATTTCAGACCTATCTCCCGCCCACCTTCCATATTTTCATAATCTCCCTTTGCATGGTCCATGTTCATTCATAATTCAGCTCAGTATATTTGTCCAAAGTTTCCTGACAACCGAAGATTGGCCTGTGTTTCTGTTGAGTCTCACAGACACTGGATTGATACTTTTACTTTACAATTTGGGATGATTCAGGTCAGTTTAAGCTGTAAACTATATTTAAGCAGTTTTTGTTGCAAAATGAACATTTCAGAGAAAGGGAAACAAACGCCAGATATAATATGTACATTGACAGTCTTGCACCGTCTTGGAGTGATGCGTTCAGGGCAGCCTCAGATAAAAGAGAGCTGTATTTCATGCACAGATGTTCAGAGAGCCTAATACGGGAGAGCATGTAAAACATATGACTTTAACACCAATATTAGTGGACTAAATAAGTTCAAGGCATATCGTAGCTATTATTTTTATAACCATTTTTTATTGTCAAAACAAAACAAAAAAGTGTGCAGCTTCACTTACACTTATTTGGATAAACAATGTAATTACAAATACTCTCATAATTAGCTCATATCCACCATACAAGGTAACCCCAAAACTGCCCAGCGTACGCCGCAAAAATCTCACGGATTTTATAACCTAAATGTTGGCAGGTATGAAACACGTTTTAAAATATAAGTGTGTGTGGGTACCGAGTGTGTGTGTGTGGATGCCGGCCAAGAGGTTGTTCTGTGCGTTAAGCATCTCATCAGAACATGTTGTTAATGATAAGACGTCTTAAATATGTAATGTTATGTAATGTGTTTTGAGACAAACACTCTGAGCCAATCGTAAATCGTCATGTAAAACATCCCGATTTGCTCATGCTGTTTGTCTCAAATCCATCTATGTGAATACAGCATGCGTACACTATAGGTGGGCTAAAGTTGCTTTTGTAGTTGTCTGTGTGTGTGTGTGTGTGTGTGTGTGTGTGTGTGTGTGTGTGGCTCCATGCGCTGCCCATGGTCAGTGAGGACGCCGCTCCGTCACACCCACTAAACGTTAAAATTGTGGTCATATTTCCCTGTACTACAACTGCATACAAACAATTAGAAAAAAGCACAAGATACTTGTGCCATAATGCAAAAATCAGTGCTTGGTGAAGACCCTGTCTTTGTCGTCCCAGTGCTTTTACAAATAAGGAACATAGCCAACCACATGGTCCTCAGTGGCCATCATGACCTTAACAGCATTGGCACCCTGAAAGACCCTGGGTCTGTTTCCATTAGGCCTGGATTGGAGATTCTGACGGTATGATAACCTCAAGTTACCTCATGTTTAGATAATTAAATAATTGATAGGAGGATTTTTTTAATGCATACATTTCTGCCTCTGTGAAGAATATTCATAAATAATACTACACTGACTCTGTTATTGAAATACTGATGTAGAAAGAATCTTCTCCTCTGTCTCTGTGATGTGTCAAATATCTGATTCCTGGTAACCCTGGAGACCAGTCCTACCTTATCTAGTTTATGATTGGCTGGCTGAAGCAGCATCTCTAGCACCTTTTGAACAGTATGGGCTTGTGACCGGGGCAGCCAGTGATACACTGAATAAACACACTGAGTGCCCTGAAAAAGAAACTAAGTGCACTGGTTGACCTAAGTTACACACAAGTGAACCACGGCTAGCAGGCTAATAAACGTACCACCCTACAGTTTCTCTGTTGCATGCCATTTACGAACTGGATACACAACTTTTATTAATAACTTGGGGACATGCCGTATTGTAGAAACAGTATGTCAGAAAATATGATTGTTTTGAATCCATGACATTTTGGACCTAAGTGTAACTGATGGCGTACTGTCAGCCAATAGTGCCACCATGCTAGCCTTCATTTTCACATTTTACTCACAGTATGAAACACTACTTTATTTGTCCTCCTAATGCTACTACTGCTTGCCTGAATTTGTATATGTAATGACACTGACACTCCCATGTTGAGACAGTGCTGCCTTAAAAAGCATTTTTGGAGAGCATCGTTAATTCATGCAGGCTTGCCAAAATAAATCAAGCAGTTAATCGTAAATTATTTAAACGCTTTCTAACAAACAGTAGTTCATTCACTAGTTATTGCCGTCATTGTTGTGATAAATCAAACTAGGCGAGCAGGTTTCGTGTGTGAGAGTGTGAATCCCCTTTGAGTAAATCAAATCTAAAATAAAGTAAGTGAACTTTTGCTTCGCTGCCAAGATTGAAAAAGCATTAAAATAAATCTTAAAATCATAGGAAAATATAACATCATTTACCCGACAGAAGTATTAACCCATGCTGTTTGCTATGAAAATAGTGTCGAGGGATGATATATTTACTTTAAGCTCTGAACATTTAAGTTTCTGCTTTGATTTACTGGAAAAACTGTGACTATAATGTATCCAACAAATAATTGCTTAGAAGAAGAACTCTGTCAGCAAATTCTCCAGAGACTGCTAATCACACGGGCTTAATAGTCTTTTGGCCTGAGCTCTAAGTGCCATAGTCCCAGTCCTGTTGGGTATTTTTCTTTTTTCTTTTTGCCTTGATTAATGTCTTTACCATACTCATGATCAAGGATGCTGAGAGGAAATAATTGCTTCAGTACATATTTTGATTGATGGTTATTGCTTACAGGCTCAGACTGTCCTGTCAAATTGTGCTTCATTTTGGACTCAGACTCAGAGCGTTTTGAAATCCGCACACATAGTTGGTTAAATTGGTGTAATTTGTTTTGGGCATCACTCTTTTCATAGTCAGTTTGTTGTCTGGACACCAAACCACTCAAATATTCTCAATTACAACAGACTTTTATGGTGCTCATCATGCTAATTTTCATAGTTCTGTGTTTGTTTTTCTCACTGGCATTATAGAATTACACTGACCAAGCCATCCACATTTTTAAGGTAGCTTTGTGTAACTCTGGCAGATGGTTCACAAAGAAGTTTTAATACATCCTCCTTCGGAAAACAATTACTGTGGAGTTACCGTATCTTATAATCAATGCAAGCCCTCAGCGGGCTGCACAGTTGCTTCACATATGTCGTCTTAGCTCTTGACTCACAGAGCATTTTTGTGTCCTGAGTCACACATCAGATACAAATAAAAAGTGAAAACATTGTCAGGAGCAGACAGTTGTACTGAGTCACAAATGCCCCTACTATGACTGTGTCGACTTTTCGTATTTCTGCTGAAGCTGACTAATAGTTACTAACAGTTCAAGATGAGCCATTTCCCTCTGCTAGAGAACAAAATTTCCAAGCATGCAGCCCAGACTAATCCAATTATTAGTCGTTGTTACCAAATTTTCCGGACAGACTAAAAACATCTGCCAAAATCGTAGTATGTCTTCTCCTTAAAACGAGCCAAACAATTATTGAAATAGTTGACTCTCCTTCGTCGATGCATCCAAGAATTTACTTCCCTGCTTGTGTAATTCACATTTGAAAAACCAGCACTTGTATATGAGTGCAAATGCTCTGCATTCCCCAAGCCCAGGATGATCTTTTAGGGGTGGGACAGTTTTCTCCCCCAGGAGAAGTGGTGGATGCAAGTCTCGGTTTCAAATGTCAGGGCTGAGGTTCCACTGCTTCCAAAGCCAGGAAAGCACGAGCAATGTGAGGTCACATGGATTGAGACAACACCAGAGCCAAAGCTCAATTAAGGAGCAAGTAGAGGAGCAGGGAGGACAGACGCTCAGGCTGAGAGATCATGTTGGTCTTGCCCCCACTTAAACACCCGAGGGAGTTGAAGGCCACCCTGAACTTGCAGCACCCAGACAGTTTGTCTTTAATTTTCCCCCTACTAGAGAAGGTGTGAGGAACTATATATGTCTTCCTTGGAGCGGACTTGACTTGTTATGTCGGCAGCACCCTGTTACTGACCCGGCCTGTCAAGCGGCGCCAAGAACAAGAAATAGTGCCGAGGAGGAATGAGACAGACAAGGGGGGAAAGAACAAAAGGAATGATAATAAGATAAAATGTTAATGAGAAGGAGAGAAAGTCATATGTTCAGCTGGAGAAGATAAAGTAACAGGATGTAAGCTTAAATCACTCAAACTTCAGCTTCAGAGACCTGTCTCTTGGCATTACTTCTCAAAGCAATGAAACCGGGCTGTGTGCACATGTCAGCAGTCCAGGAAAGCGTAGTGTCTGTGGTTGATTTTAAAAAGATCTGAGTGATGATGATCCTTGAATATCTCGGCAGGTCTGCACCTCAGACATGTGTGGCTGGACACTAGATTTTTGATTAGGTGCTGGGTCAACCAGAAGCTGATTTTTGGTCTGGTGGCTCAGTTAGAGGGTGAGTGTACTGACTATGATCCCAACAACAAAACAAAGAGAATTTCAACATCTTTCTGTTGCTTCTATGGTAACAGAAAAATAATTTTGTTTTTGTTAACAATTGACTGAAGAAGCTCTCTTCTCTTTGGCGTATCTATGTCCGCAGGTATTTTTTCAACACATTACATGAACTATTGAGTTGAGCAACATTTTCATGCATCATATCATAACAGACCCCCATGTTCTTGACATAGCTGTTACTCTTTGGCACCTTTCAAAACAGAAAGTTAAAATGGATGAGTTTGAGATAAACAAATCTCGTCATCATTGTCCTGATAAACATTTGGCCACTGCCATAATGAAAAATAAGTGTTCCTGAAAATTTAGACTTCTTTTTGGCAGATACTTCTCTCTTTTCATTGTCTGCTGATGAAATAAAGAATAAAACCCAACAATAAAGATTATAATATGTTGTTTCAGTACACAATGCAGAACCAATTCAAATGTGACAGTCTTTGGTGTCTGATGCTCATAGTCTCGTAGTCTGAATAGTAGGATTCCCTAAGGTTTCAGTAGGCATTGACAGTTAACACATTAACAGTTTGTGAAGACAGCAAATGAGGCGTAGTGAGGTTCATGCTCAGTTGTCTGGCTTGTGACTACACTTCGGCTTGAATTATTCTCTATTAACAGAAGAATGAAAGTGTTGTCAGGCATCACCATGTAGGTGTTGATCCTAAATGCCCATTTTAATCTCACCTCTCAAGTCGCATAATATGTGGCCAATGTAGAAGTGCAAACACTGCAGTTTACGGAGTTTTATCAGCAATTGTAAACATGCTTACAACCTAGTTTTGACAAGTTAATCACTTCTTTTTGTAGATTAGCATAATAAGGAGTGTGGCTGATTTAACTTCCAGGAGGTCACTAGGTGGTCGTTTGCCAAGATGGTTAAACCCGCCTTAGCTCCACCTCTTTGGGTATTTATGTTGACCAAAACGTTTACGGCATTTCCAATAAAAGGACCACTCTTGTTTAGCTTTGACTTCCTCTCTTCAGAAACCAGTGGGTGACTGGAGGTTAATTATTGCTGAGAGTGGAGAAAAGAACTTGGTTCTTTTGAGATACCAGTTACATTTTAGCTTTCAAAACTTGAAGTTTTTTGAACGGATTTAAATTTATCAGCCAACAAGTATTAAGTTACACAAGGAAAGACACTGTTGGTCAGTTGCCAGCAAGGATTGCAAAATGAGGTGCAAAGCATAGACTGTATTTTCTATGGACAACTTGGTTTCGCCTCCCGCCAGTATACGGATTTGAAGCCAAAAAGCTCTTGGTATTTCTGTGATTTTTTTTTTCATTTCCTGAAACCAGCGCTGCGCAGTAGCATTGTGCGCTTTCGTTTGGAGAGTCGCCGAGAGTCGCTGTGATGATGCGCGGCTCAAACAGCGTATCCCCCTGATGAGCTACGCAATCCCTGAATGCTGATCGGCTGTATCAGGTGTCAATCATTAAAAACATGAACCCCCTAATAACTTTTAAAAATGGAGCTCCACAGAAAAAAGAGAACTTGAGCACAAACCAGTCTCAAAATTTTATGTTCTGAGTAATACATTTTTAAAGTTTGTCCACAGCTCCATAAGCTTTGCTGGCGGAGGCAGGATTTATGACCTATACTGCAGCCCGTCAACAGAGGGTGCTGTTCTCTTCACCCAGCGAGGAGGCAGACTCTGTTCATTCTATATACAGTCTATGGGTGCAAGTCATATTGTGAATTGGCCAAGCACAAGCACAAAATAATAAACCGATATTAAAACCAGTATTGAAACGGTCAGGAAACAACCAGTTAGTTAACCTAAAGTACCATACAGTTACATTGCAATGTTCTTAAAATGGGGTCGATAAAAATGAGTGTTAGGCAAAGGTAAATAGGACATCATTCAGTTTTATAGAATTGATGCTGACCTGGATCTTTAAGGAGACACAAAAATAATACCAGTAGTAACAGTGAAATTGTTCTCTGTCAAAACTGACAGCAGACGGACATGTTCCCAGTCCTGTGTGGGCACGTCAGCTGTCTATAATGGGATTTCAGGGAAAAATGGCTTCCCAATAGGCCCACTGAATGAATACAGCACATTCATGAGTGAGTGAGTGACGGCCTAAAATAAAAGTCTGGTTGGGATGGACAAAACATATGAGGAGCTTTCAGTTTAGTGGGATTTTGGGGCATGGGAATACAACTCCACACCCTACTCCCTCTTCTTGTATTCCTGTCTGCTGTCTTCTGTTTCTCCTCTGACCATTTGAACTGTCTCCCAAACATCCCAGCTGCCTGTTCTAGAGGATTAAAACTGTAAAATTCAAAATAGTTTCATCCTATATGCAGCTGGCAAACAAATAAGCGTTTCCTCCTCTGCCCTCACTGAATGAGTCTCACTGTAAAACCAGTATTTCCTGTGAGCACTGTGCTCAGCATTAGTGAAAGGCTTGTCCCTGTCAGCAGTAGATCCTGTAGATCATAGCCCTTCTGTCAGCTCCCAGTATGAAGGTCAGGGCCAGTGGTGAACACTCCCTGCTAAGCTGGAACTGTGATAACGCACAGAGGACGTATTCAGCACCTCCTATGAGTCCTTCGTATCAACTCTATACCCCCACCGCTCTCTGACATCAGGCCTCTGCAGGAAACAGAGCAGGGCAGAGCAGGATGTGTGCGCAGTGTGCAGGTTGGACCTCCAAAGGTCATCTCTCTCTGGTCTGCATTACATAATCAGACATAGGGACAGCTGGCAGCAGATACCTGGATAACAGAGCTGTACAGTGATACTGCATACAGCTTAAGTTGTATTGTTTTTGCATTAGAGTTGAAACACGTAGCAGATTTGATAACTAGTCCATATCCTGAATACTGTTACATAACCATAATGATGATAGATAGAATCGCGAACAGGATTTTTCTAGGCTTTGGGTGGAGCTTGCACATAGATAATGGTGCTTTTTAAGTTTTACAAGCTTGACTCTACAGTTTTGATGCATCAAAGTGTACCATTCAACTCAACCAATCAAATCTTTCTATTGATATAATCTTACATCTGGAGAGGATATTCTCCTTGTTCTTAAAACAACACCTTAAAAAAAACGAGTCATATAATGAGGTTCTTGTACCTCTCATATCGCAGTATCAAATCAGAGGCATTCTCCCATAAGAAAAACAAAGACCATAAAGAGATGAACCGGATTAACCTTGGCCCTAAAACCACATTGCACATCATCAGTCATTGCAACCCATTGGCTGATCAGAAATGTGTGAGGGGGCAGATTATCTCATAATTATCTCATAATGAACAATGCATTTTTTGCTGTTTTCATGAGGATCATTGGCACACAGAATCAATTGCCACAGTGTTATCTTTCCAAATCTTGTTTATTAGTTTTTTTCAAACCACGAAGCAGTGTTTTGATTAGCTTTCATACTGATGGATATATGAGTGAAATCAGTTTTGCTGGAATCTGTCATAATTTCATCATCTCAACAGTTCTTGGAGCAACAACCCTGAAAACACAGCCTCCTTTGTCTCCTTCACACGCTTTTTTACACTTTGATTGACAGACCTGACCTTAAAGAAAGTGGATCAGCTAGCTGCAAATAACCACAATAATGTAGTGTCTTTGTCAGTGTGGTATTGTTATTCTGTTTCCATTACGGCTACATGTTATTAGTCAATGCAACAACAGTGTACCCAATCATTGAGCCCGTTGGCTGTTGTCTGACCGTGATTCCAGCCTGTGTGAATGATGGAAAACTTCTCAGGCCAGAGTGATAAACTACCTCCAGCCAAAAATTTCTCTTCCATGCACTGCTATGTTAACAGTCTGATTAGCAACTGGAGAAGTGACTGTTCAGATCAAAAGTGAAGCAAAATTCATCTCTCCAGATAGGTCATTTTGTGGTTCATTACATCAATCCATCTGTTTCTGATGAATCTCAGTTCCATTTGGTACACTAACAGCTAACCTCAGTGATATGAACCCTGAAAAGAAACTGATTTTCTTCTTGCTGTCCTTCAAATACCTAGCTTAAGTTTGCAGAAGTAACAGTGTTGTGATGCAGCTTTAACTTGATCTGTCCTTGACTGGAGTAGAAAACATTCATGCTCATCTGTTAAGTGGAGGTCAAATTGATCATGTCTGATGAATTCCAGGAAGTTTGCTCATCTAAGAGCTGATTGGCTTTCCCACTTCATCCTAAGTAAATTTGTTGCTCAAGAAGAAATTTTGGATCTGTTACAGACTATTTTCTTCCCTTGTATGCAGACAGTTGAATTGCCCTAGAATACACCACAGATGCCTTCATGCCAGTTTACCACATGCTTTTGCACTTCACATTGACTGGTACTGCTCACACCATAGCTCAGACTACTCCTTATGACTCCATGGCCTATAATCATACAACAAACAGAGTCAAGAACGCTGAAAACCTTACTAAAACTCCTGCATATAGGTTCAACATTTTCATTTATTTATTAGTCTGCCTATCAGCTACCTAACTATTAGTATACGTTCTTTTTTGAACATTTTAGCCTCAGGAAAGCCGAGGACAGACACGCAGTGTTGGGGACAGAGAACAGGGAAAGCAGCAATGAGTACTATAGCCTCTTTATATTGGACATGCCACCAACGAAATATTAGGTCCTTGTCTATTGTGGAGTAATAAAGAAGTATTTCCATGTAGTGAAGTAAAAAGACTGTGGATACAGGTAAATTAAAGGTTGAGTCTGGTTACTGAGGGAGAATCATTTGACAAGCAGCTTGAAAAGTTTTTTTTTCTTGATTTTCAAGAGAGATCTAATAATCACCACTGTTTATTTATTTTAAATGTTTCAAATTTGATTTCAGTACATCAAGATCTTGGCCCATAACGTAAAGTTATTGCTTTAAAAATTTTGCAAAGCACAATTTGCTTCAGGGATGATTACAAATTTGGTCCCACCCAGTAACATATTGAGATGGTGAAGAAAAACAAAAACACCCAGTGACGTGGGGCAGAACGACCCTTAAGAGGGTGATGCATAAGACTCTCTCTGCGTTAAATGTTATGCTTATATTAGACTCCGCTGTTTGCCTGGTGAGTAATCAGGCTGGTGGTTATGTGGCTTGTTGACTCAAGGATTTGCACATAGCCACACAGCCGTTTCTCAGAGGAAACTGTGGTCATAGTGGGAGTTCTCCATGTTAATCATGGATCACTGGTTGCTTTCACTCCCACTCCAGACAAACCACACCACCAGCGCTGACGGGAGCCACTGTCAAAAACCTCTAGGTCACCTCAGCACCTGTGTGGAAGTATTATTTTACCATCATCACCAATTTTCATCTTATTAATGATCACTGAAAGATCTAAGGTATCAAGTGCAGCAGTTGTGCAGAGCTTAAACAAAAATGATCATAAACACCGAAAGGCAAAAATGGAAATTCACTCAACAGGTTTCTCATTACCTGCTTGAGAGGATAATAAATTAAAAGAGTTGCTCAAATCCCAGAGTGGCTTTCCATCCTCTAATACTCTTCACGTCTTCAACTTTGATGCGGTTTGTGTTTTGAAGATGAAAATATAAGCTTAAACATTCAGCCTGGGAAAGTTCTCCTACTGTACCACCTGGCAGACTGCTTTTCTTCTTGAAGAGGATGTATCCTGTTGTCTCCATTTTTGGCTGCTTCCAAAACAAGAGGAGGCCTGTAGATGAGGAGTTAGGCTGAAGAGAAGTAGAGGGGTAAAGAGCAGGGTAATTCCCCCAGGTTGCATGTGCTATACCCCCCCTAAATGGAGCTCTACCTTGTTTCTAAATCGTGCATATGACAGTGCATCTGGAGCTGTGATTTGTGTACCTGCATTAGTCGACTGGGAATTGGCTGAAATGGGGTCAGGTCAGCATGTTTGACTACCGTCAGGCTCCTCAGACTTTACCTTTGCCCTCACCCCAGTCCCTGGTGAGCATTTCCACTTGCGTTATGAATGGGTTTGGGCTTTCCGGAGCAACGCTGGACATCCTTTCCAGTGGTTATGAGGTGTTAGGGGAGCATTGTGTACCTCAGCTACTGAGGGTTGGAGACTCAGCTGTGGAGGCCACCTTGTCCTCAGGTGAACTCCATATGTGCTACATGTTGAGGGCAAGTTCAAACTAGCCAAACATGCAATGGTAGAAAATGAGGTATGATCATTTTATCAAAGTCTGTCTTGGTGTACTGTAATTTTGTCGAAAGAGACGGCGCTTAACAGACAGCAGTAGTGACTGAGCCAGGCCAAAAAGATTTGGCGCATTTCTTTCTACAAACACCAAGCCAAATAAGTCCCATGAGTTCATGGCTTCCTGCTAGGCCAGAGGGAACAAAGGACCATAGAGAACTCAGCACTCAGCGTGGGACAGATATGTCTTTCTCTCCCTCCATCTCAACCCTCCAAAGCCCTGTCTGAAACACACTCTCTAAGCTTGGTGTTGGTCGCCAAATCCTGCTCATCAAGCGGGCCTGTGCAGATGCAGCTGTCCCAGGGACAAACACTGTACGGCAGTCATAGAAAGAGGGGCGCCTAACCCAGAATGCACTCCAGCCTCCTGCTCCAGTGCTGAGGCAGACGGAGACAGCATCAATCAGGCGCATCCCCCATATATGGGTCATGGTGTTGAAAGGTTGAATTAGCAGTATGGCTCTGTGTGAAACTACTTAATCCAGCTGGATGTCAGGATGTTGGGTTGCTGTAACGGGCAAACTACAACATCCAACAGCTTAAATTCCAGGCATGTCAATCTATATCCAGATGTCAGAATCCAGCCTCGTATTGGCACTCTTTTTCAACCACTGCTTAAGTTTTCATGGTTTTTCAGTCTGATGCTAGGGGCTTGTTCGAAATGCTCCTCTCCTATTGGGGGAAATGTTTGGCTCCCTGTCGAATGACATATGACACTTAACCAGTCTGAGCAAAGGCTCAGTCAGCACTTTGTGATGCCTCTTCCTGCTGACCTGTCTTGTGGTGCTCTACTAAGTGAATGATCAGAGCAGCCACACTAAACTGAGGAGCACTGAATAGCCTCTCGGCTCAGCATGCCTTCAGGCATTTTTGACTCAAGCCCCTGAACCACAGCAACCACACTGCTTTGCTTCCATCTAGAGTCAGGCCTTTTTGGACTCCTTAGAGCTGTAAAACCCAAGTTTTTGAATGCTGAGGTGAACACAGACGGTTTGGCATTGCTACTGCCCCACTCCCCCAGAGATTCAAAGGAAACTACTTTTTCACATCTTTTGGCTGGTAAATGAGTACATGGTGTTATTTCGTTGTGTTTAAAAACCTCAATAAGGTCAAATTTACAGAAATCTATTTTCAATGGTGGAAGTAATACCTATAAAATTCAACGGAACTTAATCCATTTGTTTGTCTAAGCAGAGTTTTGGGCATTAAAACAATATTTTTCGCTAAATAAATTTCTCAAGAACCTTTGCTGCTTTCAACTCTATACTCAGACCCAGTTGATGCTCTAATAAAAGCTTTATCCCCTTGGGTATGAAAAAAATAAAAGTTTTCTGAATCAATCCAACCTGACTCTAATCACTTCAACCAGTCTCTGGCTGCTACTCGCGGGATTCCTGGAAGGCCGTCCAGACAGAGAGAACATGATTTAATCCAGCCTCTGTGGCTGGTGCGATAAGCCCTTAGACACACCCAGATTTTCACAAGGGGGAAATATTCTGCCAGGACCCACAATTATCCGAGTCATAATGACTAGAGATGTTATCAAAGAAAGACTGGGCCTTAATTGCACACTGATGTTTGGCCTTATGCTGCCACGAAGAACTTGAGCAGAACTTGTCCTTGTTTCAGAGAGAAGCTAGTTGTTACAGAGCTGCATATGTTTCTTTGAATTGGTGCTTCCTGATATTCTTAGTTTATAGTATTGGACACATTGAGCTACTGGGACTACAGGGAATGTTGAATCACATTTCCATGGATCATTTAGTCAAAACTTAATTATTTTGTGTTTGTTTTTCTTTATACTGACTTCTCCACTGAGAAGGAGAAGATAACATTATTCATTTATTATTCATTGTCCCAAGAATCAAATCAAATCAAATCAAATCAGTTTGATTGTTATCTATCAACCAAGACATAAAATTTGGATTGAACACAGTTATTGCTGCTTTCCAGGAGATGATTGTTGCTGCAGAGATCCCTCCATTACCCCCCAGGTGTATCTGTATAGTTTGGATTAAGCATGTTTGTTTTTATCCATGCAGTTTTTTTTTTGCATACCAAGCACATTAGCCTGTTTATTGGTTACGATACATTAGAACACATTTATGTAACAATTTAGTTCTTCACAGAGTAACTCAAGGAAAAACCACTCTCATGTCTGCATGATTGATTTGAAGCTGAGGAAAATCAATGGCTTATTGGTTTTAAGATCACTAATAAATAAGTCCTATCATGTTCATAAAACCTAAATTAAATCAAATGCAGGAAATTGTTGCACTTGGCCAAGAAGTTTTGTTCTTCATGATGTAATTACCCTTACCTGTAAAATAAAAGTCACACTTAAAGGTCCCAAGTATATGTAGGTGTGTGTTGAGCAAGGTTGTAAGTTCATTTGCAAAAAGAAAAAAAAAAAAACATGACCGAGGATTTGCAGCCTCTCAGTTTCTAACCTCATTGCCCATGATATGATCTATGCTGGCAGGAATTATGTAGTACAGCACTGATATGCTCCATTAATGTTGTTGATGTAGAGTTAAAAAAACACTAAAACAAACTTGGTGAGACCTCCAGAAGAACCTGTGCCAGTATACTACACATTCAGCCCCCAAGTAGGAGGAGGCAACTGTTGAAGTTTTGCTGCTTTGTTTACAACAGCACGCCTCTTTATGCTTAGATAAGCTAAGCTACCCCTCAACTGGTTTTAGCTTCATTTATACCATCCAGGCATGACAGTTGTATTAATTGTCTCATCAAACTTCTCGCAAAGACGAGTACAACTGTAGTTCCAGAAAGTCTGCCTGCTCAAAAATGAAGGTGTTTACCGTGAGTTTTAACCTTGCAAAGCAAGAGTTGACACACAAGCTTCACAATTAACTTGCAAAACAAGCTGTAAGAATAGCCGGAGTCGTTCAAAACATTTACTGTGAAAGATTAAACATTTACAAAAAGCTGTAATTTAGGTCATGTGCCGGGGTTATTTTTGTATTTCCAATAAACACAAACTTCACCGCCATGCTATTGCAGTTATGTTGCTAAGAGGAACACACAACAACAATAAAGTGGAAATGCCCTGAGGATTGGATGTTTTATTTATTGGTGCATACTAAGGTTCAAACCTCAGGAGTTTATTGAAAGAAACACACAGAGACCTCAGTGGTGAATGATGAATGGATGAGGGCGTTTTGCATAAAGCCCGAGGAATGAGTTGTGTGACCACAGTGGGGTTTGACCACTGCTGGTGCAGATGGTTTGTTGCACTGACTGGCTGGGTGGGTAAGAAAGGATTAAGATTTTCTCAGGCCATGAGGGCTTCTTTCACCTCTTAAAATACATCACGGCTGTTTGGACCAACTACATTCTGAAAACAACTTCCAAGTCTTTGCCTTGGAAGCTCAAACATGAGAAAAAAAGTAATAAAAGTACAAATCTAAGGACTTTAACTATCCAATTAGTAATCAGGTTCTTGTGAAATATCAGATGAATAATGGCAGGCTTTTTTGCAAAACCAAATTCTGAAGTACAGCAATCATATTGGGAACATGACCCCAAGTCAGCCTGTGATTGTATCTTTTCAGCTAATCCAAAATGTTTTCTATTTTCATAGCCACATCCTAGTTAATGTCTGGTATGTCAATGAGATTCATAACACTGTTGAGTTCTGGACAACAAAACATGAACAAAAGTCAAGTGTGTCTGTCTTTGCTAATGTTCTTGGATAACACCTCCAGGGACAAGATTCAACAGTCTGCACTCTTGTTCTGTCTGCAGCTTAAGTCTGTGAAATGTGGAGCAACATCTGCAGTTAAGCTTTTTGCTGAAAAACATCTCCCCCTTGACTTTCTCAAATTAATACCAAGAGGAGAAGGATACATCATCTCTGTCCGTTGTAAGGTGTTCCTCTGCTTAATAGTGACTGGTCTGAAAAGAAAAGTATTTTGGAAAGTTCTGTTCAAGTTTCCTCTCTGTTAGGAAGAGAAATCTTGAAATCATCGCATTTAAAAACCACAAAACTTACAGCTATGTAAGCTGTGGCCTTTTTACATGGCAGTTGACCATTAAAGGTATAAGACATTTGATTCAACCCAAAGACCTCACAGTGTATGTTCATAAACAAATCTTGATGGTTTTTGATTATAATTGTCCAGAGACTAGATATCAAATGTTGAAACTGAAGTATGTGCTCATTTGAAATTCGACACCTGTTACTTATTTCAAAATAGTTTGGGCTGGGGCAAGCTTACCACAGTGTTACATCACCTCTTCTTAACAGCACTTTGTAAACATTTGGGACCTGAGGAGACCAGTTTCTTGAGTTTTGAGGGTGAAATCTTGTCCCATTCTTTCCATTATAAGATTTCAGCTGCCCCTTCCTAAGCCTTGTCCCTTTTTTGTGCAGCGACTCCACCAGATTCTCTAAATCTTTTGGCGATGTTATGTACGGTAGATGATGAAATCCTTAACTTCTTTGCAATTTATGGCTAAGCAAGATCATTTTAAAATTGCTGAACTCTTTGCACAGTCTCCTATGGACCCTATTCTTATCTTTAATTCCAGACTCAGTTATCTTTGTGTATGTTTTTAGGGATGAAGAGAGGTTTCTCAGCTGATTGTGCTTGAATATTCTCATCACTTACTACAATGTGGAAAGCATTTTGTAACTCACTGATTTAAATAACTGCCTACTGGATAGCAGTTCTTCAGTTTGTTTACTGATTATGACTCCAACATATAAAGCTGGACTACACTAGTTGTCAGATTTCCTGTTGCTGTATGTGGATCCAAGCAGATGTTAATCACAATGTGAACTGGCACACCTACACAGTCATGATCTAAACAGCTAAATGAGCTGTTCTTTCTTATAGTTTTGAGGGCAGGATCACAAGCCTTGGTGTGGGTCCAGTGAGTCTACACTCCTCACACAGTGCTGCTTTGAGTATACAATCCTCCTTCTTTGACTGCAAAACTGCAGGTCCCAAACACACTCATAAATCTTTCTTCCTTTGTTGCTAACAGTGTTTGCAGTGGTTCAGCAGTACAGAGTTTTCATTGTTTCAGCTGCTGTTTGCACTTTTTTTTTGTGATTCCTGCTGTTGCCTCCAGTTAGAGTGATGATCTGTGCAAGCTTTGAAATCAACAATAGTCTTTAACACTTGCACTGAATGAGATGAATGTGTGTAAACTTTGATTTACACTTTGTCTTTGATGACCGTCATTTACTTCCCCATTTAGAAAGTACTCTTCAAATTGGCCCAATTATGTGCAGTTCTTATGTAATGATGGTTTTTGGCTGACACTCTGTGTTGGACAGAGGTAAATGGAACCGTTTCACATTTTGTTTAAATAAAAAGAATAATGCCATGGTTGTTTCTCAGCAGGATTGAACTAGCTCATCTTCATGTGGTAAACCTAGCGATGGTTCCAGTGGTTTGACACTTGTCACTCTGGTTGTGTTGCCCAGTTCAACACAAAAAACAGATGTGACAGAAAAAAGCGTGAATGCTGAGATATATCAGGTTATTCGGTATGACCTTGACCGAGATACTCATGCCAGACACTTCTGCCTGCCGTCAGACTGTCTTGTTTAGACAGCCTTTTCAAAGCCAAATGACTCTATCCAACAACCAGACAAGCTCTTGGTATTAGTCTATTTTCTGCATTCACTGCCACAGGCCAATAATCTGAGCTGTTAGATGTGGGTTCAGACTTTGGTATTCTCAACAAATCAAAATGAAAAATGAGCTTCAACTGTGTAGATGTGTGCTGATGAAAACACATTTCATATTGCAATCTTTTACCTTTTCCAACTTGGCCTCCAAAACTCATAAAAACAAGATCCGGCGTCTGTTTTAACTGTACTGGTTGCGGCCAACAAATATGTTCAACTTAGTGTAGATATTTATATAGAAGAGTAAATAAAAGCACTTTGAGTGAATGAATCAACCTTGACCCATACATTGCAGTGTGTTGCGCCACATAAACACTTTGCTGGGCTTAGTCATTCAAAGTGAGCTGTAGAGGACTTCTAAACATTTCCTGAAGATCTGGGTCATTTTAATAGAGTGTGTCTGTGTTAAATGCCGTGTTACGTAGGATCATCAGATGAATCTAGAGCTTTGCCATCCTTTTTTTCCAAGTGGATGAGGTGCAGAATCAACAGAGTTGACAGGCATGACAGGAAGTGGTGTTTTCCAAGCCACCACAAGGGTTTCCTGGCACTTAAACACAACCACCTAACCCACTTTTTCCATGTAATCTTGCCCCCAACGAAGCGCATTTTCATCAAAGCTTCAGTACACCTGGCATTTTGCTTGGCAGTGTATTTCTTTGGCTTGCATTAACAGTATGTTGAAAGTACAGCATCAGCAGACACTCAGAGTTCAGAGCCTCTGTAACCTACTTGACCGCCCTCCAGTTCTTGCTGCTGGCCAGGGTTTTTGCTCGACTGTGTGCTGTTTGCGCTCCAAGTGTGCCTCCTCTCCAACTCATCTGGGTCAAGAGGCGCAGCTCCAATCTGCCATTTCTCGCTGCCTGTCATGCCTTCGGGAGAGCTAATATTCACATGTTGTAATGCGGCGATGAGTTCAAAGTAACAAGACAACTGGCCGCCAAAGAATTCTTTCGCAACACGTTGAAAGCGTCACAGTCGTTTCACGCACAGTGTACATTCTTGGCCAATCACTGTGATTTGTAATTTCCATTGATGTGATGAGGCTTAGTTCAAATTGCTCCTCGAACATGTGCAATGAATGATGATCAGTTAGAGTGGACAGCGCCAATGGCTTTATGTCTTAGCTGGAAGCTTTTCTTTGCTATAAGATATAAACTGAGCCTTTGATCAACCGTTTGGACGGAGATCCATCTGTGACTAAGAAATGATTGTTTCTCTTTGAATGCAATTATCGAGCAAATACTCTGAGCATGAAATAATACATGTCATGTATTAAATCCAGTCAAGTCTCCTGCTGTATGCAAATTAATCTTCCTTATGTAATCAAAATGTCTAAACACTGAAACATGATTTGGCCTCATAAGTTGAACATCATGTGTGTCCATAATGCTTCTCTCAGGTAATTCGCATTGTGTTAAATTACAACAATTGTTTTAAATTGACCTCATTTCTGAGAATAAAAGCAGAAGTTTGATGTCAATGTCATGTAGTTGTGTCGATTGTGAAATTAAAACCAGGTGGGATTAGTTTAGTTTTGCATTGAAACAGGAGAAAAGGGGACTGGGCTAGGTGATAGGCTGGGTTGGCTGTACTGAGTTATTTGTGAGCAAACAACAGAGACTTCACAATCCTATTTGTCACTGTGAGAAAGTAAACAAAAAAAGTATTCTGTGGCCTGATTTATTAAACTTAAGTGCCGAGTTTGGAAGCAGATTTAAGTAGTTAGTAGATTTTTATTTTATTTTCCTGGCACAGATTAGACATGTGGGTGTTCAAGTGCTGCAAAGTGTAATATGGCCGGTTGAGGGCAATGCAAAAAACCTCTGAATCTACTGTCAAAGAGTAACCTGGGCAGGCCGCCCAAGTATTTTCATCCATTCAAAATTTCCAGCACTGATCAATGAACTAGCAGATTATGTCCCCCTGCTCTGTAGGAAGACAGCCACATGCTCTGCAAGTGTTTAAAGAAGGAGAGAGAGGGCGAGTCACACTACTATTATTAATGAATTGTTTTGGTGGGGTCTTGTGAAGTGGGTTGCTACTGATGTCATTCCTTCCTCTTTTGATATTGGATCATTGCAGTATGCTTTGTCATTAGTCTGTCTGGTCTATAAGTGGATCACCTGTCGTGATGACACAGCAAAACAATTCAGAATGTGACCTCTGTCATTTTGGCATCTTCAGAAAGTATTGTAAAATATTTTGGCCAAAGATCCGAAAGTAATGTTTAGGAGGCAGGAAGTGTTTACTGAATATGAAGCCAGCAGATTGAGAGCTCCCCCTACTGACTATCTGCAGAACAGGTCATCTCCCTTATTCAAAGAAGGAACCAGCTTCAAACTAGAAAATTCAAATACAGGTCAAGTACTTTTTTTCATAGATTTAGTCTTTACCAGACTTTTGTTGTTGTCATGCTGTTTTTTTTGTCCAAGTGCTAATGTTTGTGGGAAGTTTAGTTTGAATTTGTTTTTTTCTCTTAATAGGTTATTTTGTAGTCAGCTCTGTTGACAAATGCAGGCTCCTGCAGCATCCTGTACTGAATTAGCTGAGCACACTGGGAAAAGCAAGAGAAAATGTAATGGACATTAACACAAGAGTCCGTGAAGTTTCCATAGCCAGAAGTGTCTGCTGCAGATCAACACACGAATCTGTTCTGCTGTGGACTGTTCTGACCCGAGGGATCTCTGATGTTGTATCGGTTAAGTTAAATACGTGTTTTGGACAGTGGAAAGGGTGTGACATCAGTGAATTAACTAGCCGGTTGCTTCTGCACATGCCTTGGCTGCACCAGAGTAATTTGTTGGTGCCTTTTTTTTTGGCCGTGTATCTCACAACTGGCTGAAATGAAGAGATGATGTCCAGCCTATATACTGTGAATGGTGAGCACATGTCACAATGACTTGGGGAGAGAAAGCAAAACACCAACGTCAGTATCACTATATAAATTTGTACCATAGTGTAGAAAATTGAGGTATGTAATTTCATATGCTATCTACTCATACTGCGTCATCGTGGGAAACACTGCATATGTATAATCAGTGATTGAAAAGATAAATAAATATAAAGCTTCCAGACATAAAGCAAAGTTAGAATTTATTTGGAGTCCATCTTCTGCCCACAGGGGTCATGAGTCAGTCATCAGTCTAGCTGTTAAATGCTATGTTGTCTTTTCTAGCTAATGCTAAATGTTTACTTTGCGCTTTTTATTTTTATTACTTGAGGGATTTTTAAAACCGGTCATTATATATCTCCAAAAACATACATTTCCTGATTCATCCATATATCCATATGTAATTGACATAGATAATTGATAAGAGGACTTTTACTCATAACTGACAGTTTTATTGTCTGGTATTAAAACAATCTGAATTTGCATACATTTTTATTTTTGATAGTTCAACCACAGATAGGATCTGTTACACAGTCTTTTAGCCCTCACCTCTTTGATGAAAAAATTTAGTCTGCTTTATTATCACATATATGATACTCCTGTTTGCAGTCTGCTTTGCTGCAGATGTTTTCTGCACTCCTATTCTTTGAATCTTTTCTATGGTCACTGCACACAATCTAAATGTAAATGATCTCTGTAAATCATGTGTCTTTGATTGTGGGAAGACCAGGATCCTGTCTAAAATGTGTTTAATTGTGCAGCCCGTAAAACAAGAGCGAAGTTAAGGTTTATAGTATCTTAGCAAAAGAGGAAGCAGTTAATCTTTAAAAATTTAGGATATAATTTTCATAGAACGTGCTAAAGTAGTCTTCCATGTCTTTTATTGAATGAAAATCCTCCCTGTAGGTCATTTTTATCAACAAAACACATTTAAATATTAAAAAAGACAATAAGGTTGAAGGTGAGGGCAATGATTGCTGCTGTGATATTAAGGGCCTCTTATTCAACATCAAGCTCACAGCTTGTATTGTGAAGCATCAGGACTCTTATAAGTCAGCATTTTTTGTCTATTTATTAAATTTTTGTCTGAGCTCTGGATGTGTATTCCTCAGACCTCATTTCAGAGCTGTCTTAATTAAAACTGTATGGCCATCAGTTGACACTCAGACATTTTCTCCATATGTCTGTTGAAACCATGTTCCATGTGATCTTGGCAGAGGTCTCTAAAATTGCTTTCAAGTCATCCAGAACAAGGCAGGGGAATGGTTCCTCTTTGGCTCTCTGAGGCCTTGAAGTCCCTAATGATGACATCAAACACTCAGATTGAGCCGTGCTTGCCCTGATCACCCTCTGATCTGCAGGCAGAGGGGGTGGTGGTGAGCTCATGCTGGGAGGAAGTCACTTTGCCATTGAGAGTCAGACAGTCAGACAGACAGTGCAACATCTGGCTCAGCCCAGGAAGTGAGGCAGGATGCTCGCAGGCCAGGTGTCACTGTAAACCATGGAAAAACCCAATCATGAATTAGAGTGGATGTTGTAGCTGGGTTAGCGACCTCCTGAAAGCCCTTACCACCTTGACACCAGCACCTCTTGTTTCCCTGTGTCACATCCTCTTCTCAGGATCCACCCTGGAGATTCAGGATCTAGGTCAGCAGCTGTCGGCTAAAGATGCTGCCTGTCGTCTTTCAAAAAGATGACGTGAGAGACTATTATCAAATGTTTGTCTCTTTTTTCCCCTCCTCATTTAGTGTCCTGTTGCCCTTGGAAACAGGAATGCTGTTTGTATGCTAGAGACATGCATAGGCTTGTGCTACATCTAGTACAGCTGGGAAAGGGTGTGTATGTGTGTATACAAGTGTGTACATATTTTATGCACACGTGTGTTTGTTTGCCAGATTATTGTTGTGTGTTTGTGGCAAGACGGAGCTGATTCAGTGTGTAAATACGTGGTGTGTGGCTGCAAACCACTCATAATAAATGATAATTCATGGTTTATATCCTCATTTGAGCTTTGATTACAGCCTCAATTACCTTACAGGGCCACAGGTGGGCTTTGTAGATCTTTTCTTCTGATCTACTCGGCACGGTCCATCTTTGTCTTGCTCTGTTGACTGTCTGTCAGGGCAGATCAGTGGGAACCAGATGTTTTCTTGCAGACCCGAATCCCAGCTTTCTCAGAGCTGAAGCAAACCTGTCTGTCTGCCTGCCCGTCTGTCTGAGAGGCACGCGCCTCCCCCAGGTCGCTCACATGAGCTCAGCTTCCAGGTCGAGCAGCACAGCCTCAGTAATTGACCCAAATCAAATGCTCACTGGTGAAAAAAAACGTGCCCCTCGCAGCCCTGGTTGAGCTTTGTTCTTCGACCCTAGTTTTAATACTTCCTCTGGCCCGGTTCAACTCTCAGGATGTTGCTCCCTGGTTGGCCATGTCAGATAGAACAGGGAGTTCATAATCTAGTCAAGCAGACACAATAGGTGATGGAAGGGTTTTGCAGTCCTGATGGGAAGATCTAATGATTGAATAACACACTTTTTGTGTGTTAAGACCAGGCACGCACACCCACAAACTGGGAGAAACTGTAAGTCTTCTTCTGTTTTTGCTGCCTGGTGCTTCATTTCGTGTTAATCAGCAGTGAAAAATCTTCTCTTGCGAAATCTCTTTCAAGTCAAACTGAGTTTTTCATTAATTAGTGAGGGTCACGGCTCTCTGACTTACAGCAGATGTTAGTCGAGACGTGCTATGTGCTAAAGGAATGATATGGTAGTATTAATTTGATTAAAAATGAATTATTTTCAAATCATTTTGTCTCTTCTATAAAATCAATTAAGCAAGGCTATGACCTAAGAGAGCGTGTTTGTCCCTGAGGATTATTATTTTCTGCTGCGCACACTGACCACACTTTAATGGATTTCATGGTGATGCACATACAGTGCTGATGGGTGTATCTTCCTAAGTGTGTATATGTGTGCGGAACATTAGCTTTAGTGTGAGGTCATGTGTTTATGGTCTTGTGATGATGTGACTGACAGGACCCAAGTGAGACGAGGACCCCCTGACTCCTCCCCTCAGCAGACCGGGACCTCCCGCACTGTGAAACGTTATCCATCATCCTCCGGGCCCATAACCTCCAATGCGCTACCCAATGGCAACGGCTATGGTAACAGCCACATCCATGAAAACAGGAACTGGCATGGACACAGAAATGGGCATGGCAACGTGCAGAGGCCTACCAGTGACAGACACGGACAGTTCAACAATGCATTGTCACCTGCAGGTAAGAAGGAAAAAACACAAAACATGTTTGTTGCATAATGTGACGTGAATTTCTGCTCCTGCTAAACAGGCGTACTTAAGTTTCCACTCTCCCCAGATGCGTCAAAACAGACACGGCCCATTCTGGCTGAGTTCTCTGACGCTAGGATACATACATACACATCCTGTGGTGTCATCATTTAATGGAACATTAGCCACAGAAAAAAAACACTGGCGGCTTCCCAGGCTGCACTTCCCTTCTTCTTCTCTGTCCACCCACATACAAGAGACACAAGATTTATGCCTGAGCTGCATTCAGTGTGTGTGTGTGTGTGTGTGTGCTCTACTGGTCTGAACTCTGCATGATCATGATGTGTGTTGTTGCATGTTGCACGCTTTGGTATCTTTAGCAATCTGCACTGTCACCTCTCTGGCATGACAGGCACTGAAGCTTGGCGTCCTCACCCACAACAAAAAGAAATGTGATATTGTCTCTACTAATTTCTTACTCTCCCTCCACGACATCATCATCCTCTCATCCACTATCCAGCTCACACAGCTGTCTGCTCTTCAGACTCTTGTTTTGCAGCCGTGTAGCAGAGCAACGGTTGTTGAACCGCTTCCCAACATTACACATCATACTCTCTTTGTCTCCTGCACACAGACACACATCCAAAACACCTTTTACAAAGATAAAGGGCTTGGATGCTGGCCCGATACCTAACAGTGTTCTCTCCCTCTATTTCCTGGCCTGTGGCACATCGCTCACTCAGCTGCAGCGTGCCACTGGCCAGCCGTCAGCACACACCCTCGCACACTTATAAACCTCCCTTTGCCCAGATGGGGAGTGTGTCACAGTGAGGCTGAAGGAGGAAGGATGCAGCTCGTCTTCAGCTCGTCTCCACAGCTTCTTCTTCTTCTTCTTCTCACCCAACTATGTAATTGTTTTCCAGGGTCCAACCTGACCTCCAACCTGGACCGCATCAAGATTGTCTTCACCCCCATGTTGTGTCGCAGGGTGTGCAACGGCGGGCGTTGCTACGACAGCTGCGAGAAAGGAGACATCACCACAGTCTACAGTGAAAACTCGCAACAGCAGCAGCAGCAACAGCAGCAGCAGCAGCAGCCAAACAACCAGGGCTTCAGACTCTGTGAGTGTCGACAAAGGGCCCCTGATATCTGCTTGGCATCCTTTCTGTTTACATCGCTTCTCCTTTCTCCCGCTCTGTCTCTCTTGTTGACGTTTTGTTTCTCACACATTTCCCTTTGTGCCTCCATCCTTCTTTTCTTGCTCCTTTTTTATGGGGTGAGCTTGACAAGGCAGATCCAGTTGGTGGCATGCTGTCTGATCTGAAGACTGGCTCAGAGTGGAGGAATAGTGGTTTAGAATAAACTTGAGGACTACACTGAAAAGCTCTCAAAGAGAAAAAGAAAACAGGGAGAGCAGGAGAGAAAGGGAAGACCAGTTTAAAGCAGGCTCTGTTGAAGGGGGCTAATCCCCCCCTTATTCCTCACACAAACACACGCACACACATACACACACACGCGCGGAGCTGGTGGTCCCACGCTCCCAACACTTAGCCCCATCTCTTTGCGGTTCGCACCTCATGGTCAACCCTGCCGTTAACCATTTAATGTGCTCCCTGGGTGAGCAGGAAAGAATGAATGAGGAGAGAGAGAGGCAGAAAGAGAGAAAGAGTAGCAGCGTGAACAGGATTTTATAGGGATTACATTAAACCTCCCATTTATCCGGGGGGCTTTCTTCCAAGTTCACACAGGAGTGTCCATGGGTCTGGGACGGGGGGGGCGGTCAATGCCAAGGAGAGGGTCGTACCCCAGCATGCTTTCTAGTTTCTCATCAGTTGAAACAGTGCAGCTAAGGTTCAGACTAATTACTACTTGGGGATTACAGGGTGCAGCTACCATACACACACTCTTGTCACAACACACTTGAAAACAAGCTCAAAGTGGTGGCGCACAAAGACGCACTAGCTTTCACCTAAGTGCACTGAAGGACCTGTTTGACTTTTGAATGTCTGTGAATATAGCTCTCAATGTTAGGGCTTGATATTCCAAACAGTCCAGCGTCCTGGCAGAAACCATCCTCAAGTTTACATTCCTGGCACCTCCACTTTCTTTCTTCCTGCGCACTGGTTTGTTTTTGTGCTCCATTTGTATTTCTGCAGGAATCTCCCTCCATTATGTCAAATCATGTGCTAAAGAGGGTGTTAAAAAGAGATTGCTTTCCATTTAGACTTGCATCCTGTTATTGCTTGGGGTGTGCGTGTTCGTCGAGGAATGTCAAGTGGACAGCAAACAGTTATCTCATGCTGTTGTTATGTTCCCTACACGGTGCAGTAAAATCTGGATGGATAATTACAACAGGCTCCCTTGATACGCACCGTGTGTACAGCGCTTACCATAAAGCCTGATATTAGATTGGGTAGAAAGGATTTTATTGAGTGAGAAGTGTGTGTGTGTGTGTGTGTCTGTGTGTCTGTTTTGTTGTAAGAGCTTGTTAAATGGACAGACAGACAGGCAGACAGTGTGCGGAGACAGCAGAAGGGTTCTTGTCTAAGAATAGTTCCTTGCCCCATGCTGATGTAGGACTGGACTGACGCAGGCCGGTGCAGACCTGCAGCCCACATTGAGAGGATTTAATGACCTCCTTGAGTTGATAATTTAGCCAGCATGTCTAATCACTGGAGGCCTTCCTGTGTGTGTGTTGGGACACCAAAGATTTGTCTCTGTCTGCGTTTCCACAACTTTTTTTCCTCACGTTGTCTATCCCCACTGTTCCCTCCTGTCTCTCCTCTGTTTTCAATCGACCCTGTTCACATTTTCCTCCCCTAATCCCCTTCGTTCTCTATCTTCTATTCTTATTCCATCCCTCCCTCTTTCCCTCCTCCAGTCTCACTCTTGTTAATACTTTGTGACAGGGAGCTCATTCCCAACATGCCATCCAGACTGTCCAGCGTCTCTCTGTTCCCCGTTTGCACCCTGTTAGTGTGTTTCTGTCTGTTCAGGGAGGACAGGGAGGATGCGGCTCACAGCATGTTTCCATCACTAGTGTCCTCTTTCATCTCTCAGTATGTGGGCCATCTGTATCTCCAACAGTCTTGTAAAGGACTTGTCTTATTTGTTGTGTGTGCTACTGCTGAACCTGAGGAAAATCAGACACAAGAAGCAGGATCCAAACTTCTTCTTTTTCTTATTCGTCATGGCTGGGTGGATTCTTTTATCGTACAGTCTTTGAAGTTTTGAGTTAGGTCAGATCAGAATGAATCTGTAGACAGAAGCAGGCGCAGGTATTTAGGGTGTCGGCCTGGTACCCATCCTTTATGCCAAAAGATAAGGCCAATGAAAGGGGTGTCTAAGCACTTCTGTCAAACACCATCTGTCTCCAGCTGGTCTCTCCTTTCTTTTTCTCCTCATGCTTAATCGCTTTAGAAACTATAAATCAAATTATAACCTAGCATGTCCTGGGATTAACTTGTATGATCAAAAGCTGGTTGGCCTCCTTTGAAGTTTAAAACAAGATTTGATAGTTTGAGAAGTTTTCCTTTCCTCACTTCCTCACACACACATCCAGACTCTTGTTAGTTTTCAAAGAATTACAGGACAAACCATCAGTCATCACCTCGCACAGAAGTATGTAATTATTGATGTGAGGCAAAACATGCCAATAAAAGAGGTGCAGCATGAGGGGCAGTGCCATGGCTCTGCCCTCAGGACAGAGCTGAAACTTTTAAATGTCATGTGAAATGAGGTGTTGGGTAATGTGCAACTAGCTGTTTGCAAACAAAGCATGTCCACATGAAGCTTTTCCACATGCTATTTCGATCAGGGCTGACACTTCTGTTTCTTATTACCAGATTCTTGTGTACAAGTGTGCATAAATTTGCGCAGTGACAGGTGACGTTTTTATGTGCTAATGAATCCCTTCACTCCCTCCCCCCTCATCTTTTTCTCTTTATCTCTGACTCATTCACCCTTGTTATTTCTCTCACCCTCCTCCTTGCAGTCTTCTGTCAGATACCCTGTCTAAACGGAGGACGATGCATAGGAAGGGACCAGTGCTGGTGCCCGTCAAACTCCACAGGGAAGTTTTGTCACTTGCCGGCCCCACCTCCTGCCAGACCCACCCCTCACAGCAACAAGGATATCAACCACCAGGGTCCGAAATCTCCTGCCCATTCTATGTACACTCTACCACTGTCCAACCAGCAAGGTAATTCCACTGAACTGTGGGCTCTGAGACGTACCCGTCAACTCAATTACAACCCTATTTATGCAAATGATTTAAATGCAAAACTATAAGAACCCCCTCCCCTTGGGTCTGCTTTTGGGGTGTGGCTATATATAATTTACTAAATGTAATCTTATCTGCATCTGTTTTCCTGACCTTTATAAAGTCACTTTCGGCATAAAAACTTGGGTCTTTGAGACTTTAAATGAGAGTGTCAGACAGTGAAGTCATAGTAGCTGCATCTACTTCCTATATGCATCCTTTGATTCACACTCAAGGGAGACAAGACACAACTTTGTGCCAACTGACTGCCGACTTCAGCCAGATTCTTGTCTCATTACTGTCTGCTCACCGTTTCACTTGTGTAGCAGTTTTAGCTCAAACAGAGGGGAGTTTAAGAGGGGATGGTGCAACTCAGCAAGCAGCAAAAACTCGTTCAGTTATGGATACTCAAGCTGTTGCTTTTGCCAAAAGTCAGTATAGTCAAGAGGGCTTTGCGTTGGTCATTTCTACTCAAATCAACAACAGAGGTAATTTGTGCCAGCTGCACAACTTCTCCACAAAATTCCAGCTAATCTTTTTCTAAATGTCTACCTGAATGTGATCTTTCATTTTGTACACTGTTTATTGTAAAGCACTCTGCCTTTTGAGGACAGCAGCAGTGGAGGTCAGACTCTATTTTGAGCGTCTAGAGTAATGACTCAGTGGAAGTCCTCATATTTTTTCCACAAAGCCTCTTTTTATCAAGCTGGAGAGGATATTAGAAACAGACGAAGGGAGCATCGTGAAGTTATAAGAAAGAATGTAAAGAAGAAGTATTTGCTCATTTTTCCATCCCTGTCTCTGATATCATTTTTTATGTCATCACATTTGGCTCGGTATCTGGTGCTGTCTGACAGTAAGTAGAAGCAGAAGCTTCATTATAGATATTTGGGATTCCACTTTGAAATCTTTTATCCATCATTTTGAATTTAACTTCAAAAATAATCAGAAATAAATAATCCATGTCCACAGTTTGCATTTTTTGTCACAACATAAAAGTGATCTAAGGCTTTAAAGATTCACAGAGGCAGTTTCACGTGCAGGGCTCTTGATAAGGCCCACTTTTTCTCCTTGGATTCTCCCTGCAGTCTGTCTGTGTGACTATGATTTATGAGAGTGGGTCAGGATATTGGGAAAAAACCCTGGCACTCCCCGAAGATAGATGCTTCCCTTCTGTCAGAAGGACAAAAGAGCTCATTCTCCACATTACAACATCGTTTTAACTCTTAAACAACTCTGTTTTTAGTCTTTAAGAAAATTTGATTTGAGCCAAAGATTCCCTGTCTTTTTGTGTTGTTGTTTTGTCGAATCTTAAGATCTGCTGGGAATTCCTCATGTAGATCACATAACTTGGTGATGAAGCAAGTGAAAACAATATTTGTTACTTCTCTGTCAACGGTCTGTCCACTTGGAAAATATAAACCTTCCACTAAATTGTGTAAACTCTCGCTCTCTCCTTCTGTAGTCTCCCTCCACCCATCCTTGGTGAACGTCCATATTCAGCACCCTCCAGAGGCCGAAGTCCACATCCACCAAGTAGCTCGAGTCCAGCCTGGGCAGAGACCTTCCACCACAGAGGGGGCTCACTCAGTTCAGCAGCGCTCCCAGCCTGGAAATGGGCATGAAACGCACTCCAGTGGGAATGGAAATGGGAACGGGAACAGCTACGGCCATGTCAGACCTCACAACCGTCAAAATGGACACGTGGGGAGATGCTTTCAGGAAACAGTGGATGGGCAGGTAGCTATTGTGTTAGGTCATTAAAGCACACCATGTTCACTGTCATCACTAGCTGATGTAAGCCACCTGGAGTATCCTTCCTCTCTGTAGGTGTTGAAACAAGTCAAGGAAAAGCGTTGTACCATATTACCACAGGTTATATAACTCCACGCTCCCAACCCATCACCTCCTGTCAGATCTACTGTCTCAAACAGGAAGTGGTTTTGTGGCTATGATTTATGTCATGTAAATGATTTATGAGCTCTGTAGATTCTGGTCATCTCATATTTCTGCTGTGGTATGTTATAACTTTGGATGTGATCAGGGGCCAAAGTCTAGACCTGAAACCCTGCACATGTGATCCTCTTTTTGACCTGAATGGGCATGCTCACAGTGTGGCACAAACTAGAGACTGACGGTTATTTTCATGGTAGGATAATGTATTAGTATCACAACAGACGGGCAGCTATGACAGTGAAAGTAAGGTTAGAAAAGGTAAAGATGGAGCATAAACTTAGTTAATCCCAGGTCTAATAGTCCATCAGTTTTTGACTAAACATTTTTGAGTTCGCAGTCTCAGTTACGCTACTCTCTCTGGTATATTTGAAAGGTAATTTCTTGAATAAGTTTGCAAGTGCTAAACTACAGCTCTGGCTTTCTCCACTCTGGTTTCACAGAGAGTTTGAAATGAAAGCTTCAGCCTTTTTTCGTAACTGCAAACCAAAAAAAAAAAAAAAAAAAAACGAACACAGGAAAGCTTTTCCTTCTCTCCTGCCAGTCTGCCAGTTCAGTGTTCTCCAGAAGAATGCCTCTCTGTTGCCTCTTTAATTTCATAAATCTCCGTTGGCCAAAAAAAATCCAATAAGTACGGTCTGATAGGAATCTCCCTTCACAATTAGCCAAGTGCCTAAATGAAGGCACGCTAGAAGGTTCATAGCGGGTCTTGAGCCTCAGTGTTTATGTCCTCCTCCTTCTAAGTAGTCTCAGATGTGTCTGGTTCTCTTTGTCCTTGCAGATAGGTATACACGCACACTCCGACACAAACACACTGACAAGCGATGTCTTTGCCAACAAACACACATTTGCAAGCAAACAAGCATGCATGTGCAAACATGTAACACTCATTTTCATAACTCCTTTAAAGTAACACAGATGTGTGTTGTTGTAGTGTGGCAAGCCTCTGCCAGGACTTACCAAACAGGATGATTGCTGTGGAAGTGTGGGTGCCTCCTGGGGTCTAAACAAGTGCCAAAAGTGTCCAGCCAAACCAGGTAAAGCCAATCTGGGCAATTTTTGGTTACGCTGTGTTCTATAACATGCTTAAAACTGATCTATTTCTAATCCAGTATAATTCTGCTGGAATTCATTTCTGTATTGCCTTTGGTATGTTGATCTCTTGGTATTCTTGATCTGTTGTACATGCTGGTTTAAAACAGACTTAACTGGGCTCCTCTCTCATAGAGCTGGATATGAAGGGGGTTAGTAGACAATTGACCATATTCACCTGGCAGCCATTTTCCTCTTACATCATGCTTGCAGTGGGAAGTTAATATGCTGTTATTAAGTCATACTGAATGTTATATGAAAAGAAGAATACTTGACAAATTATCACGTCAGTCCAAAGGTGAAAGTAGGATAAGGTTCTTGCAAATACTGTACCAGTAGGCTTTGTACAAGAGGATCTCTCTTTCTCTTGAACATAAAGTCATTTTTTTCTGCATTTTGTTTTATTTCTGCAGTAAGATTGAAGCAGCTGTCTCTTTAAGCAGCTGCCTCCTTCCACAGGGGGGAGGCAGTCCCCAGCACCTAGGCAACCAGCATCCAATCAAAAGTGCGCACTGAGCGCTCCCACTTCTGGAGTTTGTTTGCGGAAGCAAATACGACTCACTCGCAAGAAGCATAGTCTTATTGGATTACTACATCAGTCTGCAGGGTGCAGACTGATGTGCGGCAACACGGTAGCAAATGTGGCCTACATACATAGCAGGGGTGAAATTTTGCATACCGCTGTGTACCGGCTTACTTTCACCCCTGCGTCAGCCCCTCTAAACTGTAATGGCCAGCAGATATTGAAAAAAAGCTGATAACAGGCAATGTTAATGATTAACTACCTTCTTCTTAATGTAGCCATTGGCTGGGAATGTTTTTTTGTAGTTGTAATGTGCTATTCTCCTTGGACTGATTTGTTGTGAGGGACCAAGTCTTCCTCAGCAACACTTAACTGCTGTGAAATAGTACACTGTTGTTAGGCTTTGGACGATCAGAATTAAGTATCTAACACAGAGAGTTAATGGAAACATGGCACCATTTCCTAGGTAATGATAATGTACGCTGGAAAGGGAATGAAATCTAGCCTTATTCCCTTCTCAATCGTTAGTAAATTCATTAAGTTTATACAGATTACAACTTTAAGATATAGCATTATGACATTTAAACAGCTTTGCAGCTTCCCATAGGGTTGATGTTACCTACATGAGAGCATAGTAAATACTGGAGACTGAAGATATTAAGCAGTCTTCTTTAGCTTCTTTCACTCTCTGAGGAGGGTGTGTGGCTCGTCTATGTAAGTACCCGACTGTAAAAATGAAGCTGTTCTAGCTACTTTAAAACCAAGAGCGGGAAGCAAATGAAAACACATTAAACATAAAGATGAGAGCCTGGCAGGAGTGCCACCCACCCTGCGGGTGAATTGAGCCAATGAGGGAATGAAAAGAGTGAGAAAATAATCAACCGCAGTTCAGCTGCTTCCCAACCAGAGCTGCGGTAGGTTTGAGAGACTGCAGCAGGGTGGTTGAATGCTGGCAGACTGGGTGGGTGGTGACACCCTTTACTGTAGATGGAGGCTGTGAGTGGGCCTGACAGCTCTCTGTGTTTTTTAAGGGCACGGTTATATCCCAGGGCTGGTGCAGGACTTGTTTTCAAGAGCATCTTGAAAGCAGGCTTCAGAGGCACATGGGGACACTGTTTGTATAATATAATGTTTTATAACTCTGATACCTGCAGATGTCAATGCCTGTTTAATGTCAGACTTGACCTTAATCAAAAGCAGACATCATCCTTCTCTGACTCCTCCATCTATCATAGCTGCCGATCCATCCTTTTCTCCTCTACTGTCTATCTATTTCAGCATGCCAGACTCCTGCTCCTCCTAAGTCCCCGGCATGATCTCTTTTGGCTTCCAGATGTTTTCTCTGCTCTCTTCTTTGAAGTTTGGGGGAGAAGCAGAGAAAATACCCCATTCCCTCATTTTCTGGATTTTTCTGAGGTCGGGGTCCCAGGTCACACGCAGGCAGGCAGAGGAGAGAGGACAGGTAGAGTGGAAAAAATAAGTCGAAATGAAGTCAGGTGATGTGTCCTAGAAGTCTGAAGGAAGCTGCAGTTTAATAGGAGACATGCCTTGAATTCCTCTGGTGTGTTATTCTTAGTTTAGACACTTGGCTGGATCTCTCATTTGCATTCCCACATCACTGGATAAGATTTATGCTTTCATACAGTCATGACAGGAATGATATACAACCTGGAGACAAAAGCCCCTTAAAAATGAGGCTGTCCCCTTTTTTCCACAGTCAGTGGGTCAGTTGTCGGTTGGGAGTGTGAGGAAAAGTCATAACACTGTATAGGAGTCTCCTGTGTCTCTCGTTGAGTATGTGATAATGATGTCATGAAAGGCCAGTTTGAATAAAAGGGTGTAACATTACTATTGGTCAGTTTATGGCCAGTTATAAAAAACTACTACTTCATTTATTTTATGACATTTATAGTTGATGAAAACTTGAGCAGACTTCAGACAGTTTGGTTGTTGACAGCTTTTCTTACTTCCTGTTAAACTCAGGTATCTCTGTCTACTTAATATACACTCACTGTCAATATTTGTAAGAATGAAGACTTAATATCAGCCCAGGTGTTTACATAAATATTACAGACTTATTATCTGTAGCTAGTTTAGAAGTCTTGTTATATCACTTTGTAAATATGTATGAATTGCTGCATTATATAGGCGGATATTATTCAGTCCTACACCAAGGACTTTGTGTCACTGTTTTGGCAATGAGGGAAGGGATTACGTGTCTGAAAAGACTGAGTCTGTGTGTGTGTGTCAATGAGATGTGATGTTATGGAGGCAAAGCCGCCAGCATGTCCCATCACAGTGGGAGCCGAAGCCTTTAGGAGCCAGCGCCTTCAAAGTTGCATGCTGAGGATTCCTGGGTGGTAATGAGATCCAGACCAGCCAAAAGAGGCTGCAGTCAGCTCTGGTTCTGATGATTAGGTGGAGTCATAAAACTCTGTACCACACTCTGTTTGAATTTGAATCCTGTTCAATCTGGGTTTGTAATACCTGATATGAACTGATGTTAAACAGGTGGAAACTTTGCTTTGGAAGGAACGACAGCTAACTGACTTACTGAGTGGATACAGTTAAGATGCGTACATACACAGTTTCAGAAAGAATATCTTAAATGTGAGGCATGGGTTTATAGGAGGAGATTAATGTATTAACAGTAGCTTATGATGACGCCATTACTTGATCTCTCTAAGTATAGTTTCTCGTACAATTGTTGATAACATTGAGGATCATTGCCTCATACATGAAATCGTAGGTAGGACCATAGGCAGTAGAAACTGGCCAAGCAGTAGCTGCCCTAGTCTTCTTGGGAACAAGTCTCCTCCATCACACCTCTTGTCAGTGTCATATTCAGCAAATGTTTTCTGACAGTCTTCAGCTAGCTGTCTGTGTTTTTTTTAAAGAGATCCATAACGTGTACATTAACCTGACTTTGGGAACGTGCAAAAACAAAGAACCCCAAAAAGAGTAAATCAGTGCAGTCCTCTACATCTACACCTGATAGATATGGCACTACATAAGGATTTTGAGAATTGCTTTCTCATGTCGAGGCTAATTTACCCGAAGCAACTAGCTTTCTGGAGTTTGCCATATTACTTGTAAATGCTTCATTGTTCGAGCTGGTTCTCTGGCAGTGTCCATCCACTCCTTTTTTTTTATCAGTGGAGGTTCTCCAAGCCTAAAACTGAGGGCCGTTTATTGTGGCCTGGTTCTGACCTATATTCCAGCCCTGGCATGACTCTGTATAATTGTGCTGGCAGCCCCTCCCTCACTGTAAGTTTCACAGCTAATGGAATCCCACAAGCCATTTGTCTCTGCATCTGTCATTACTGGGCAGCTTCCCTCTCTGTGCCTCTCCCCCGTCTGCAATGCTGGGAGGCTTCCCAGGGAGCCAGACCAGAAGTCCCCTGGGCCTAAAGCAAACCACCACACCCACAGGAGCTTTGGCTTCCTTCTGCTCTGCCTGCTGGGGTCATCAAGGTCGTCATGATATCACCACCTGGACGCTGCCTTGGCCCCGCCTTTTATTCCACCTCTCGTCTGCCTGTTGGGCTTCTTCTTCTCCCCGTAATAAGGACACTATCCTTCATGAGGTTTGGATCAATACTGTCAGGAGGAGGGGGGCCCATGGAGCTCCATGACTTCCAGATCTTCCCACATGAACTCATCCCTCCCAATTCTCCCATCTATTCCCCAGACATTTGATCTGACATCCATAGCAGGGCCAAATCTTGCACTTATTACTTTCTATTAGCACTGATCAAACATGAACACTTGTTAATGACCAAGTTAACCCAGAGATGCATGACTTTCTCTCAGAAATAGTCAGCAAGAGAACAGATGCATTGGAAAAGCTCCAAAGCAGCTTTTGGGATGATTATAAGATAGAGACGTCACGTATCATTGACAGCATTTGATTCATTGATGTTGACTTAGTTTATCCCTTCACAACTCGAACGATGGAACCTATTATCCAGGCAGCATTGTGGCCAATCAGGGCTGAGCAGACCTAACCACTAGGAGAGATCAATCCAGGTTGGAAGCAGATGGATGCAAAGTTTGTGTTGCATTTCTCAATAGGATACAAGCTATGCTAAGCAAATATTTATTGGGAATATACCGTGGCATGCCTTCTGTTGGAAACTTGCCCAGGTGGAAAATGTTCCACTGTGAATCGTAGATTATAGAGGAATGTGGATCTGTTTTAAATGTGCGTTTGAAGCAGGCTGCATTGCCATCAGCGTCCTGGAGAAGGGCGTTAAGCAGAATTGTCAAACTACAAACAGAGATGTTGACTTGCATACTTTCGTGAATACAGACAATGAGAAGTATGTTTTGAGTAAGAAAAAAAATTAAATAATCTCTATCAAAGCTTGTACTTGCTGCTTCACATTTGCCGTTGGATCACAGGATTGAAACAATACAACACAAATAAACAGCCAAGACTGTTAATGATTTAGCAAACATCTCCTAGCGTGTATACTGGATATGGGTCAATGTCTCTTTAGCAGAGAAATATTAATAATTGTGCATTGTGTCCTGACTCATCAACATTTGCTTCACTACGAAGGACACATGTTTTTAAAGGCATGTGATACTTGCTAAATTGGCAGATGTGGTGAGGAAACTCTGTTTTAAAAGCAAATAACTTCTTTTAAGACCGTTTTCTTCAATCAGGAATTGGCTCAAAGGCCAAAACAAAATGGCTCAAAAGACCTGAAACCCTTCATGGTGATTAAAGAGCTTGGTTTCTTCTTTTTTTTTTTTTTCTAGTGGCACCAGCTTGTTCTGTGGCAGATTGTCAGGAAGTAAATTGCTGAAAAAGGACCTAAGGAGACTTTTGCTTTGTTTCCAGTAGGTTGTTTTCCTATATACTGACCCCTTACGATTCAGACAGGAAAGCTGTTAACTGCCCGTGTCCTGTTGATGGCATCAATCCTTCCTCACTTCTGTATGCTGCATGTTGCCAGCCAGCTCAGGGTTGAAGCCAAACATTGAAGTTGCCTCCTAGCCAGGTCTCTGGGGAAAGTGGTGAAGAGTTCTGAGGTCTGTGATTGATGGACCAGACCTCTTAATCGTCTTTGTAGAACAGTCTGCAGGCGGGGTGGTCTGCAGAGTGATTGTTCCAAATGACCAATTCGAGATTTCAGCACTACTGAGGAATCCGTACGAGTATAAACTCTCTACTTTCTCAGCCTCCTGCCTGCTTCTCTCTTTGCTCAACCTCTTAGTTTGCATAAGCCCTCCTTTCATTTGAATACACTCAGCAGCACCCTGCATGGAGCAAATTTTACTTTCACATGAAAAAGAAACCAAAGGAATTTATTCAGGTTTTTATACAGGACTGCAATGCCAAGAAAGAAGCCCCAAGGACTCTGGATTACACTTTTGGGTCAGAGAATTTGAGCAAATATTATTGAACAGTTGCCAGTGGAATGCAAAACACAACTGAATGGAGATGGACAATAAATTAGTAAGGGGTGACAAAGTCTTTTGTTGAACAGGGCTAAATGGACGGGCAACAATCGGAAGGTTCTGTCTGTAGCCTCAGTGGATACAGACCAGTCTGGGTCTACAGTCTTTGTAACCAGGGGTGACACTAATGATGCGCAGCTTGGGCTCACTGTTGCAAGCCACTGCCTGTGTTACTCTGTTTTCTAACACAAACGACTGCAGAAGCAAGCATGAGAACAGAAACATCATTAAATTCTCTCAGGATCCCTCAAACCTTGCTTAGAAGTTATCTTGTATGGGTCGAAAGACTTGTTTCAAGAAATGGAAGGAAATGTGTTGAACAGAAGGAATTGTGCACTAAGTTTCAGCTGTTGGTTTTCAACTATCACCTCATACAAGTTGCTCTGAGGGAGCAATAATGTTCTGGCAAACTGATCTAAGATAAAGAAAAAACATGTTTGGATACTAGCTGATCCAGGAAATGTTGGGTAAGGTCTGCCAAATTAGATCTTTTGTGCAAATTGATTTTTATGACCATGTACTGTAAATGTCTGTGGAAACATACTAACTTTAAATCTCTGTTCAGTATCTTTGCAATACTAAAGACAAGACTAATGTTTCGATGCTCTTCAAGACGTCTGTCTGTATCTCTTCTCTTACGCTTTTTTAAAATAAGCTAAATTTGAGAGTGAGCTGTCTCTTAGACTTACATTGAAGTTTTTACCACCACAGAGGTCCTCACCTCCCCGCTAATAAGCTTTATTGAGACACCCGGACCTCCCCCACTGAGCTCCTCTTGGCATGTGCGCCCTGCTGTCACTCAGGCCAGACTTTCCCTGATCCCCTCGCTGCAGGAGGGCGTGCCCACCGCCCTACCACAACAACTCATTACTCAGAAACTTTGAAATGAGGATTAGCCGAGTGCAGAGGAAGATGAGGAGGTGGGCAGACAGGAACAGGGCCGTCGCTTTGACACAGTTCCCCCCTTTTACCCGTTGCCCCCTTCATGCTGACCCACTTCTGCTTTGTCAACCCTCAGGTACATTGACCCGGCCTGGTCTACTGGGTCACAGCAGGACCAAAACATAACTCAGCGTCCAGGACGATGTTCCCAGACAGCCTCCATGTGGCAAACATTCCAGTCTCTCCTGGGAAAATGACACAAACTCATGACTGACTGCTGGGTTCTGTTTTGACAATATCTGTTTGTAGGACTTCTGAGTTGGTATCTTTTAAACTTTCAGACCACTTGGTTTGGATTTTCAGCCAGAACAGTGCTGTATAGTTTACGGCAACCAACTTATAAAATGAATGACAGTGCTTCTTAATGAAAGCTTGGCAAAACTGCAAATTTATTTAATATTTGCTTTTGCCCAGAGTGTTCAGTGGCAAAACTATCTGACAAGGACACAAGTTTGAAGATGAGATTTATTTGTCCGTTGGCTGTGGCTTTCGAAAGCTTTGATCACAAAAACGACAATTTTTCTCCTTTTCCCACACCACTCTGCCAGGATAGACATGTTTTTCTTTGCTGGCAAGGTGTGACTCTACTTTCTTGAATGCATCAGCTCACTTTTGATCCTTTGTCACCGTCTGCACCAAGTCATCTACGATTGATGTTCTTTGGTAAAACCATATTTTCTCTGGCTGTGTGAACACCCAAAGATGTCATCACTGTAATTTGTTTCTGTGATGGCTGAATGTGAGGGCGAAATATTGGAAACCATGATTTCTCTTTACTCTTGCATTAGATTAAAATGAGTATGGTGATGCAATAAGTAATGAAGTCCTATTTCATGTTTTGGAAAAGTTAAAAGTGTCTTGAGCTTAAGCTGTACAAAACAGTAGGAGCGCTGTGTAAAACATTAATAAAAACAGATTTCAAATGTTTGCATCATCAAAAATACAAATATAATTAGAATACTATTTACAGTTTCAGAAAATCTAGAGAAATCTCCATACGAAAATGATCCTCAGGTGGCACTACAGTCAAAACAGACATGACTCTGTAGTGGAAAGCTCTGCATGGCCATGATTAGTGAGCATAGTTTGATGTCGGTTAAAACCGTACAATGCAAAAATGAATTTGTTTAATTTCTGCCAAGATATCCCCTGTTGTTTTGATGCTCAAGTATTGAACAGAGGTATGACTATCATGTGTAGAACAGTTCTACCATCACTGCTCGACACTGTCTGATTAATGCCTGTTATCTAAACAGACTATAACAGTGAAAAACAGCTCCAGCATACTTGGACACATTTTGTTTTTCTCACTTCAAAATTATTGGACAATGATTTGCTGTCCAACAATCACCCTAGTTTGAAAACTTGGTTGTTCACACTGTGTCTTTCCCTCAGTGTGTAGTGTCAAACAGACACATACACTTAAACGCTAAGACATTCTCCCTGCTGTATGACGGTCATACTGACCCCCTGTAGTTTTAATGGAGTATGGGCCTTGACTGGGTGTAGAAGGAGTAATGAGATCATGATTTGCGGCCTCTGTCACTACAGTTGCACTGGGGCATTACCAGACGAACTGTGTTATTTACTGCAGGTCTGCTGTGAACCTCTAGTGTACACACATGTAGCACACACCATGAGGTTTTACTGCTTTTGGCAAAACATTCGAAAAAAAAGTTTGTAACCAATCACCTCTCTGTGAACTGGACATTAACAGTCCCTCTTAGTATGCACAGTTGATGCATTAGTCTCTTGTTAAAGTTGATCTGCACTGTTGTTGATGATAAAGGTCATAGCTGTCACGTTGGCTTCCTCAACAAATTTATGATGCAACCACTTCCTTCATCTGTCTCTTGGGGGTTTAGAGACTTACAGGTAATATGATTATGAATGACGTCAAGTGTTTGTGTTGAGTTTTGCTGGATGGCAGTGCTGTCTTATAAATGTGGTTGATGGGGATCCATTTCCATACACTCACTCTGGAGTCTCACGGGACCCAGCTGTGGGTCCCCTCATTTTTCCTCTTGCCAAGATGCTCACATCTGTAAGCTATATGGACTCCTCCTAAAGCTGCGCTTCTCTCCTCTATTTGTGTTGATGCAATACATTGTGACAGAGAGGCACTGCGCTGTAGGATCATTTTGAAACTGTGCTTTCTCTTTCTGTTTGCAGCTTACGCAGTGATCGCAAACGGACAAGTGGAATGTTCCAAAGGGTTCAAGAGGATGAATCTAACACACTGTCAAGGTAAGCTTAAGAGTACAGTATGTCAAAGAGTACCTGTCATTCACTTTGTTCTGAATGTTTTCCATGTGATAGAACTCTCCTCATTTTGGAATATGCAGCCTACCCATCACAAAAACATACATTATATAAAATGTAATGGCATCCTTGTGATAAAAACTTACTGCCCACATGTTTCTGTGCTTCCACGGACCCCTGGGGGCCTCTATAAAAGTATTCATGGCTGTATGTCTAGCCCTTATGGGAACCAGGTCAAGACTTCAATTAGCCCTGGCCTGGGGTCAGAGTTCAGCAGCCAATAAGCACCTGGGGCTGCAGTTTTAATTGGTCTTTTGGGTTCCTAGTGGAGAATGGTGTGGTGGGCTGTGATTATGGTAAATGTGGCTCTCCAAGAATTTGCAGGAAAGCTAGAGTTGCAGACTTGTTTGTTGCTTGGGCTCTCTAAATGTGAGGAGAAGAAGCCACCGTGACTGCCAGCTCACCCAGACATCTGTACGTAAAAACAAACTTGGCTTGTTGCTGAATATAAACTGTGTTTTCATGACGCAATAACCACCCACAGTGTCAGCCCTGTAGACAGTCCTCCTCTGGAGAATTTGGACTATTTGTATTTGTTGGTTATGTTAGTATACAGACGCTTGGACTAAAAGACCTGAATAAATAAACTTGGGCTGAAAGACTCTACAAAAACACACAACTTAATCCGTGAACAAGGCAAATGATGCTGACACTTCTACCAACAAAATGTATCTTTTCTGACAGTCTACTCGAGCTGTGTCATTGACTTGATTAATGGTGTCATAATCCAAAAGGCAGTGCTTACTGAAGCCTATGGAGAGCAACAACATAACGCTCCAGCAGACAGCTACATGGCTACATGTTTAACAGGCCTCGTCCCCCAGTTCAGCAAGTTCAACATGTTTTTAAATCTCCACTATTGGTCCATTGATGGTTTCAGGTGATACATTAGCTGGGAGACATTTTTTATTATAAAAAATACATGAAGACAAGGATGCAGTAATTTTCCAACAGTGTGTCAACCTGCCGACAAGCGTGGAAATTTATCTTTCTATTATTCATGCTTTCTCTTTAGTGATTGTTTCAAGATGTTTCTTCCTTTCAGTTGCTCATTTTTCGGATTCCAAAAAGCCGGACTGACAGTTCCCCACAATATTTACTGGAGCGTCTGACGTCTCTTTCCCATATGCCGCTAATCAATTCATATTTTTTTATAAATTTTCTGATTTCGAGGCATGTAAGAGAAAAAAATCGTACCCTTTTTGAATTTTGCACGTCTTCTTTTGATGGTGTCCAGCTTTCCAAGCTTGGCTTTTTGAAACTTTTTGTAATGAAATACTTTATAACTTTTCTCATATTTGGTTTTAGGCTTCAACATGACCCTCCTCCTTTGCATGCCGACCCTTGCAGCCTACACTGCAATACGATAAGAAGCCCTATCAGAGTTATACACTGTTTTCTGACTTCAGAGACCAAGCCTTATCTTTAGAAGCTGCTTCTGAGAACTGGGACATCTGAATTGGCCTTTTGTAACTCTGCTTATTAGATAAAGGGCCCGCATAGATGTATGTGTACACTCTTTTGACGGTGGTTAGCTGCTGCTTGGTGCAGGTCCGATTATACACCCACAGCTTCAAAGAAGGGATGATGCAAGTCTTACATAACTCTTTTGACTTTTCGATAAACTTAATAAAGCTACACAGATTTTCAAAACACTGACATTCTTAGTTTCTGCTGAGGTCAACAGGTTGAGACCTTAATATATTTGGTCATACAGTGGGAATTTTTCAGTGGAACTTGCTTTTTGGCCGCTTTGGCTGATTTTTATGAATGTTCATTCCCATTGTTCACGGTTTCTAAGTGGATGCTCTTTGGCTCCATGAGTTATGTCTGGTTTGAGACTTCCAAAGTAGTCATAAGGTTCTCCCTTTTGCCAAAGCAGCCGATACATATGAAGGGAGCAATGCTGCCAATATATTTTACAGTGTCCATTAATAAAGCTGTTAGCTTTTTATATGGATCTTGTTCTTTTCCAGAAGGAAACAGCAGGCGGAGGTGGGTGAGGTCACAGCAGATACTAACATACAATAAATTTGCGACCTTTTAGATGAAATTCAGTCATTATATCAGGCAATAAAAACAAATACCATAAAACTTGTGAGAGAGCTTGTACCACAAGAGCTGTTTGTCAATGGGAGCAGTGAGGCATACATTCAAAATAAATGTAGAGATTAACACAGGTCATGACAGGTTGTCATAGAAGTCAGCTTTAATCCCAATCAACCCACCAAGCAGACTGTAACAATAGCACTAATCTGGGACTCAACCGAACCATGGATTAAAGACCCCATGTGATGAAGGCTGAGCCCAATGCTGACCTGAACTCTGACCAGATAGCATGCTGCTTAAACTGAACCCATGTCCCCAAAGCACCTGCACTTGAAATAGTGTTGCTTATAACATCTGCAGTCTGTTTTATTGTCTTCACACTCCATGCCTCATTGTCAATCTTTCAAACAGGTCACTTTGCTAACTGGGAGGCAGTTTTGTTTACGTTGCAAAGGCTGGAGGATTTATCATCGCAAGCTTCAGCTTTAGAAGTAGTTTGTCCTGAGGGAAATAGAAAAACTGCAAGAGAAAAAAGGCAGATAAACAAAGAGCAACAGAGATTAAAAAAGAATAAATAATATCAAACAACAAAAGGATCTCTGAGCCATTCCCTGGATTTCCTTCAGTCCGCAGATTTTTATCAGCCTCCATCCTTTATAATCTTTTTCCAGCAGGAAGCGAAACAACAAAACAAGAGCAGATTAATTGGAATTGGGAAAATCTGTGGTGGCAGCCTGTCGGGTTCCAGTTGTCAAAGCAATGGGAAAAGACCTAATGATGTACTTTGTTTAACACGGTAGAACAACAAACGTCGCCTGGTCCCGATGTGATCGCATGACTAAGCGCCTGAAATATGTCCCCCAGTGCTCCTGGCTGGCACATTAACTGGCTGCCTTGCCCCCAGTTGGCTTAGTGGCTCACGAGCTGTTGGAGCGGTAAGCGAACTCCACTAGCCACTGTAACACTCTAGCCTGCTGTTCAGGCCAGAAAGAGGGGAAAAAACTCAGTGACTTGTACTCATTGACGCAAGCTGGGGATGCTCTGAGTTTATTGGACACTGAAAAGGAAAGATCCCGAGGAGGAGACTTCCTTTGTGTCTGCTTGAATGTTTATAAAAGCAAAGTTAACACAGGCCCATGAGTTTATAATATGTTTCAGTCAAAAGGATACTTGGTGAGTGTTCTTTGTTAGTCTTTGGTCAAATTGATTCTGCATGTTTCCCCCAAATCCCATCCTCCATATTTTCAATATTTCTAGTCCTTCTTGAAATATTTTATCACTTTTAGTAAGTAAAATGTTATTCATAAAGCACCTTCAAAACCAAGGTCATAAAGCCGCAAAAGAATTAAACAGCAAATAAAAAACCCCAAATAGAAACAATGCAGAGAAAACAGCAAAATCTTTACCTGTGGCTTGAAGTACCCTTTAGAGTTGGCTGATCTGGCCCCTAGTAGAAGACCGGGACCCAGGACAGGAGACGAACAGTCCCTTTGTGTTGTGGGTGAAAATATTATCTGAAATCCTTGAATTAGCTTTGCTTGTCTTTGTGCAAATCTCAGTGACTTTTACAGAAACACAAATCTGAATAGCCAAAGCAGGTTCTGTCCCTTTTATGGGGGGTGAAAAAGCCAACCTAAATGTAGGATTTGGGGCTGGCCATCCCTGGAGTCCTTCTGGAACCACCCCTGACCATGATTCACACTGTTAGGCACATGAAGACTGTGAGCACAAGTCTTTACAGTGTTTTGATTTAGAGGATGTAGCATGACTGACTTACCTCATATTTTACAGACATTAATGAGTGCCTGTTGCCCGGTCTCTGTAAGAATGCTGATTGCCTCAACACCAAAGGAAGCTACAGGTGCACGTGTAAACCGGGCTTCATGTTGGATGCTGCGAGAAGCCACTGTGTCTGTAAGTAAGACACCTTTATTTGTGAAATCTGAAAATATTGCATCTAAAAAAAACATTGTCTACTTCTTCCCCTCAGCGGACAAGGCTGTATCCAACCAGAAGGCTTTCTGCTACAGATCCCTGTCAACAGGCACATGCTCTCTGCCTCTTGCTCAACAAATCACCAAGCAGATCTGCTGTTGCAGTCGAGTGGGAAAAGCCTGGGGCGCTGGCTGTGACCGCTGTCCCCTTCCTGGATCAGGTGAAGCCTTGAAAGTTGTCCTGTTCTGCTGCTTGTGTCCTTAAATCTCCTCCACTATCCATATGCTATTCAAATTCGAGACTTATCCTTTTTATCCGCCCGCAGATACAACCTTCCATTTCTGGTTTTCCTGAAAAACTATTCCCTGCATTAAACGCTTTTGCAGATATAAAATGTCACATATAATCTTATGCAAGGGATCGCAATAGCAGTGAAAGCACAGACAGAGGATATTTCGCGCTCAGTCACCAGACTGCTCTCTGCCAGACTTGTAAAGCAGTTCAAAATAACCATATCTGTTTGGAGTGGAAAAGCACCAAAAACATAACAGTTTTCATATTTTGAAGGCTACATAACAGTGGGAGTCAGTCCTGTGTTATCACTCCAACCCTCAGAGAGAAAGCCCACTAATAGACCGGCAAAGCTTCACAGCAGAAATAAATAGCTCGGCCAAGTGAAACATGGGAAGAAGTTGTCATCTTCTTCTTTTTTTTTTCATCTAACCGATTTTATCTTCAAAGTCTCAACAAGAAACAGGCTGGTTTTATGGAGTGTCTATACAGGCCTGTGATTCATGGGGGTTGTCATAGATCAGATATCACAGACACAGACCTCCATGGTGCTGCTCAGCCAGGAATGACACAGTATACACACATACACACAGCCTCTGATTATTTCTGATGCTGGCTTTTGTAGAGCCTGACAAGCTGTTAGAGTCATGTTCTGAACAAAGCAGCCAGGCCCATTACTTGTAACTTGGTAACTGGAGCTGGTAGACTTTCAATCCAAATTCACTCTGGTCCCTTTTGATGTGGCTCCTGATCATATACACGACCATTTCCTCCCACTTTAAATTCATCATTCAGTAGCCTATCTAACCACGTTTCCTGCATTTACACAAGCATTTATAAAGGACCGCATATCTGTCATTACTCATATCTTTATTCCAGACTCTTTTTGGCGTAGAGTTGCTGGTTTCAGGTCAGAAAGGGGACAGAGTTTCTCACTCGTAATGGATTCACCATTGCTGAGGTTTGTCGGGCCCCGACACAAAGAGGTGCAGTCTCCCTCCTTTTATCAAACCTCTATTAGCCTCTCACTCAGATGTTACACACCAAAGAGTTCAAAGGTTAGGCTGTAATACATGATCCTCTTTTTCCCAGCATAGCTCTGTCAGTCTAGGAGTGAAGATATCCCCAAAATCCCCCGGCTAGTGGTCCTCAGTGACAGCTGTCATTGGCCTGCCAGCTCGCTAGTTCAGCAGGAATAGCAGAAATCTGACCCCATCCTCCACAGCACACAGTGAAGCCCAGCATGCTCAACATAACAGTATTACACGGATGGTTTATGGTATTCCTGTGAGCATCAGGCAGAAATGTGAGCCACAGTTACACTCTGGCAGCATTTACTGTCAGCAGTGGAGGCCTGGGAGCAGGATACTGAGGTGATGTTTTTCATGGCTAATTTTTTTTTTTTGTTCTGTGTTCTGTCTGCTCTGTAGATCACTTCAAGGAGATCTGCCCAGCCGGTCACGGATACACCTACTCGCGCTCTGATGTGCAGTTTTCTGTCAGACAGTTGGAGGAAGAGGATCTGCAACACACTCCATTGTCAGGGGAGGAACAGAGTCCCAATTACCTTCAGCCTCCATCATCTGAGCCCTCACTGCTATATCCTAACAGGCCCCAGCGCCCCAGCTACCCACAGTCTCCACAAGTACCCCAATACCCTCAGTATCCTGAAACCCCACAAGCACCCCGCTACCCTCTGACTCCCTCTCACCCAGCCAGAGAGACACCGAAACAGCCAGAAGGTGAGAATTAAACATTCAGATGGATTTAATACACTTAAAACCCTTTTTGAGCTGTAATAAAACAGCTTGAAAATGAAAACTGAGGCCTTTTAAGACAGAAAAAAACCCAAAATGAACAAAAAAGACAATTCAGGAGAACAGTTTTTTTTTATTATTTAGTTATTTTCATGAGTGAAGTTCTGCTGCAGGGCATGTGTCAGACAAAGAGGTTGACAACATGCTGCTGAAACAGATTTTTCTGTTTCTCACCTGAAGAGGTGAGATTATTTGTTGGCAAACAGGACAAGATCAGCAAAGAGATAAAGGATACCCGCAGGGATATATCCGTGGGGAGAATCTAAAACAAAAGTTCATCACAGGAACTTAAACCACTGTGTCCACTCAAACGCTTGAATATGTTTACAAGACCCAAAGAATAAACCAAAGCAGGGAGATGACAGCACTGCATTCTCTGAATATTACAATGATAAAGGTACTGTACAGTGGTGGCTGCATTATATTAGAGACTTTTAAGAGACTCTCTGGAATACCTTCGTTTCTACCTTGTCAGGTCTTTTTTTTTTGGTGTTATACAAGTTTTTCAGTGCTGCGTTGTCCATTTTCAAACTATTTTCAAAAGTCTTCCTGGCAACAAACCCAAAATAAACATAAACAACTACATTTTTCAGTTTTAACATGTAACATGTACAATTTTTTAACAAATACAGGGTTAAAATGATTTCTTCGACATCAGGATCTGTTAATACCAGCATTTTTGGAATAGGGCTTGTATTTTTCATGTGTTTGGTATTCTTGTATTGTTTTTTAAACAAATTCGATAAACTAAACTAATCAAGGGGAACCCCTCTGAGCATCACAGCAGTGCAAAAAATGATCCACATTGGCCATACATCTCATTCCCCGCTCTCTATCATCCTGTTTCAAAGCTCTTCAAATATTTATTGGCTAAGCAACAGGCATGCTGATTTGTATTAGGAGACTTTCTGTAAATATTTAGGGAATTACGTCTTCATTATCAGAGATATCATTTTCCATGTGTCCCCTTGCATCTGGCCTGTATGCGGACTTCTCTGATAGAAGTTTTCCTATTGAGCTCAGAGGATAAAGGCACCTTAAGCTTTGTTTTATTACAAATTAAGACCTCCAAAGCTGCAAGTCATGTGTCCGAGGAGAAAAGAAGTTGTTGTTTATATTATGTGTGGTCAGTAATTTTACTTGCTAATGTGAACAGAATGTCAAATTTGCTACTGATAAACTTTCCCTCTTCTCCCTGTCTCATGGCAGATGTGGAAATTCTGAGCCCGGTGAGTCCTCTCCTCCCTGTCAACCCTCTTGGCACGCACTTTTGAAATGTTTATGTTAGAACGATATGCTCTAGCTATCTCAGCTGGAGGCTCTGTTTTGGTTATGTAACTTATTCAGACCACATTGTGGTAGATACACATGCCTAATTAGCCCTGACTGTGACGACAAAAGCAGACACAGTGTATGAACATGACAGCAGTGACGAAATCTACCTAAAATGTAACTACAAGTGTTATTTGTTTGTTTTTTTTAGCCAGCTGTTGTGACTGACTCACCGCTGAAACATCCAGGTAATTTCCTCTTGGCTTTACTCGCACAGATCACACAGCTCTTCTAGTTGTGCTTGCACAGGAGCATCATTGCTATTGCGGTTTGAAATAGCATCCTAGGCTGGAGGGGCAGTAGCTGTTTCTCAGAAGCATGGACTCATAATGAGTTGTATTCAAATTTCTCACCCCTGCACAGCAGCTCAAGTCTCAACTCTGTCTGCTCTGCCTTTACGCCAGCAAAAACATTGACATTAAAGTCTGAAGTCTGACTAAATTCATTGAGCCTACATGATTTATTTTCGTCATTGTGCTGTTTTTATCCTGGGTGAAAGAGTAGATCCTTTTTATATAGCCGCCCAATGAGTGACAGCTCAGTCAGGAATGGCTGCGAAAACAAGCAGTGTCTCATTTAGGTTCTGGAGAACTCAGAGTTAGTGGTTCATTGTGCTCACACTCACCCAGACTCTATTTTCTCTTCACAGAGACTCCAGACTCCCTCATTATCGACGCGTGGCCAGACTCCGAGGAAACATCCCGCACCTTTGACTCATCCCAAGGTAAAACACACCTTAGGGTGCTTGTATTAACACCTTAGAGTTCCCTGGAAAATGCTGGTTTCTCATCATAGATCACGGTGTCTTAACTGACAGGTGTGTAGGGAGATGTAGGACAATCGTGCACAAAGCTAACATGGAGCTTAGCTTCTCATACTTTTGCTCTCAGTCAACTGCTGGCAGACAGCAGCACATCTCATAAGACATTTTTTCAGGCTTACCAAGAGTTAAGCCCGGGAGAACTTGTATTAGTCTTTTATTTGGCCCATTTTTTCCCGAGCCAATTTGGCTTGAGGATGCCGTGCTGCACACAGGGTGAGAGGGCGAGAAACCAAGAGAGTATGCCTTTTGGAAAGAGAAGCTAATCTCTGAGTGGACAGAAGCCCAACTTTTAAGAAGTGGAGAAGAACTGGGATACAGGTTGGGGTGACAGAAAGAGAAATGAAGCGCATTCGTGTGATAAAGGAAGTAAGGAGGATTTACAGTAATCCTAAAGATCCTGAACTCCTGACTGTAGCAGGTTTTCGCCTCTCAGCCACACACAGGGGCCAAGTTCAGTGTCTCTGTTTGACCACAGTCCACTTGGCGGAGAAAAAGACAAGAACAACACTGATGTCAGGCTCTGCTGTGCGTGACCTGTTTCTCGCTGACCCCTTTGTAGGAGCTCCACACCACCTGTTAGAACGCTACAGTGCTGTGAAAACCTGCCCTCGCATCCAAGAGCCCACCTATAAAAACAGCGAGACGAGTTCCCATTCAAACAACATGTGTTAGAGGAATGCAGTTTTTCATTATTTACAGTGGCTGTAACGTTGCGTAACCCGAGGTCCAAAATATTCTTGTCTGTTCTGAGTATTATCTCTGCGCGTGTCTCGTAGGTATTGACAAGTGCGCCACCACCCCCAACATATGTGGTCATGGGAAATGTATTCCTGTGCAGACTGGTTACACCTGCAACTGTGATCCAGGATTTAAGCTCAGCGCACTGCAGACCAACTGCATCGGTAAGTAACGGTGGAAGAAGAAAAGAGATCGAGGGCTAAGAGGTAACTTTTTGGGGCACACAAACTGACACCTGAAGTATGTCATCACCTAACATTACACGACACAGAGGCCTGGAGACACAAAGGGGATCTGTTTGTTTATTTTGACGCCTGACAACAGTCTGCAGGCAATTCCAAAGAGCTGTCTCTGTGCTGTGATCCCTTACCTTACCTTACACTGATGGCCTTGGCTGCAGTCTCAGCCTGGCTCAGCTCCACTGCCGAGGAATTCCAGCGCAGCAGAGGAGCTGCGTATTCAGGAAAAGTGGAAAATGAACAGTCTCTGCCGAGGAAATAGAGCTGTACTCCAGTGTTGCAGTCAATCTTTTTAAATCTTCATCTCTGTCGCCTGTTTCAGATGTGAATGAGTGCGACGAGGACCCATGCGGAGGAAAAGGCCGCTGTATAAACAGCTATGGTTCCTACACATGTCAGTGCCACAGCGGATACAGCCAGGTGATCACCCAGAACAGGAAGTTCTGTCAAGGTGAGCAGGAGACATAATGTTTTCAGTGGATGGACGCCACCATGAGCTGTCTGTTAAAGCACTGCGAGTTCTCGTCTGTCAGCGCTGTTCGTTTATAAAGCATCCTGCTTTAATTAATGCAGTGGAACACAATAGTCACTTTCTTTTTCGCTCTCCTTGGTTTTCATTCAAACTGGCAGACATTAACGAGTGCAGCATGCCCAACAAGTGCCAGAACGGCCAATGCGTCAACACAGAGGGATCTTACACCTGTGAATGCGCCAGCGGCTACGCCAAGTCCTGGAGAGGCCTATGTGAAGGTGACATACACGCAGAAGCACCTTCAGGCTCAAATTCACAACCCTAGCCAGACCTGTTTGTTTGCTGCCATGAGTCAATGTGCAGACTGGTAACCAAACACATGTATTTTCCTCGAGTTGGAGCCAGAATGAAACTATGCCTAGTTTGTGTCTAGTGTGTCTGTGTACATACACATTTGTGACCTCCTTTCTCCATGCCTGTGCACATTGTTTTATAACAAATTCTTCAAATGATTATTTTCCTGTTCCACCTTCTCATACATCTCAGATGTAGATGAGTGCAGAGAACCGAGCTCTTGTCCCAGTGGTGTCTGCGTCAACACCCTCGGCTCCTTCATGTGCCAGGCGTGTGGCCCGGGTTTCAGACCCGTCCACAAGAGATGTGTGGGTAAGGGCAACCCCAAAACTTGTCTGAGAAGAAGCACTAACGCCACGAATCTGACCAGACTCCTAAAACTAACTCTGACCACTGCATGGAAATAATCTGAGTTTTCCTCTTTGACTGTGAAAACTTCCGATATTAAGTAACATTTACGTAGACAGAGCTGTTGCTTGCAGTCAGCATCTCCAAAAACAACTGAGCGGTGCTGTTTATGACTTCATGACAGCTTGTGAAAGAGTGCAGATTACCAGACTTCTTAAGCTCGAATGAGTTTCCTTCAAATGTGGCTTTTTGCTCAAAGGGGCACTTTAGCACTCTAAATACTGATGTGTATGGAAATTATGTTAAATGAATTGTATTTTATGCTCGAGAAGACTTAATATTAGATGTTTTACATCCAGCGTGGACCACTCCAAAATTGTCCAAAACCACAGTGATGATGGCTACTTTGTGTGGGCCATGCGCAACCTTCTCTCCATTCAGTGTTTCCACGTATGATATATCTACTCCTCCGCCCAGCAGCCTCCACATATTCCTAATATTGTTTAAACACATTCACTATGTTATTGCTGATCTTTGGATATCACTGGCCCCCGTAAAAAGATTGTTTATAATACTTCAATTTGGGAGAGTCCAAATATTTTCTCTTGGCCACAGCCTTGAACAAACAGCATATTATTGTTGGAGAGCTCCGGACACAGTGCTGTTGAGGCCAGTAGAGGCCAATGAGGCTTTTTACAACTGCTGTGCTAGGTGAGAGGACCAGGCATTCTTAGGAGCTGCATGAGGAGGTCAAAGGTTTCATTCCCTGCAGTGAAGAGATCCTTACGTACAAATAAACTCCCTCACTCACCCGTTCTTTTTTGTCCATGGTCCACTGTAAAACTCAAACTGTGAACTATTAGATCTGAAGACACAATACGATAGGAACTACATCAGTGTGGGTTGCGTTTAAGCTAACATGCCTGCAGCCCCCCAACCTGAACGTGGCCCTGTTACATAACACTCGACTGGTGTTACTTACCACATCCCCTCTCCGTGACCTTGCACCCCTCTATAATTTGTTTGGAAACCTAAGCTCCTGGAGTGAGTATTCGAGAAATGTGGAAAAGCCAAAAGACCAAATGAGGATGGAAAATATGGAAATGAACTTACGTAGTAATTTAGAGTTCTTTATGATCGATTTTTCAGCAAGTCTGAAGACTGATGGCGTTTTTTAAAGGCCTAAAATGACTTCCCCTCCAAAGAAAACAGCTCCTTTCTGTTTGTGAGACCACTTGTATGATTCATTCTGTGTAAAAATAGTAGCTGAGAGGAACCTTGTAAATGAGGGAGAACTTTGGAAGTAAATGTTTTCTCTCCCAACGTCCACAAAGGCTGAGCGAACAGGCCGACAGTATACGTTGAGAGCTCTGGGAGTCACAAAAAAACAGGAAACATGAGCTCTTGGTTTCCAGTGTTTGCTTCAGTCAATTGACGGTAGCGCAGTGGTTTGGATGCAATTGGCCAAATCGTGGATAAGGCTAATTGCTGGTGTGATAGAAAAAACAGCTCCATTGCCCGAGCAGGTCTTATCAGTGAGGCCTGAAAGATGCTGCGTGATAATAGAAACAAAAACAGGCCGCATTGACAGACGTCTGGCAGTGCCCACAGCTAGGGAAACAAAACCCAGTCTGTGACTCTCTGGCAGAGTTTGCCCTGCGTGGCTCCCTGTTTCAGCATCTTTGTCAACACTCTTTAGCGTCTCTTCACCACCTTCTTTTCACCACCATACTTTTCTTCCTCTTGCTGCTTTTCCTCCCTCTCTCAGTATCTCTCTCCGTCTCTTCTACTTACATAATCGCCTCTGACTTTCTCTTCCCACAACTTCACCTAACCTGAAAAACTGCCATTGTTAACACTAAATAAAATTCCACCATAAAACATTCTATCTGCATGAGGTTTTCCACAAACACAGTTTTGAATAAACTGTTCTGACTCACGAGGTGGAAAAAAACAGCCACTGCTGCAGGTAGTAAAAGTCCTTCATGAAAGAGTTTTGGTCCTATGCACTGATGTGATGTAATTTACTGACTGCTGTTTTACAGTCATTTTGTACCCTAATTATGCTCTAATTGTTTCCCCTTTACTGCTGCACTATGGCCATTTGACCCATATCCTGTACACATGTCTTTATTTGTGCTTTCTGTCTCTCGTTCTTGCTGCTGTAGCCAAATCCCCCCTCCGTCTCTCATATGTTTTATTAACTTTTTAAAGGCCTGGTACTAAAACATTACATAACATGCCTGTTTACTTCATTCTAGGTGTAGAAAGCCATGCCAATAGTTTTATGAACTTAGGGTAAGGGTTATCTTTTGTTAACTTATAACTCTTATAACACTTTTTAACAGAAATACCCCAAGAAACAACTAAGTAGGAAGTCTCTGGATTACCCAAGTAAACAGGCCAAAACAGGCCAAAATAAGATGTTTGATGTTTGTAATACATCATCTTTCATTTTATTAACATTTATTGCAAACAGGCTGGCAAGAAAATCCTCATTTATGGATAGCTAAAGAAAAAGACTGAATTAATGAATAAATAATATACCTGCAGGCTTTTATTTTGGCGGGACAGATCCCTCACTCATTCAGTGAAACTGTAGCAGGAGTTATTCTCATATTTGTGTCCTCCTGTCCTGACTTTCCTCAGATGTAAATGAGTGTCTGAACCAGACAGTGTGTGGTCGTGGAAGGTGTGTCAACACAGAGGGCTCCTATCGGTGCAACTGTTTCCAGGGATACAAACTCTCACTGGATAACTTCTGTCAAGGTAAATGTCAGTCAGACATTACGGACGCCTCATATCAAAGTAGCAGCTCTGTGAGTCGTTCTCCACAGGGCTTCTGCAGAAGCTTTGCGGCACCTTTACAGGTTCATAAAAAGGCTACAAAGATTTAGAGGTTGTCTATATTTTCTGAGCCCCACTTTTTTCTTTTGCCTGAACCCTCTCTCCAGATGTGGATGAATGTGGGCTTCCCGGAGTCTGCCTCAACGGCCGCTGTGTCAATCTGGACGGCACCCACAAATGCACCTGTAACCATGGTTACGAAGCCACCTTGGACAGCAAAGCCTGTGAAGGTCTGCAAAGGATTATCTAGAGCTGTTCATCACCGCATTCTTCTCAGCTGGTAGAGCTCTCTCCACAGCAGAATAAAGTCTGCAAATTGTTTCTTTTTGTTAGACGTCAACGAGTGTGCGACTGCTAATGTGTGCCCTGCTGGAATCTGCGTCAACACTGAAGGGTCCTACACATGCCAGAGCTGCAGACCTGGCTTTGGACCATCTGCTGATGGAGTGAGATGTGAAGGTGTGAAATCTGGGGGTTCTACTATTCACAGTTAGAAGTTTTTGACAGAAACTGTGAGACAGAAATGGATTGTCTAAGTGTTGTTCTTTTTTTTCAGATGTGAATGAGTGTGCCCAGGGCGACCTGTGTCTCGGAGGTGTGTGTGCCAACACAGAGGGGTCCTACACATGTACCAGATGTAAGGCTGGCTACAGGGTGTCTCAAGACCGGAAGAGGTGTGAAGGTAAATTCAAGCTGTGCTCCTAATTCCTAATTCAAAACTTTTTTATTGACTCACTCATCACATCCAGGCAATTTTTTTCAACACAACATTAAAACTACATTAGCTGTGCAACGTATGTTTATCCATGTCTTTGCTGGTGTGCATGCAGATATCGATGAGTGCCAGTCCGTCTCTACATGTGCCAACGGGATCTGTCTAAACTCAGAAGGCTCTTACACCTGTGAGAACTGTCCCATAGGCTACAGAGTATCATATGATGGAGAGCTCTGTGAAGGTTTGTTTATTTAACACCGCTCATGTAAATGAACTCCTGCATGTCTATAAAATTCAGCCTGAAAAAACTAACACCAGGGAGGTAAGTAGCTCTTGCCTCTCATAATGATTTTGGATGCTTTTTCTAGGCTGTTCTGCAGTGAAAGTGTAACAGTCTATATTCTTTCATGCCAGATATTGATGAGTGTCTGCTGCCCACTGCATGCCCCCAGGGAACATGCACAAACACAGAAGGTTCCTTCACATGTATCAGCTGTCAGCCTGGTTTTAGAGTCTCTCAGGATGGACAACAGTGTGAAGGTAAGACTTTTGGCTCTTTCTGCTGGAGTCTTCTTCAGCACAGGTGTCTTTTAACCAGACATGCCAGATTTTGCCACAGGTGTCTTTTAACCAGACATGCCAGACTTCGCCTAAATACCCCCCAAATAAATTGTGGTTTTGGTTGATTATGCCAGCTTTCAAGAAGATGTTTCCCAGCTGGTTCAGGTTGTGGGTAAATAGCATCAGGTGTAATAGCTTGGACTCCAAAAGCCCCCTCATCTGAGCTCAAAGCTCAAAATACTCCTTCTAGACATCACATCATAGCTAGATCCTGGATCCCTTCCACCTCTGGCACTGCTCATCTGATCCTTTCTGAGCACAATGAGACACCACCCCTCAAATAGAACAAGATGATGTCAGCCAAATATCCTGCAGATAGAAGTGTCGACGTTTGTAATTCCCAGCTTTGTGATTACTGATCAAACTGATTACAGCTGGCTGGCTGTATTAATTTGAAGCCAGAGATGGTAATCTGTGCCATGATGTGTCAATGTTTTTGTGTCCAGATGTGGATGAGTGCCAGGTGGCAATCATGTGCCCGGGCCAGCTGTGCATAAACACACAAGGGTCCTACACCTGCAGGAGCTGTGGACTGGGTATGCAAGCTTCTGCGGATGGTCACAGCTGTGAAGGTAAACCGTCCTCTCTATTTACATAACAGCTTACGACATGTTGAGGTGTCACTAAAATAAACAATTAACCAGCAGTGATATAAAAACTGAATGCCCAGAACATAATTACAGAAAATCTTTACTGTGCTCTGTAATTTGTCATGACATGATTTATGAGATAAATGCAGCAAGACTGCTGCTTTGACAAATACAGGGAGGTTAGATCTGTCATGACTTCATGGGAAGCGAGAAAGAATGATTATTTAAAAGGATTCAAACGTGGTCTCACTTAGTCGTATAGACCACGGTGTGTTTTTGAATGTAAGAGTAGGTCTAGCCCAGAGGAAGATCCCCCTCTGATATGGGTCTTTGCGCTGGGAAAAAGTTTTACAAAACAAACCCCAGTCCAAGTCAACCTCTGATAGTATTTTAATGGATGTCTCTGATGCCATGGAAAATATTAAGAGCTTAATTTGAAATGAAGTCAACTACTCCCCTGCCTTCCACGCACCGGAGCAGCCTGCCCTGTTGAACTTTTTGTTCACCCGAAGGCAAAACGGAGCCGTCTCAATCACTTAACAATGTCTCACAATCTTTTTTATGCAAGAAATACAATCTGTACCGGCTCGAGGAATTTCCAGTGATCAAATAACAGTGAGCCGGTGACTGTTTGTAGATATAGTAATCGTAGCACCTGTAATAGCTCTGTGTTTTGGATTCAATGACTGTCCCACATACTTATCTTTCCACCCTTTTTAATAAAACACTGTCAATGGAATCCAATAAAGAGAGCTTTTCTTAGTGTATGCTCGGCAGTATGTCGTCATGCTTAGCCAAGCCGAACAAAAAAGGTGGACAATGAAAAAGGAGGTCCCTTTTCTTCACTTGATTCACTGTCACCGTAGGTGGCAAAAGTACTCACACTCTTAACTCAAGCAGAACGACAGAGACTTGTAATAAAAAGATAAAGGAAAACATTCGAAGAGAGAACACAAATGTTCAGAAATAGTATTAGATCTATATGAACCCAATGAGGGACTAATTTTAAACAAAATATCTAAACCTCTGATTCTATTTGGCAGAGATAAACTTCAAATATTCTGACTCTAGATATTGCCAGTTTTTAATAAAACAAATATTATTTTGCTTCAGTGGACAAACCAGCAGTTTGAGAAATGTGAAGCTGCTCTCAACTCCTATTTTTATTTTATCATGCTATATCTGTAATGATGAGCAATCCTCCAAGGTGTTGTCTTGGTTATTACCACATGTGAAGTTGAAATTGATCATAATGTTAAGGAAGCAGCCAGGGGGAAAAATCATAAATCCAAATGCATTAGAACAGGAACAACAAGCCTGTTTTAGAAATAAGAGTAATGTGTCCTAATGGGATCTGGCAAAAGATAGAAGGATGCGGCACTTGCCAAGCATAAAAAGGTGATTTATCATTATGATTAGGTAAATAAACTAAAGCTAATAGGAGTCATGATGTATGGTAAGTCTGAGGCATCTGTGGTGATCCACATGCACACGAGGTGTTGTGGAGAGGATTTACACAGGAACCAACCCAAACAGACACTGACCTGATATTCTGGTGGATTGAGCAAGAACGCAAGAAGTGGATCTTGACTCCCTGGGTGGAGCAGTTGACCCAGGTGTAGCAGGACATATTAATCAGCTCCTCTGACACCTCAAAGAGAACACACCACCAGCAGCAAGATACAGCCATTGACATACAATCAGGGGCTGTCACATGAAAGTAGATACCTGTGTTAAAATGTTGGAGATAAAAATGAATTTATTCAAGAGGTTCATTATTTTTATAGCACATTTTAATCACTGAGACAGATCAAAGGCCTTTACAGAGTAATACAACTTAATAAAAGACAGATTGATAATCCTTCACAGCCTAAATAAAAGAGTCATACAATAATTATCTGATCCCAAAAGGTAACAACAGTTTTACTTTGATGAAACTGGCAGCATATTAAAGGAATGACTTTAGTGAAGACTCCAAAAGCAGTCAGAGTCAGGGTTTGTCCAACAGCACTGTCTGTGCTGCCTGATAACAAAGTATTGCTTCACAGTATTTGAATCTATCTCTTGAGACAGACCTGGATGTTCTCAGCATGTCAGTATTATGCCACAGAGAGACTTTTTCACTGAGGAGATTTTTCCAGCCTTGGCAGGATTCAAGTTCTGGTAACAACCTGTTAGTCATATACATACCATCCTCATACCAAGTGAAGACATATACAATTTGGCCTGAAGTATTTAAAGATGATTTTATGGATTTAAAGATGATCTATCGACGCAATTACAAACAATGGTTTCAGCGCTTCAGGATTAGCTACCAGATTTCAAAAGTAAAAATATTTTTTACAGCCGAGTGATAAACACCAACACACGAATATCTGGAGATGCATGAAAACCTGATGCTTTATCTGTATCTTTACTCTTCTTCTCTTTCCAGACATTGATGAGTGCCAGACTCCAGGTGCGTGTACGACAGGTGTGTGCACCAACACAGAGGGCTCCTTCTCATGCATGGCCTGTGATCCCGGATTTAAGTTGGCACCCAATGGGTTCTCATGTGAAGGTACAATACATTAGGTGGTTTCACATGATCACTTTTTGTATTTTGTGTTCTCATTTTCAGTCCTTCATTACAGCGCCGTATGACTGAGTGTAATAAGAATAAACCATTACGTGCTGATGATGCATGACTTCTCTGACGTGCTCACTGTGGTCTGGAAGCTCGTCATGCGAGTGTCAAAACTCGCCTCAAGCTGAAGTGAGACCCAGTGATTTACAGCGGGTGTGAGTGTGTCATAATAATGACGTCTGTATGTGTGTGTGTGTGTCCACGCAGATGTGAATGAATGTGAGGACAGCAGCTTGTGTCTGGGAGGCGAGTGCACCAACGTTATTGGCTCCTACAGCTGCTCCTGCCCCTCTGGTATGGAGCTAGTGGATGGGAGGTCCTGCAGAGGTACACACACACACACAGACTTAAACACACTATTTCACATACACACATGAAGTCTAGTCCGTTTGACACACACAGAATAATACCATTAGTGGTTAACCATTTCTTGTGGCCTACCTCATTCTGCCATCTTGACACAGCTGTGTGTGTGTGTGTATTTGTGTTTGGGTTGTGACAGATATCAATGAGTGTCTAACAATCACTGGAGTCTGTGGAGAAGGAGACTGCCTGAATAGCGAAGGCTCCTACTCTTGCATATGTCCTGCTGGATACACCACTACTGATGGAAGGACAGGCTGCCAAGGTACACTGACGCTCTGCCATGAGCATCTTTTGTTCAGTCATTTTACTTGGTGATAATGTAAGGACTTTTTTTAGGGTTTTATTGCTTATATGTACGCAGTGATGCTGGTAGTTGGCACAAGTTTCTTCATCAGAGTGAACAGTCTTCTTTTCTCACCATGCTGTACTGGTTGCTGAGGCCAAACTCTGGACCCCTGACATGGGTGCTCAAGGCTAACCCCTCTTTTTAATAGCCTGTGTCCTCATCAACGTTCTCAGCTCACCGTCCTTCTCTGCACGGACATCAGTTTGATGTTATTCCAGCCGCACCCAGTGACCTGCTGCTCGTAGCAATGGGAGAAAAAAATGTTCATCAGCTAAAGCTTTTCTTTTCAACAAACTGAAGCATTTGCTGTCAAAATACATGAAATAACTTTGGCAGGGATCTCGGCGTTGGATCAGTGTTGTTGTTGCTGGTGTGTCTTGCATTACAGTAGGAGTTGAAGTTAAGTCAACGCCTGAATTTCTGGCGGTGAAATATCCTGTCGTGATGTGAAGCAGGTAGGTTTGGATCTCTGGGTCCAGGCCCCCTGGCATGGTTCTGTTATTGGCCGCTTTGACTTGCAGGAAAGGACAAAGGGTCAGTCCTTAAAAACAGACATTCCTCCTGTAGTGCTGTAGCCTTGGAGCCTCCTAGATATCGTCGTCAGACTCTGAACAAACTGCCCGGCCTGCATCAGGTACTTTGGCTGCCGGCCACAACAAATTCTAGGCTCTAATTATCCTATAAATCAGCAGTTGTCGTATATTCTCTTGCAGCACGCTGTTGTGTGTACAGTGCGAACACAATGAAAGCCAGACCCCTCTGACATGAGCCTTTTGGGGGAGGTGAGGGGAAGATGAGGGTATGTGAGTTTGTGGGAATGAAAGATGAGTTTAGTCAGGTGATGCCAAAATGGTGCTGGGCCTTTACCAGACCGGTCTTTCAGCAAGAAAAGACGGTACGTAATAAAAGCCTAGAGCAGACTTAAACACAGCTATTGTTCTAATCCAGATCAACAGATTGTGCCATGGCCTGGCTGTGCCTTCCAGGTCTGGCTTTGAAGTCCTTGAACTCCCTCCAAAACTATCCAGTCACTGCATATTTATGTGTTTACTTATAGTCTGGGATATTGTTTTTTGAGACTATCTGTGCATTTGGGTGTTTAACTTGTCGTCTCTGAAAGATTCATCTGATTATAAAATACTGGAAAAGGAAGACAAGCTTTCACCCTAAAGTGATTTTCCCCTCTTTCTTGCCTTTCCTTCAGAATTTACCGGAGTCCAAGTACCTAAAAGTTATGTTGTAATGCTGCAATTATCCACCAATCCACAGCTAATCAAGCATGTCACATTCATTATTAATTTTTACGAGTCAGAGGGAAATGTTCTCAGCCTGAAAACATTTTTTTGTCCTCATTTGTTTCCGGTTTGCTCGTACTATATACCGTAAAACGCTCCAAATGGCCAATGCATCTTGTGTTCAGACAAGCACTTGATTACACATTCTTTGGTGATGCTTATGGAAAGGAATGGTGTTCCCCTCGGACTCAAAGAGGATATATGGGGATATTTAGTGATCATCAATATGTAACAAATCTAGACCCACCCTTTTTTTTATCAAATTATCTCCTAATTTGTCTTATTTTCTCTCTCTCCTCTCCCATAGATGTGGACGAGTGCAGCAAAGGCAATGTCTGCACCAATGGCGAGTGTCTCAACATTGACGGCTCTTTCTTGTGCTTGTGTGAAACGGGCTTTAAGTTCAACTCCGACACGGCCGACTGTGAAGGTAAGAGCTCAGAATAAACATCTCCTGTGATGTTCTGCTGTGTATGTCATGGTGACTATCAAAGCCAAACTCTGCCCAGAGGTTTCCACTCTCTGAGTGAACCAACATGTCAGCATTTGCTGTTTGATCGTCACGCTACATTTAATCTTAAGCGTACCCGTTCGAGCACAGTCGGCTATGATTGATTATGTATAGCGTTATAGTTGGGACAGAGTTCCCGCGAAAGTGTCCAACCCTGGCTTAGAGGCTTCCCTCCTTGGTCAGAGGACTTGAGGGGTGCCTGGATTGCATGGCTGGAGGCCTGAGCTCGCTTCCCCCTGAGGGAAGCATGAATGACCCCATTGTGAGTAGGAGGTGTTTCTCCCTCTGGAACGTCTCCCTTTAGCTCCTTCACAAGTTCTTTGGTTGCTGTGATAATATTGTTCTTGGCCATTCCTGTTGCTTGCTGCGTTTACTGAGGACAGCTACACCACAGGCCTCCTGGCCGACTCCTCCTGTACAGGCATTAGACTGCAAGCAGAGGAGCAGTGGAGGGAATATGAGCGTGTTTGCAGGAGTGTGTGTATCCGTTTAAGTGTCTGATTGCACATGTGGTTACGTTTGTGCCTCTGTTTGTCAGTGTCTGACCAACTTCTACATTTCTCTCTGTCTTTTACTGTGCAGACCAGAATGAGTGTAAGGACTTTGGCAGCTCAGTGTGTGGTACCTGGCGTTGTGAGAACACCATCGGATCGTATCGGTGCTTTATGGGCTGCCAGCCTGGACTCGACAACACAGACTGCGGTGAGTGGCGAAAGTTAAAAGTCTAGCATGGACAATTATGGTTAAAAAAAACAGCCAGTTTTTGAGGTGAACTGTCCTTTAAATGCATTATAAAGTCATTGTAATGGCCTATCTATTTTTGTAGCATACATCTGCTCTACTTTAATCCATTTACAAGAGAGTGCAGTCTCAAATCAACCCAACACTCTTCATACTCTGCAGAACTCTCCCTCTGTGCATAGATAATGATATCTGTTTGGCAGGCACACACAAAGAAGCTGATCTAAATCAGAAGCTATCAGGTACTCGTGGTTTCGTGCAAAAGAGGCCGAGGGAGAGATGAGGAGAAGTGGTCCCTGAAATTGGGCCACTTTACAAAGAGGAGTGCACTGTCATTGGAGGCAGTGTGTCAGGCCAGTGACTGATAATGGTCTTCTTCTCCTGACACTGAGCTAATGGAGAACCTCTGGCAGAGACACAAGGTGGAACTTGATCACCACTGTTCTTCTTTGGGGAAAAGGATTGTCAGGCACTTACCTCCCTCCCCTCCAAGCCCTCACACCCCAATGTGGAGCCAGGTCACCTGGGTTGATCGGCTATGTTTGAACATCAGCTACATCTGGGCCCGCGTCTCGCCAACAACAACGAAACACATGAGCATGACCGCCCAGAATACATGATGCCTTTTGTGTTTACTGGCAGGATCAGGCAACTTGGGCTTCAGATTTTCACATAATTTTTTACACAAAGATTTTCATTTATCACTCTTTATTTTGTATTACATTCTGCTTGTCTTTCTCATCTCACAGCACCGTAAAATAACAAGTCTGGTTTACAAGAGGAAAAAAAAGAAGTCCAAAATATTTCCTTGGTCCTAAAACCGTGTCCAAACACTCACCAGAGAATGACAGGAGAAGAGGGGGAAGCAGTCTGAGAGCATCACAATGGAATGATGTGTTGGACGCAGATGGAAGCTGTGGGTGTTGTGTGTGTATGCAAGATTATGTGTGTGTGTGCATGCGGTTGGCTGTGGTTTTTCTGCATCTTCACTTGTGTGTTTGTGTTCTTGAAAGAGAACTGGTAGAGATGCACTTCACGTATTCTCATGACCCTGAGTTTTTATTGGCCTATCAACAGACAGAGATCAGGGGGGAATAAGCCGCCGCAGCACTGATCAGTGACAGATCAGACCTCCGCCCCCTCCATCACCCTGATCCCTGCTACGTGTGGCTGCCTCCTTGCTGCACTTTATGGTGCTGTCTGTCTGGCACCGGCTGAAGAGAGCAAGGGCCTGCAGTGCGATAAGGAAAGATTGAAACCAGCTGCTCACCTTCGCTCCTTCAGTGTCAGAGTCTAAGCTCTGCTAAACAGCTCTTATAGGATCAAATCAGCGTCGTCAGTGTTGTCTGATTTGATTTTACATTCCTGATAGCTGTATAAGAGACCAAAGAGCTCCACTTCCATTCTATGTGCTATAAAGTACACATTTTCTGTGCTTACATACTGCCAGAAAATCCCAGTCTTGCCTGAGTGAATGCCTGTTTGTGACAGGGTATTACCGCTGCTTACTCTATCTTTCCCCTGCCGCTACGTTGTTCCTGTTTTCTTACTGTTGACTCACATCCCAAAGTTTGAGATCCGAGCCCTCTTACCCTCAGCAGTCCAGCGCTAACACACAATCGTGGCTTGTTTCACCGATTGATGGAGAGTTGTGGGAGATGCTGCCGTCACCCCAATAAAAGTCCAGGGAGGGAGCTCAGTGACTCCAGGGCATTTTTGTCTGCTTGTAAAAATCATCAAAAATTAAAGAAGAGGCCAGACGGTGTAATTTGCTGTTTTCTGTGAGGGGCGTTGTTTTATTTTTACTCACCGACCTCTGAAAAAGGGTAGCGGTTGTCTTTGGCTCTGCTCGTAGTGCTCATTTAGATTTAGAGGCTATGATACAAAAGGGGAAAACAGGGTTTTTCCAAGGCAACTGCACTCAGATCTGGACACAGTACTCCTCTGGGCATGTGAAAAAGCCGGTATGTATATTTGCAGGTTATTGTTTTTAAGCTTTAATTCACCATCATGCCCATAAATTCCCTCAGGCTGTGCCTTGTGCCTTTAATAAGACTTGCCCAAGGCCGGAAATTGTCTGTGGTCACACTCTTGCCAACTTCCCAACCCCTTTTAAGCATAAAGAAATCTAAAGACTTAACCATGTGTGTGCGATTGCTCATGCTGTTGTGCAGATGTATGATGAAGTTTTTACTCTCATAAGTACACACATGGTGTATCCTCCATTGTAGATAACCCAACACAGGTTGTGGATGTAAAATGTGCCTTTCATAAAAACAAAAGCTCACCTCATCGTTGCCCAGTCGCGTGTGAAATCACCTCCACGTATGGATCCAATCAGATGAGGGGTTGCCCTGAGAATATGGAAGAAGTGTGGGCTGTGGAGGGTGAGCCAACAGTCACTGATCCCTTTATTCTTGAAGCTTGCCACCATGTGCTCCAGATTAACACTTTGAACAGAGACCTACACTTAACACAACCCAGCCCCCTGACTGCAGCATCACCGGATCCAGGAGTCAGATCCTCCTGGGTTGGACTATTAGAAGAGGTGCTTATTGAGCTGGGTGCCGTCCTCACTCTCATCCCCCCCTTGGTTCTTTCCTTTTGGTAATTTACAGCTCTGCATGTATCCTGATGTAACCGATTGTTCGATGGAAAAACTAAGAAAGGCAACCTCTTAGTGGAGACCTCTTAGTGGAGTTATCTCATTTTGTGTTATCCGCTTTTTCCAACAATCCATTAGCAGCAAGTTAACTCCGTCTTTTGTGCTTCCACTCATATAGAACTAGAATCAGATACACCAAAAGAAACAAAAGGCTCTTCAGAGTATTTTGGTGTTGATGCTCTCATTCCTCCCCGGGATGAGACTTGGACTGCATCTCTCCCCAACATGTGGCTTGTGGAGATTTTGTTCCGTTTCACACATGAATGAAAAGCTGCCGGCAGACGCTGATTATTTCATATATTAGTGGAGAGCTTTCATCACCCTCTTCCCGGACCTCCCAGCTGGCAGCCGCTGTCATTCCAACATTCCAGACTCTACTTAAGGTCTTCACACATGAAGAAACTCTGACATTCAATACTTTTCACCTTAATCTGAGAGCCCTCCTCATCGAGCTGTGGGAATAATATCCCAGAAAATGTATTTCTCAATTACATGTTATGTCTTGAAGTATATAAAAAAAGAGTCAACACTTCTACTCCAGTTTAGCATTTCACTCATCAGCTGCAGAATGCAAATCCAGCGGGTTGGCGGTTTTTAGTATGTGTACATCCATCCTCCCTCTATCATTTTTGCTGCACTATGAGCCCACGAGTCTATTCTAGCTATTTAAGTACTTCTCAGCTCTTCCTGTGAAACGTTCAACAAAAGACAAGACATTTTTTGTCTCTACAGTTTTATTAGCCTGTGGGAGCCGCTGCGTCTGACCCCAGAGGCATTTTAAAGAAAAGGCCAAGTCAGGACAGGACAGGAGTGCTGATTGAGGTTTAGCCTGAAAAATCACTTCTGTTTATGGAAAGGCCCAGAGGCGAGAAAGGGCCCTGAATGCACCTCTCATAATCATTAACTGTGTATTGAATGCAAGGTGTCACTTCATTGTCATGCCAAAAAGAAAAACTGCCTCAGAAGATCCTCACATACTGTTCTGATAGAGGCTTAGTATGTAAAGACTGAAGCAAAACCTGCTTTTAAAATACCGATTGAAGATCCTCAGGCTGGTGCAGCAGAAGCTGGTCAGCAGAACAGATTCTCGTGTTGATCTGAAGTAACCACGATCAGTTCGGTAAAGGTCAGTAACTCATGCATTCTTCCTCTACTCTGCTGGTCCAGGACAGAACCCTGCAGGAGCCCCCATTTGTCAAGAGACCTGTCAATTAGTCATCCTTTTAACATAATTATTAGGGATGGGAATCGAGAATCGAGAGACGACAAAAGAGCAACGTAAGTCGAGCAGTGATAACATGCAAAGGTGGAAACACCAGAAACATCCTTAAACATTTGACAATGGGGCACAGCATCAAATATTTTTTTTCTGTATCAGAGACTCAATAAAATATTGAGTTAACGATGAAAACCTATAGTCTACCTTTTTTCATTCAAGGAAAGGCATTGATAAGGGAATCATTAAAGAATTGAATCGATAAGCAGAATCAATAATGGCACTGATATCGATAAAATCTTATCAATTCCCATCCCTAATAATAATAAAATGAGCACTTTGACATAAACATAACTAACTGTGATGACAGTAGTCATGTTTGAGAAAAATTCTATGTGATATGATTTTAATTTTACAACTTGACACCTCCTCTATCTGTTAACATGACTGAAGTGGGGCTAATGAACTATAACGCTGCCAGTCAGCAGGGGGAGCTCTGTATCTTTTGTCTTCACAGATAACAAATACTTAGATCATCAATTTTTCAAATGTACAACCTTTGGTTTTGGAGTTTTTTTGGAAGAAGTTTTTTTTTTTCAAAATCACATTCAAGATCACATAGACACAAAATAAAACTGTTCAGCGACCAGAAATCAAATTTTTACAGACCTTTGTGTTTTGCTTTTGGTCCCTATTGATGTTAGGCAGAGACCAGGGAGGCTCAGTATGTGTTTTTAAGTCTACATTGTTAACCAATATTTACTTGCTTCTCTCGCCGATACCTATGGCATCCTTATATTCTGGAGAGAGTCTCATAAAGTGTAGTTTAACCATATCTAGATGTATAGATGGCCAACATGTAGCGATCAAATATGGATGACATAATAAAGCACAACTCTCTGGGCCCTTGATTAAATTACAATCATCTTCTTTACTCTAAAACTTCTCCACATCAGCAAAGAAAGATTATCACAGTATTACATATAAATTTATGGTTTGTTTGCTTTACAGACTATCTGATGACTTTGTTGTTTACTTGTTCTTTGGAGCATATTCCTTGTGCTGCAGTGCTGAGAAAATTGATGTTATCGTTTAAGTGAATATTGGACAACATGCTAGCCAAAGACAACACATACTGACTTAACCCTGGTAGTCAAATCTTTTCAAAGTATATTGAATGTGTACTTATAAATATTCCACTGTTTTGTTTTTATTTCATTTGTCTATACAAGAGATTTATTTTCCTGTTTTTCATCAACTTATTATCGCAGTGGTGGACTTTCTCAAAGTCATGGAAAATTTGAATGGAATAGTTATAAGGGGCTGTTATGAAACTCAGACGTGAACAAAACATTTGATCAGCCTTTTTGTAAAACAGACAAAGCTTGTTTTGTACTGTGCACTAATTCCATAAAAAACAGTTCATATCAAGTATCGGGACTTTCTGCCATAGTGTCCCAAACTTAATGACTTGCAGAAAATATACAAGTTCTGACTTTCTTTTATCTGTGACTGAGGAGTTTCCGCTGACTGAGGGGTTTTGTATGTCAAATTGGACAAAAACAAGATGTGTTTTCTAACGTGAGTCTCAGAACAAATATCTCATAAACTTTGCTTCAAAAGACTCAATGAAGATTGGGGGAAATGAACAGGCTTTTTAAAGAGGCTGTTTGTGCTCTTCGAACAAACAAACATTCATTATAATGAATTCAGTGAACTTGATCAATGCTAGTTATGTAACAAATTGTCAAAATAAGTTAGGTAAAGATTAACCAGAAAACAATTTCACCTTACTCTATAGTTGATTTTAAACTCTGAATATTTTCTTCATTTAAATCAGATTTTCCAAAATTATGGAAAGCACGTTGTAGAGAATCAGTCCTCTTGTTACATGGTCCAGTAGAAACAGCCTTAAATGTGACATGAATCACGTCATGTCATAACCATGTTGTATGAGCAGCTAAATACATAAAAGATCATATGTTTTAAGGGCCTATATCCATTTACCAATTTTAGTTGGCACTGGCAGGTCAAAACATCTAAACAAAACCAATGCAGCTGAGTGTTTCTAAAGCTCAGCATTCTAATCGCAAAAACACCCTCAGTGCCAGCTGCTGTCTGTGGCTGCACTCCTAGCTATCAGTTAGAAATATTTCAACTTATAGCACGTTGCAGCACTTGCCAATGTGACTTCTTCCTCATCAGACAGTCTGAATTAGAAGGGGTGAGACTTTCAATACCAACTTTGTCATCAATAAAGGTGGTCGGCTGCAATGATCACATTTTTTTTGTTGGGGCGGCAGTAGCTCAGGAGGTAGAGCAGTCATTCAATAACCAGAAGGTTGGCGGTTCGATTCCCCCTATCCCTATTCTCTCCGTTGTGTCCTTGGGCAAGACACTTAACCCACCTTGCTCCCAGTGTGTGTCCTCCACTGGTTTATGAGTGTGAGTGTTGTGTGGTGGTGGTTGGAGAGGCCGTAGGCACAATCTGGCAGCCACATTTCCATCAGTCTGCCCCAGGGCAGCTGTGACTACTAAGGTAGTTTACCACCACCAGGGCGTGACTGTGTGAGTGAATGAATGATGTATGAATGAATGTAAAGCACTTTGAGGGTCTCTGGTAAAATGCTGTATGAAACCTGATGCATTATTATAAAATTTTCAGGTCTAGAGCTGTTGCCTAGACTTGTATTTATGTTTCATTTGTCAAATTTAATTGAAAACAATTAAATATGAAGCATACAGAGAAATGTGAGTCTCTACCAAGGGAACAACTGTTGTTATCTAGCAACAATCAGTTCCAATAAGATGTACTCTGAAACGTTGGGTGCTGCAAGCCAAAAAATATGCAACAATGGACACAGGCCCTTATTGTGCCATTTAGCTTTAACAAAAATCTGTTGGTGATTGAAAACCATGAAGTAACCAGTGGGGTTGAAAAATAAATCTTATGATGAAGTGCAAAAAATGTGGTCCCTTTAGTGTTCACCAGAGGTTAGCTAGCCAGTTATTCTTCCTGTGAAATCATATTGAAATGACAATTTTTACAGCAGAATTCAATTTGTTTTATAGCCTGAGCCACAAAAATCCCTCTCTTCCTCTTGCCTTTAAAAGTTTGTATAAAACTCATCTTTTTTGGTTATAGTACAACTATGAGTCATGCATAGTTTGGCATAATTAGGGGCGTAGCTGATTTGTCTACCAGGTGGGTCACGTAATAGCTGTCTGCCATCTCTTTGCTGGTTTCTAGATTAGCCAAAAATTAGTTTGAGCAAACATCTCCATTATGAAGACCACCTTCTTTTGGCCTTTGTAAAACTTCTTCAGAACCCAGCGAGTGAAGTCATTGAGAATACATCCATGTTTAACACAATCTGTGTTTCAAACTCATGAAAACTGGCTTAAACTTTAACATTAATTAGAAGAGAAAGCAGTTGCTGTCAGAAGCCTGTTAGAAAATCCTCCCGTGCCAAATGTTAACTCTCAGTCATCATTTTCCCGCTGCCTGTTAAGTGTCTGCATGCTGTCAACTCCTCCGTCTCAAACGTTTCGCCAGCATCTCAGTGACCTAATTGTCACTTCGTTCACTTGCAGTTTTCCAGATCCACACAACACTCAGTCACACTCTAAAAAAGCTTCCATAAATCTATTTACAAACACTCAAGTTTGAATAGCCTCTTAATAAATTGTCTGATCTGTACAGCGTCCCCGACATGTTATGATGGCAGTGATTTCTATGTTATTGTTAGTGAGGTCAAATTGGTAGTGCTGTTTATTTTGAGAGAGCGGCACCATGTTTACCAAGGCAGTCTAAAAAGTCTATTGTGCAGAGCGGCGTTGTAAATATTAATGTTACACTCTCCTCTTTGCGTGCTCTCTTGTCTTGCAGATATTGATGAGTGTGTTAATGAAACCATCTGTGGGAACCATGGCTTCTGTGAGAACACAGACGGATCTTTCCGGTGCCAATGTGACCGAGGCTACACCAACCCGCCTGGAGACATGAGCAAATGTGTTGGTCTGTATCTAAGCGACACCAGACCCTCATCCTATATTCCTTCAGAGTTTTTTTGTGGTGAAATGTTTTACTAAAGCACCATGGGAAAAGTCCAAAACCAACAATGAACTGATATTACTAACAAGTATATCCTATGTAGCCAAAAGCCTGATGTAACTTCTTCCTCTGTGACATAGAGTTTCAATTGTTGTTCAAAAGCACATCAGTGAGTCACACTGTTGTTCTAGTTGACAGACCAGATTACAGTGATGTTACTGTGGTTCTCTACGAGTCATTCCAATATACAAATTAGATATATGATACATTTAAATACCCACTGGAGCAAGAAGTGTGTGTTCAGGCTCTGAAATCAGTCCACTGTGAGTGCTGCATGGACTCCTCGGTGTTTGCTAAAGAAGTAAAACGTGAGGAAGATATTTAGAAGTTTTTCTTAATAGAAATACAAATTTTAAAAGATTTACAGCTTTATTAGGAGCCACTTCAGTCTTAATAGTGCTATGAGACTGGGTACGACTTTATCACACTGATAAAACATTCGCCCCATGTGCAGAGAAACAGGCTGCAAATTCTACAACAACATAATCACCTGAAACAAATGCATAAACAAGTACACCGTATTACAGAGAGAGATTATCGTCATAATAAGAGCGTGCAAAGAAATCCATTCTCTGTAATTATGATGAACTTACGGGTGATTTATTTCTGTGAGTTTGGTACAAATCACTCCTCATACAACAATACGATGAGAGCAAATTGACCACATGCCATGTATACATGCCCGAACCTTAAACCACCCTCCTCTCCTGTCTCCCTCAGACATGAACGAGTGCGAGATGACTCTGGCGCTGTGCGGAGAGGCCCTGTGTGAGAACTTCGATGGCAGCTTCCTGTGCATCTGCACCAACGACAATGAGGAATTTGATCCCATCACCAGCCAGTGCCGCTCCCTGGGTAATAGAGCAGGACCAGCACTCACAGTGACTCACAGGACCTAATTCTCCATCCTATCGCCCGGAGACGGAGTTTTCCCTGATTTAATGAGCCGTCTCTCATTATCCAAACAATGATGGTGACGAGGAGGTTATGACTTACTCCATGTCTCCTAGAGTATCTTTTTGACCTGGCTGTTTCCATTTGTTTTATGATCTCGGCTTATGGTTGGGTGGGATGCCTTCAGAAATTTGTATTAGACTAATCCCTTAAAGGAATGATGGAGTAACACCTCGAGTAGAGCCAAGTAAATACCCCGAGGGCCTCGTCACTATAAACCCTTTTCCTCATCAAGACAAACAGGGATAAGGTGTAGCTGTTGGCCAGTAGCACTGTGATCATTGTTCTCTTCTACACTAAAATGATCTCAAGTGCCATGGTTGCACATTTGCAATGTTTTGCAACTTCAGAGTGACTGAAAAGAACTTCATCAGTCATGTTAAATAGCATCACATCTCCAACTTGATGGGTGGGTGTGTGTGTGTGCACGATTTTGGTGTATTTACATTATTAAGCTGGGCGCCCTCAGCAGGGATGTTTTTTCTCCTGCCCGGGCACTAAACCCCAGCTATGCCTTTGTGTACCTTTTTGCCACATCCCCCTGTTTGCTTTTGACGTGTGTGAATCAATCATGTGAGAGTGAATGGTGTGTTGACTCACATGCGAGTGTTTCCATTTGGCTAAGCCGGCAGATTTAGAGTGAAATGCCTGGGCCTATGCCTCCAGACGAATGAGCAGGGTCAGCAGTGGCAGGCAAGGGGAATGCTATACCTGCTGAAGGCATGTGGGTGCTGCGTGATACCATATAATTAACCATAATGTACTTTTTACAGTATGAACAGTACAGATTTCTATCAGATCCATCTTGCCAAATATTATATTCTGATTTGGACCTTGGTTAATCCAGGTCTCTGTTTAATGATGATCCATCTGCAGGTCCAGGCCTGATTTTTGAGTCGTGTTTGGTACCAGAGGTACTGACCAATCACATATCAGTAAGCTTTGTGTAAGCCGAAAAAACAGTCCATACAGAGTGTAAAAGCAGACAGCATGCCACTGTAATGACATCTCAACTCCCATCCGCAGTGATCCTACAAAGATTTATTTTATCTCTGTACAAATATCTGCATGCAAGTGTAGCCAACAGTCTGGTCCGGATCAAAAGTCTCAACTCAGAGAAAAGCCAATCCGCATTTAGATTTCCTGGTTTCCTGGAACGTATCAAAAAGAACAGTCTGACCTCTATTTAAGAAAAAGACATTTTAAAAGTTTTTGTCTCCTCTTGAGAGCAGACCGACAAAGTTAGCAGTTATCCTCTTTGCAAATCAAGTTTTCAGGTCATGTCCCTTTAGAATGACAGGGCGAACTATCAGCGTAACTAACTATTTACTGTGAAACTAAGACTCACCAGAAACAGATAAAGAGGCATTGAGTCTGTTACCAAAGGCATATACCGTTTTATCATCAAATAATAGCCGATTGATTCCTGAACTGGGTTGATACTGATGCTCAGCCCAGATTATCTGGCCCATTCTTGCATCTCCTGTGCCACTTTGATCCTTCATATTGTTTTCTGCAGCCAACAATGTCCTCTCTGCTCTGATTAAATGCTGTTATTCTTCCTGAACAGATATCAACACCGGCACTGCTGGCCAAGTACCTCTGACCGGTCCCTTATACGAGGAGAGGAAAGAGTGTTACTACAACTTGAATGACGCCAACTTCTGCGACAATGTCCTGTCACGTAACATCACCAAGCAGGAGTGCTGCTGCACAGTGGGAGCAGGCTGGGGGGACAACTGTGAGATCCATGCATGTCCTGTCCCAGGAAGAGGTACACCGCAAATCAAATAAACTAACTAAAACACAAAAGGATGAAGCAAGGTGGATAAGTGCATTTTGTTCTCTCTACATCATCTTGTTAACTAATTAAACCGGCTCTTGTGTTCCAGATGATTATAACCAGTTGTGCCCTCACGGCAGTGGATTATTACCTGGTCCTGTTTCCGGTACACAGGGCTTAGGAGAACAGAGGTCTTTCATAGGTACGCTTGCTCTCATAAATACTTACATATTTTATATTCTTGAGTTTTTATAGTTTCCCCTTGTTGGCACAGAGAGATGCAATGTCAGCCTGTTTTATTTCCACCTGCATAAACTTTCAAAGCATCGTACAGACACAAGCCCTCACCACGTTTATGAGGCTGTCTCTACAGCTCACAAGGGATTAATAGAATACCTTCCTGCAAACCTGACTAATTACTCAACCCACAGTTGTCCAGACAGCTGTTTAACAACAGAGAATGACATTTAAAGCAAGGTCCAGTGTTTTTGCTTTCTGTCTCACTTATGTAACACCAAAGCATGGATCTTTCTCTCTCTCTCTCTCTCTCTCTCTCTCTCTCTCTCTCTCTCTCTCCCCCCTTAGATGCAAACGAGTGTGAGATGTTTGGATCGGACATTTGTAAGAATGGACAATGTTCCAATCTCTTCTCCACCTACACCTGCTTCTGTCGCTCTGGTTTCTACTATGACAACATCCGGCTAGAGTGCGTTGGTAAGAGATGATGGCTCTTCAAGTTTTGACACACAACACTATAACCTTTGAGGATGTGTTTTTGAAATCCTCGTAAAGACCAAAGTCCCTGTTACCTGTGTTTTCAGACTACGATGAATGTGGATTTGGAACTGCCTGTAAGGATGGAGTGTGTGTGAACACAGCTGGTTCTTTCAACTGTTTCTGCAGTCCTCCATTAGTTCTGGATAGCTCACAGCGGCGCTGCATCAGCGTCAACACCACAGAAGGTGCTACAACATTTATGATTTCTCAAGTTTGTAGTTGTTATTTCTTGATTGTTTGTATGAGTGAAGCAGGTCTTGGAGATTTAGAACAGAAATGAAGAAAAACAAGGGTGATACAACTCATCATTCGTTGTGTTTCCTAGAGATGAATCTGTGGTAGTTAAAGTGCCAGTGGCTTTGGTTGATGGCAGATAATGTCATATATACACGCCCATATCTACATTTGGTTCTCAGGGTAATTTTAAAGTCAGAACTGCTTATGCTTTGGCTGAAGTTTGGCTTCAGTCTGCTTCCTAATAGTTGCATGCATACAGTCTTCACTGCAGTGGAAAATTGCAATGGACTGTTGTTATTCACTTGCTTTTCTTTCAACTCCCACAGACTGAGATTTTGTGAATCTAGACAGTTGTATATTTATTTTCTGCTGTTTTTTCGGCCTCATTGTTAATGCCTGTATATTCTGTCTCCCAGAAACTTTAGAGCCTGATAATGACGTGCACATGGCTATTTGCTGGCAGCGTCTGGAGGGAGACAACATGTGTGCAGAGCCCCTTCAAGGACGCAGAACCACATACACAGAGTGTTGCTGCCTGTACGGCATCGCCTGGAGTGGACAGTGCGCTTTCTGTCCCAGGAGAGAGTCTGGTGAGGAATCTCCTCAAAGATTTCTGTCTGAATATAAACACATTCTTGTTATATACGTATATCCAAAATACAACTTTTTCCTGTGCGCTGCTGTTTTCAGAGGACTACGCAATTATGTGCAACCTGCCTCGGAGAGGAGGCACAGAGAGTCTGCGAGAGCGACCAGGATATGAGTATGGTTTGGAGGGACCTGAAGACTCTTCAGAGCCTTTCGTACCACCATACTTCGACAATTACGGCAGCCCTGCAGGACCCTATGAAATCCCTGAGAGTATGTCTATCTTCAACGACAATGACTACAGCATTCAACAGCCACCTGTCCGTGTCCCTGTTCACCGACCTCGAGAGAATCGGCCAAGACCAGTGGAGCCGTACTCTGGTGGGTGTATGCATGAAAACAGACATTGAAAATGTGCGAGTGAGGAGCTTCTGCTCATAATTATAGGGGTCAAAAACATTGATTGACTCATCTTGGATCACTCTCAGTCCTCTCACAGTGCTGTTTTCTACTGCAGCAGGCAGCTGTTACTGTTTGCTCTCCCTTTGGTTCTCCACCCCCATCTGTAAGCGGGCAAACTGAACAAAAAACTGGGACAAAGTAACAATACAGTTGTGTATTGTGATTTGGAGTAATAATAGAGAATGTGCAGTTCTTACATGATGAGTTGAAACAGAAAAGAGATTTGTGATCCCTGACCATTCCATCAGGGTGACTGGTACCCTTGTACAGTATGTAGATTGAATAACAATTAACAAGACTTTTTAATGTATGTTTTTGTACCCATATTTGTGTCCATTCAGAACGCTACGAAGGCTTTGAGGGTCTCCGAGCAGAAGAATGTGGAATCTTGAATGGATGTGAAAACGGCCGCTGTGTCCGTGTACGTGAAGGTTACACCTGCGACTGCTTTGATGGTTACGAATTTGACTCAAACAAGATGGCCTGTGTTGGTGAGTTCACTCCAGCATTGTTTGCACCATCCTCTACAGACCACCCACAAAGAGAAGTGATATCCCAAGTAAAAAATGTGACTCAGTGGATCCAGTAGAAAATCAATCAACTCATTTATCTGTGCTCAAAATGTGGTCTTCAGATCTTGAATTTCAAACATCACAAAACTCTCCCCTTGAGATTTAAGTCTTTCAGAGCCAGGTCTTGGATTATTCACAGCGAGGTAACTCTTAACGCAGAGGATCATCAAACTCAATGAGAAGCTTAGAATTTCACAACCTTGTCTTTAGATATATTTTATGGGAAACTAATGAAAGCAGTGTACTCCTTAAAACCACAATGTGTTGCCCTTAGGTTTGATATTCCCCGTTCACACACTGCCAAGAGTAAGAAGACCTTGAATCTCTTCCATAGAGTGTGTTTCATGAGATATATTATCCTTTAAGTGAACTTTGTTTTGTTTGAAAGTAAAAACCTCTTTTTGTAATAAAATGCTCTGATTACAATATTCTGTCAGCATACATGCTTATCAGCTCCAAGGCCAGACGTTTTACAGAGGAAAGCGATTGAATTCCAACACTGTGGAATCATGTGGGAGCTGTGCAATTCTCGCCGTGCTTCCTTTTTATAAATATCACTACAAATCCCCCAGCAGAGCATGACATAAACAGAAGGGGAGTCGTTTGATATTGACTGCTATGAAATGGCATCCAGACCTCCCGTACCTAAGAGGGGAAAGAGAAATCAGCTGAAGGCCAGAAGGAAACATAATCTCATGGATTGTTACTTTACCATCATTTCGAGCAGTTTAGAGCAGGAGACGGACAGGATTTCAAGTTCAAATGTGATCTAGTTGACACGCAACATGATGAAATGTGTGAGTTAAGATACACAAGAGGAAATGTTTTGCAGTTATTGTTTGGGGCGAGTGAAATATGTGCACTTTGTTAGCCAGCAGACCGTAGAAAAGCTCACCTAGTTGACATTTGGAAGGACTTCATGAGATGTGGTGTTGTTTGCAACTCCTTGAACACATCAAGAGCCAGCTGGTAGCTGGTGTAAATCTTAATGTAATTTATGTAATTTTAAAGTGAATTTAATATGGTTGCGACTGCCACTCATATACTGTCGATTCCATTATTGGGTCTGTGAAATGACTGAAATGGTGGAGGATTTACTGTAAAATCCCAAATAGAAGTTTCAGCGGTGTGTCTCTAAATGGATCAACAAACCAATGAATTTCTGAAATTGTAGAAAGAGCAAAAGAAAGAAAGCTACAAGGAAAGAGGAAAAGGTTACTACAGAAAAAGAGCAAAGTCATGGGGAAGAAATGAGGGGTGGGGTAGGCAGACAGGAAAGAAGCAAGAATGGGATGGGGTGGAAGAGACAAGAAGCAGAGGCAGGAGGTAAGGAAGAAGGGGCAAAGGAGTAAGAGGGGAGAGAGGATAAGAGGAGATTAAAAAAGTGAAGAAGCAAGGCGATGGAAAAAGGGAAGGAGGGAGGGCAAAGACGCATGGAAAGGAAATGGGAAAAAGGAAAGAGGAGGGAACAGGAGATGAGACAAAGAAAGATGAGAAAGAAGAGAGGAGGGAAAGAGGAAGGAAGAGGAACCAAAGGATGAAGGCGAGGGCAGGAGGAAGAAAGAGGAACAAAAGAAAAAGGATAGAAGAGAAAAGGAGGATCGAATGGACTGTGGAAGGAAGCAGGGAGGAAGAGGAGAGAAAGGACAGACAAAACAAGGAAGGAGGGCGGGAGGAGGAAAAGGCAAAGGGCAGAGGAGGCAAGGAAAGAAGGGAGGGAGATAGAAAACAGAAAAAAGACAGAAAACATTGGAGTATAATAGTTTTTAAAAGGCATGAGACAGGGAAGAAGTTACTGTTGTAAGAAGAAGAGCTAAGAGAAAAAGACTGAATGAGAAATGAAGAAATAAAAGAAAGACTGTAGATTTAAGAACTGCTGCTGTGCATCAGCAGATGTGGGTGGGCAGCTGTTTCACTTCTGCAAGCTTCCTGCTCAGTAACTCATCCTGTCTTCTTCTCCTGCAGACATAAACGAGTGTGAGGACATCAGTGACAAGGTGCCCTTGTGTCAGAACGGCCACTGCACCAACACAGAGGGATCCTACAAGTGCAACTGTTTGCCGGGGTTCGTGGCCTCTTCCAAACCACACAAATGCATCCCAGCGATACCAGAGTCCAAACCCACAGAGACGGACAACTGAGACACAGACTGCTGGAGCGCTGTTTCCTCCTGCTCCCCTTTAAAGTCACCTTACACCTTTCTGCCCTTCTCATGGGGGCTTGGCACTAAACCTCCAACTGTTTCGCTGAGACGTCCAAACTTTTTCCCCGACACACGCACATGCAAACAAAAGCACACTTGCACCAGATCCCCTCATATATACACCCAAGAGGAGCAGGTAATGTGCAGTGAATGTATAACATTGGATTCAATATTCACTAGATATCCATTTGCCTTAAAGGGATTTTGTGGACTGATCTTGTTTATTCAGTAACCCCAGGCATTTTGATATACAGATATATTCTCCACATTATTTTCTCTGTCACTTTTTTTGTGTTATTTATTTCATTTACATGACGGGCCTCTGCAAAATGAAAAAGCAACCTATTTCAGAGGGCTACTTGATTCCTCTTGTGTTATGTGCCTCACAAAGAGAGAATATGGGGAGATAATGATGTTTTTCTTTTTTTTTTTTTTTGGTGGAAAGTTGAAGGAAAGTTGTTAGAAATCAGCCACTCATGAACCAGCTTGTGCCATACCTGTCAAACCTCTCAACAACATTTCTTTACACAGTCCTTGTAATAACCAAGATAGAGCTGTTCCTCTGTATTTGTTAAGATCACCCACAAACTGAAGCTTAAGAATCGCCGGACCAAGAACATGGCGGTCGTCACAGCCAGACTCACACATCAAAAACAATACTTGGACCTGAAAGAGACTGTAGATGTTTATGATGATTTATGTGATGTTTTTAAAAGGTGCAATAGGTGAAACCTGCCTCCCTCTTTCTACAACATTTTTCTAACGTCAATGACGTCGCAAAAACATGGACTCAGTGGCTAATCTCTGCTATTTAGTTTGCAGTAATAACTGAAGAAACAAACACACTATGACCCAAGTTTGGTTCTAGGTTATAGCTTAACCCCTGAAACTACAGTTAGATTAGACTATTTATCCACGGTTTAAAGTAACAGTCAAGTTTTATGTGCCACAATAACACAGACAGAAATCTTTTCTATTAAACAGCAGTGCATGTCTCACATCAGTCCATTCCCATGTGCACATTTCCAGATGCACATACACACCATAGCTTTGTTGGAGGGGTTTGGTATGTTTTGTACAGATCTAGTACTATGTATTATTTTTTGTTACATATTCTCTTAATGCATTATAGCACAAACAATATTTTCTTTGACATAAAGCATAAAATGTAAGAAAAATCTGGCATTATAGCTTTGTAGATTTATACATGTCTGTAAAAATGTTTTTTAAAGCATATCTTTTTATGTATGAGGAGAGTGGCTGACACTGTACCTGAGGAACTGTGTGTATACCCTGCCCTGTGGAGCAGACAATGTGTGTGTTGTTTTTTTTTTTTTGTTTGTTTTGTTTTGTTTTTTGAAGTGACAGCACTGTTCTCATCACAGATATTTTGTCTCTTCAAGTTCATTACAAAGACAATGCTTCTGAAATGCAAGCACTAATGTCTGTGCATCACAACTTTATGAGTCATTTTTAGCATTACTTCTTTTAGTCGCTGTTGAATTCAGTCTCATGAATGTATCATAGACATATCAGCATGATCATTTGGTTTCTAAACTCCAGCTCACACCTTTTTGTCTTTGATATTCAGGTTTAAGAAAATAATGGCATTATGGACTGAGCTTCGTTCAAGAAATCATAGATGTGCAGAAAATAAAAGTCTAAATCTAACTTAAACATAGTGCCGACTTAGAGCCTTCTCGTGAATTTATAAACAATAAACTTAAAGTTTAACAAATGTTCTTCTCAGTGCTCACTCCATTTTACTGCTCTGTTAAACACTCGTCTGAATCGAACCAGAGGTCTAACATTCAGTTCAAAGTTGAAATATTTAAAGCCTTTAAATATCTGCAAATAACTTGAGATAGATGTCTTCTTGTAAATCTGTGGTCATTTTAAATATCATGCTCATTCATTATGTTTACCTCTTGACTGTAATCACTATCAGTCATCAAAATAAAAACATAAAAAATACTGGTTTCTTTGCACTATCACTCTTATGGAATAGCAACACACCTACACCATGAACCTACCACGTTTATTATTCACTTATTAACTTATGACCAGATCAGTACAGGTATGAATTACCAAGAATATTTGTGTAAAAAGATTAGAGGTCCACTTTTTTGAGATAAAGATCATCATCGATCATTAAAGAGGCAGTATTATGCTTTTTACATAAGGTTAAGTACAAGGTTAATGTGTACTGAAGTAATCCCCAGATGGGACTGCAGGATGCTCTGAATGACTTGTTCAAAAGTCAAATGAGAATTCAGTGAGAATATGAGATTTGCTCAAATCACAATATCATCAGACAGTTAATCTCCTTGAAAGGGAAAAAAATGTTGTTTGACAACAAGAACTGTGTTGGATGGCAGCAGTGAAGGAGAATGCCAGGCAGGTGAAGTGTCTCAGACAGAGGCTGAAGTGAGGGTTTTTAAAGACAGCAGCCTAAAATACATTACAAATTTGTTGAACTGTAGATCATGTGAAACTGCTAAGAAGCTGCAGAGGGACAATATAGTATAATACCCCCTCTTTAACTTGACTAAAAATACAATTAATGTTGTGAAACAAGGTATACAAGCTTCTTTTTGTATGTAAAAGAGCAGAATTGCACCACCATATATACTTGAAGCCATGAAAAAATCAGAATAAAAGTATCATAAGCAAATACTGAATTTCTAAAGGAAGGGCAATGTTCATATTTGAGTGTCAGGAGTATTATTCCAGTTTATAATGCATTAATGTGCTTTTTCACTGACTTTTAGTTTTAACAGCCAGTTAGTTATTTTAAAAAATCTTTTATTCAAAATCAAATGAACAAGTGGTCATTTTGCTATAAATTATAAGCACAAAAAGTAAATTTAAAACATATGCTCATTCTATGTTCACATAAGCATGTTTTAGGATTTTAAGCAACGGCTATGAACTGGTGAACACCTGGTCAGTCTAATCCAGTCTAATTCAGTATAATTTAACATGAATTCTCATAAATTCCCACTTTAAAAGCCTCAAAGTTTTCTAAAACAACATTTGAGCTGGCTAACATTAGACTGACCAGGTCTCCATGATATTATGGGTGGTCGGTGCTTATCCTTTAGTCACTCTATAGTAGTTTATACCGTAAATAAGTCTGAATGGTGGGTTAAGGTTAGGCAAATACATTGTCAAGTTCTTATGTTGCAAAAGGAAAAAAACTTGAACTACATTAAGATAATCCGTTATACTTTTGCGCCCTCTAGTGGACAAATAGAATTTACATTCGTCTGATTTTCCATTGGTTAACCGGGACTGAAGAGTCGTTGCAGGAGGTTTCTGGGAAACTGTGTTCACCAAGGGTTACCAAGCCCGTGACGTATGATACAACTGAATACAAGTCCCAGAAGCCACTTCGCCTTATACGTGTAACGCTGACTGACTCCTGCTATCAGCTCTCGTGCTCTTGGTTGGGGTTGCTAATACAGTTATTTCAAAGTCAAAACAGGAATTTTGATGCGATAAAGTCCGTTTTCACGTTGTCGTGTGCTGCTGTTTGAGATGCCGCTAATTGTCGAGAGGTTACTCTGTTCGAAATGAACAAGCTAGGATAAGTATATCATCGATGTGTTTAAATACCATGTAAAATTATGTGTAATTATATCTGCGTGCAAGGCGCTTTGTCAGCACTGCTACATGGGACAGTCAGTTGAAAACTGATACCTGGTGCTGCAGTGCTTAATTTTATTATTAACTCTGCTAAATTAAGCTGTATTTACTCTGAAAGTATACTTTTAAAACATCCACATATGACCCCTTAACTAGCTTTTTTTAAAACTCGTATTATAAGGTAGTGCAAGCGTATACGATTTAACTAGTTTGGAGGGTCCAGTCATTTTATTGCAGGTTTTATTTCCTAATGGCAAAGGAAGAATGTGTGGCACAATGGAAAAACACAGAGGACACTCCAACACTACGTTACAGGAGAAACTTTCCCACCTCCCAAAACCAATACAGCACTTTGTCAAAGGACACTGTCAGCCACACTGCTGGACACTTGTCAGAAGATGACCCTCACTCCTCAAATGGGACAACAGCTAAGTTTAGGGCCAAAGGACATGTCAGTAATGAGCCATCAAGAGTGTTTCTGATGTTGGTAGTGGGGTTGTCTTTCTCAACACGCCTCTATAGGATAACAGAGCCCCCTCATGTGTGGTGAGTGACAATCTTCTGCATGTAGATTTTACTGTGCATATTATTGATGAACATTACAAGGTTGTTGTGGTCTTTCAGCTGGGATGAGACACACTTTGGGAAGATGGGGAGCTACTACATCAACAGAACCTTCTTTTTTGATGTTCATCCTCCTCTTGGAAAAGTGAGGTGGCAAATTATCACTGATATGATGGCTCTAGTTTCCTTAGGGAGAGCATGAGCTTTGATTTCTTTCTTCACCATTTCACAGATGCTGATCGGCCTTGCTGGGTACATGACAGGTTATGATGGCACTTTTCCCTTCATAAAGCCAGGAGATAAATATGAGCACCATAACTACTGGGGGATGAGAGGAGTAAGAAACTTTCTAAACTTTGCTTCGTAAGATGAATTAAAGGCAACTCAAACAAATGGCTGTGGTTGTGACTTTAACAACAAAGTGTTTTGTCTTCCATTTTTTCGTACAGTTTTGTGCCATCTTGGGCTCCTTTCTCCCCATCTTTGCCTACCTCATAGTGTTGGATTTGTCTCGGTCTCACACTGCTGCTTTTATTTCTGCAATCCTTCTCATATTTGGTAAGTATCTTTCACTGGTTAAAAAAGTAGCATAACTCCAATTGTTCAACAGCATGCAACAGTCTTGTATTAATAAAGATAATAACTTTTTGCTTATCTCACCCCCCTTTGACAGACACTGGCTGTATCACTATTTCCCAGTACATACTGTTAGACCCTATACTGATGTTCTTCATTATGGCAGCAGTCCTGAGCATGGTCAAGTTTAATCAGCTGAAAAACAGGTAAAATTCAGTTTTGTTTTTGTTATTTTGTTCTTCTATCTCTTCCAATGCAGTGTAGCCTTTAGGATACAAGTTTATCATTCAATTAGAAAGAAAAATTAAGTAAAAATACCAGTTAATTGATTGTTTACCTCTCTTTTACTGACCTACTTCTCAGTTTAAAACTCTACAAACTTGATTGTTTCAGTTATTTGCTTTTTCTCACTTTAACACCATTATAATGGGACTGAATCGTAAATGTTCTTTGGGTAGTGCATATGCATAATATGGTAATATAGACCATTTCTATCTTTGATAGCAGTTGATGTATGTGTTTGCGTTTTTTTTTCAGACCTTTTACCGCCTCCTGGTGGCTGTGGCTGTTACTGACAGGTGTCAGTCTTGCTGGTGCGTTAGGGGTTAAGTTCGTGGGTCTGTTTGTCATCCTGCTGGTGGGACTAAACACAGTTTGGGATCTCTGGAGACTCTTTGGGGACCTGAGCCTCTCTCTGGTAAACAGAAACTGACAGAAATGATGGTTGTTAAAATGTTGACTCTTTGACTCCTCTCACTTCTTTTTTTCTTGTCTCCAGGTGGAAATTACAAAGCACTTCCTTGCCAGAGTTATAGGACTCATCTTGCTTCCCCTCCTCTGTTATGTTACAATATTTGCAGTCCATTTTGTCGTGTTGAACAAAAGGTGTGTCTCTGTGATATATTACATTAACAGCGTGTGATGACATTTACGCATTGTGTTGGTAATCATGATTGTTTTTTTCTCATCAGTGGACCAGGAGATGGTTTCTTCAGTTCAGCTTTTCAGTCTCGCCTAATTGGGAACAATCTACACAATGCCTCCATGCCTGAGTGTGAGTCTAAAAACATATGTGGATACAACCACATAAAACTGCAGCTGTGTTTACTAAAACACTGATTAGAACATGAGAAAGGGGGTCAAAGAGAAATAAAGGCTTTCCCCCAGTATTGATGACAGCCAGATGGACTAAAATATCCACAAAGAAGCATGTCTATCTTTTTCTTATTATGGTAATTAGCTGGTGTGGTCCCTCATTCCTACTGTAAATGATTAGTTCTCATTAATCCTGTCTTTCATTTGTTTGATGTTTCTCTGATGCAGACTTGGCTTATGGTTCCACCATTACAATCAAAAACCTTCGTATTGCTGGAGGTTATTTGCACTCTCACTGGCACTTATACCCAGAGGGAGTGGGAGCACGGCAGCAGCAGGTAGGGCTTCAGATTTAAGCAGGAATCTCTTCCTTACATTAAGAATTTGCTTATATCCCCGCTCATTTGCTTTATAGTAAACTCTGTTTTATTTTCTATTTCCATACAGGTGACAGCTTATCTCCACAAGGACTACAACAACTTGTGGCTAGTTCACAAACCTGATCCTAATCAATGTGAGACATTGTGCTTTTTAGAAATAATAATAAATTGTCATTTTGGAAGTAATATCTAAGCTTCTTATGAATCATTTCTCTTGTTTTTGTTTCAAAAGCTCATCCTGGGACACCTGATTTGGTGCGTCATGGTGACATCGTTCGACTGGAGCACAAAGAGTAAGAGTCATGACCTTGTATGGCTGTTCATGGATAACTTAACACTGCACCTTTGCCAATTGTAGTGGTTGTCACTGAAATGGAAGGTTTCTTTTCCATGGTTTTGCTAATTTTCCTGTGTGTTTAGAACAACTCGTAACCTTCATGCTCATCTCCATGAGGCCCCTCTGACCAAGAAACACTTCCAGGTTACAGGCTACGGCATTGTGAGTATTTCAACAACATATCTGCAGCATTTCATATTACAGCCCTAATCTGTATTATTTCATATCATTATGCATTTGGATTTCTTCAAAGCCTAAAACTTACTACAACCTTTGGTTTTACACGTAGAATGGCTCAGGTGACCTCAATGACTTATGGCAGGTGGAGGTGTGTGGAGGTCGAAAGGGAGACTTGGTGAAGGTGCTACGCAGCAAAGTCCGTTTTTTGCACCGAGCTACCGGCTGTGTGCTTTACTCCTCTGGCAAGACTCTACCAAAGTGGTAAAACTGGTTGTCTCATTTCTGACTTCAATTTATTTAAGATATATTATGATGGTGGACGGACCAGAATCTCAGGGTGTGTTTGTGTTCAGGGGCTGGGAACAGGTGGAGGTGACATGCAGTCCTTACCTGAAGGAGACTCCAAGCTCCCGGTGGAATATTGAAGATCACATCAATCCCAAATGTATGATCAGTCCTCTTCCTGTACTTTTGCCTGTTTGTTTGTTTGTTTTTTAAATATTATTATCAATTACCTTTATTTAAAGAGTGCTTTTCAGATTCACATTACAACTTGGTTTAAAGGACAGTGTAATGATAAAGATAAGTGTCAGCATTTTCCAAAGTGAACAACCAGTTTGGTACCAAAAAAAAAGAAAACCCAAACTATCATATATAAAAAGAATTTAAAATCATGACACTTTAAATGACATTAAACAAAATCAGGAAAAGCTTTACAATAACAATCTGTTTGAAAAAGTGACTTTAATGAGAGCACTGAATCAACTAACTGAATTTCCTCTGGTGAGTCATTTGGAGTCTCAGGGCTCTGGATGAAAACGCTCTGTTCCCCCTTGTTTGAATAAATAAAAGACCTTTGCCTGAGGATCTCATGGTGTGTCCTGGGGTGTAAAGTATCAATAGGATGGAGATAAAATTATGGCAGAGAACCCTGAGTGCTTTAAAGTAATCGATAAAATCTTTAAATCAATCTGAAAACTTAGTGTCCAGTTTTGGATAAAAGCCTGTCAACTAAGTTCTGCACCATCTGAAGTTAGTATATGGATTTTTGATCTAAACCACTCAAAAAGCTGTCATAACAAACTAGCTGTGATTAATCATCCATAAAATTGTTTGTTAAAGTAAAAAAATCTTGAATCTTTGAAAACATTTCTAAGATAATTAAAACAAGTAAGTTTTGTGGTGTGATGCTCAAAGTTCATATTGCTGTCATACCTGATGCCCAAGTCCCTTACAACTGGCTTAATCTGATCCACAAGGAACCCAGCGGTTGGTAAAATAATGCGCTCAACAACGCAGGGCGAGCATGTTCAAAGAAAAGGAAATTAGTCCCAAAAGTGACCCTTGAGGCACACCACATTTTACAGAAAACTACAAAGATATGTGGTTGTTCACAGAAACACAAAACTTGTTTGTTTGGTAGGATAAAAAACAGTCTAATCTAAACCATCTGCTCCAAGTAAGTCGGTCTCTTTAAAAGAATGCTATGATCAATTGTGTCAAAGGATGCACTGATGGTTAAGAAGAGCGCATTCCATCATTAGCTGCTATTCAAAGATCATTAGTCACCATGAGCAGGGTTTCTTTGGTGCTGCTGTGGTTCTTCTGGACACCAGATTGCAGTCTTTCATAAATGTGATTATTTTGTGGTGCTGCTGAAACTGTAAGGTAACTTAGAAACTGCTCTGTAATTCTAAAGGAGAAATAGATCACTGTTAATCGACGATGTGGTCACAGAGGCGATCAGAGAACAGTTGAAGACAGCAAGCGGACTGCGTATAACAGATTCAATTACCTGTTCAAAAAACTCAAATATATAAAGTTTAAAAAATCACAGTCAGCATGTTTTTGAAGAGCAACACATGGAAGGATTGGGTTGGCCGTATGTTTGATAGCTTCAAATAGAAACCTTGTGTTATATTGTTAAACTGAGATTACCTCTGAGAAGTAGCATCTCCCTCCATCCTTGACCATCCAATTCAAATTAAAGATCATTGGTGTTCAGATAGGTGTTTAGTCCTGCACTTCATGATGCAGCACAATAACCAACATGTTACTTTTCCTCCTCTCTCTTCCGGCAGTGCCCAACATCAGTTTGTCTGTGCTGAAGCCCCATTTTTTTGAGATCTTACTGGAGTCGCACATTGTTATGATAAGAGTAAGAAACAAAAAACCAAAAGGTTGAACTGTGCTTCAAGGATGTGTTTGATCAGAAATGATTTACTGAAATAAAATGTCTTTAAAGGGAAACAGTGGCCTGAAACCTAAAGATAATGAGATGAACTCCAAACCCTGGCACTGGCCCATCAACTACCAGGTACATTCTATCATTAACCATGTAAAGTCTATTTTGATTTTGCTGAAGTAGAAACACATTCATAACCACTCTGAACTCTTTATTTAAAGGGATTGAGGTTTTCTGGAGTGAATGATACAGAGTTTCGTGTTTACCTCTTGGGAAACCCTGTAAGTCTCTCTTTGACTTGCTTTGTTTTGTTTCTGCTGTTGTCTAACAAACTCAAAAATGTCCTCACACTCATAGTTTTTTTATTTGTTTTTGGCAGGTGATCTGGTGGATGAACCTGGTTACTTTGGGTTTGTACCTTGTCATGGTGGCAGTGGCATCGATAGCCCTCCAAAGAGGTTTCTCATTGAGCCAAAAAAGAATAGGTACGATTATAGACAGTGGTAAAACAGCTCACTGTGCTGACATGTTAAGGTTGTTGCTGCAGTAAAATATGGTTAAAGCGTTAAATGAATGCACTTTTTGTTATTTTTCAGAGCAATCACTTGTTTTGAAGAGAGAAGGAGGGTTTCTGCTCCTCGGCTGGTTGCTGCACTATGCACCCTTTTATACTATGGGTCGAGTTCTCTACTACCACCACTACTTCCCTGCTATGCTTTTCAGCAGCATGCTCACAGGTAACAAATCCCACTGAATTTAAGATACTTTTACATCTCCATGTGTTGGGATGACAAGATTAGAAGATAAGATGTTCAGGAGACTCAGCAGAGAAATTAACTGGGTTATAAAATGGGTTTTTCTGTTACTTGTGATTGTTGCCCTGCCCACACAAGTTTACACAAAAAAGGAACAATGAATGGATCCACAGACTTGTGCCCGCCTCTGACTCGCACTTGATTTTGACAACACTCACTCCAGTTGTGATGTGAATTTTAAAATTAAGAGGGATATTTAAGGGAGCTGGAGAAGAGGGAAAAGATCAGGTTTATAAATTTTTTGGTCAAACTGGCGCTCCATAGTTAAAGAATAATAGGTATAGTATATATTTTAAAGCCTGATGAGGCAATAAACAGTATAAGAGACTGTAAAAGTTGATATTTTTTTAAATTATAACTCAGTAAAATTTAAATCAAGTCTAATAAAATTCAAAAGCAAAGACATGATACATTTATCTCAATATTTAAATGAGAGTATGAAATCACTATGTAACATTTTTGCAGAGAGTTAATGGTGCCAAGTTGCTAAATCTAAACAGAAGTTCAGTTGGCTTTACAATTAACAACCTGAAAGTATGAAAGCAAATGTTAAAAGCTAAGAGCATTTTTATGCTCTAAAAAGGTATACAAAATCTAACTTATTGGGGAATAGTTTCGTCTTGAAGTGATGCTCTTTTCTTATTTTCTTTTTTCTTTTTTACAAGCATTGGCTTTGACAAAAGGAAAAAGGTGAAGCAGACACGTTTTACAGAATTATGTGGTTTAAGTATTCTGTATGTTTTTTTTTTTTTTTTTTTCCACAGGAATTACATTTGATGTCCTGCTGAAAAGCACTGACTTGCTGCTCTGCTCACCTCTTGCTGATTGGCTGCAGAGAATCGGGATGATGGTGTTCTTATTTTGTGTTCTTTACAGGTGAGACGACTTGCAGAATAACCACTATGAAAGAAAATCTTGTTGCTCATGATCAAATTTCCTTTTTTCTCTGTGTTAATCACTTATATTCATTTTCCGCCCTCCAGCTTCTACCTGTTTCATCCACTCACCTATGGCATGACGGGACCTCTTGCACACGAGCCTGGCAGCGTCATGGCTGGCCTTAAGTGGATGGACACCTGGGAGTTTTAGTCTGCTTTGTATTCAGAGAACATAAATATTGTGATGTACAATGATTGTTCTCTGAGGCACTTAAAGCTACCATGTGTCGAACAGGTTGATGGTCAGGACAGTTTACATTTAAAGATGTTTTTATTGGATGTTGGCTGCACACACTGCTGAAGAATCTCTCATTTTTCAGGTGTTTATGGCTCAACATCTCCTGGTATTATAGTTGATAATATTTAATAAATAGTTCCACAAAAAGGACCTGAAGCAGTGCAATATCAAATGTAGACCGTTGAGAAGTTTTAAAGATCTAGATACAAGTAATCACCAGACTGCCTTAACTACACACAAATCTTACATCTTGTACTTATATTTATATTTACTTTTTGTCACAATAATAATAAGATTAAGTGCCTGAAACTGGTGAAAGCTCATCTTAAAGTGAAATGCTGCATCTTGTCGTTTATCTGTTTTAAGTAAACCCTTTTTTATTGTTACAGAGCTTGAATTTGGTTTGCATTTGTCTCTGCTCAGTATTTTTGAGTATTTTAAAGCTTCTTAAAAAGTGATCTGTACATTTCAGTAAGAACAATAAAATATGACCTCTTGTAGTCTGTTTACTTATGTGTGTAATCACTTGATATGTTATTTATTTTTCAAGGACCCCTTAACCACCAAAATCAGAAACGCTGGACATTTGCTTACTCTGACCATCCTTTAAACCAGGCCTGTCATCAGATTTTCAAGATTAACAAGATTAACTGTTAATTTCTGATATAATGTAAGACTGGTAGCTAATAATGTAAGGATGGTTAAATTGCTAGTACAGAAGCTGTAGTACTTCAGGTTAGATTCCAGCTTGCAGCTCCTATCGCACATGCCACTCACTCTTTAATTCAGTTTTCTGTTCAAGCACCCCTATCCTGTCCAAATAAGGCTTAACACCCTACAAACACAAGATATGCAGGATCAAATCGTAAGCTTAAATTAAAAAAATGACTCAAAACTACTAAGGTGAACCTAAATTTATATTCCTTTATTTATTTAATGGATGTTTGTCAATGTGTGCACCATAATAATAGACAAAAACAAGAAAATAAGATTAATCTTGATTGCTTAACTTTCAACAATATCATCAAAATTATGTTCCCAAAGCTGACAGTTAACTATACTGAAAATGTAAACACATTTAATGTGTTTATACAGCACCTCATGTCTCATATTGAGCACAACTAAACTATAGCCCCCTACCGTCACGTTTGTGAACTACACTAATACGCGTACATATATTTCTAGGACGGCCGCTGCCATTGGCTGTCGTAAGTCACGTGTTTATTGTGAAGATGGCGTCTCCAAATGGAGGTAAATTCTAATTCCCTATCCTGCTTTGCTGTGTAAAAATGGTCAATTTAGCGTTTTTAAGAGCATTAAATCGTTAGCGAATCCTATACCGTCTCTCAAGAACATTTGGGAACGATGGAATACACATGTTAGCGTATTATTGTAGTTGTTTGGAGATGTTTTGACCGTTGGCTAAAGCCTTCCTAGCCCCAGTGTTGTGTCTGTACAGTGTTCAGGGAAGCACAATGAACAACAACCTTTAACAGACGGACCCTCACAAACTGTATAGTAGTTAAAGTGTTTGTTTGACAGCGTCGTGTTAAGTTATGGGTTTACTGACTGTGTTTTTTCGGTCCTTTATGAGCTGACTTTCTCTGAAGGTTGCTGCTTTAAGTAAGAATGTTTCCCCCTTGTTGTGTTTTTACTGTTAATATGCCGTTATATCGAGTTTCTCTCGTTTTTCTGTGTAGTTTCCACGTTAACTATGTAAAACGATGTATGAATCAATTTTACATCGTTAAAAATAATCTAGTTCGTAATGCTGCAAATGAAGAAGAGTGCTTTTGAAAATGTAAGCATATCGTCTCGTATAGAAATGAAATACACATGATGACATGCAGATTTGAAATAACCTTTTTATGTGGTTGTTTGTATTTTAACAGTGTGGCATGGTTTTAACCCTTGTTATGATTTATTAACTTTATTTTAACTAGCTGTTTCTTTTAATGTGACCTATATTCCTTCTTCTAATGGGATTTCTCATTAAGTGTCTGAGCATTTTGAAAAGCACTTAACAAATGAAATGTACGCCTATACTAAGACAGACTTTGACATACCACAACTAGATACTACTGACACACTTCTTACTACTACTCCTACTAAAATATATGTAACAAGTATGGGAGAATGGCCCACATGTTAAAAGATTTGTATAAAAAGAGATTGTTTTCCTGATAGATCAAACATGTTACTCTGTACATTAATGAGCTGTATGATTGTATTTTTAAAATGGCTGATCTGATGGTGATGACTGAAAATACTTATTGAACTGAGCATAGCTTAAAAAACAATGTGCAGAAAATGTGTTTTGAAAAATGTCTCACCTTGAACCTGATGCAACCATCTCCCATTACACATACGACCATATTTTTCAAAATGTAAATGGCTTTAAGTCTTTAAGTGTTAGTAATGTGCTTAATAGAGCCTTAAGGGACAAATCTCTACAATCGTTCAACTAGAGATCCAAAAGCCAAAGACTCGCCAATACCAATCATGAATGCCATGAAATGCAAATCTTTGTATTTAACAATATGAGACTATCATCATTCATCTTTGAAAAATAACTGAGTTTTTGTAAGGGCCAGGTGACATTCTCTCTCTCTGCCCGGCATTATACCTGTCTGCAGCAGTCATAAACTTGTGTTTTAATAGATGTTAAAGGACACTGTTAAGGTCAGTGTTTGCTGACCTGTGAATGAGGAGTTCATACTGTACTGGCTGTGCAGGCGGGCATAGTTGAGAGACACGTGCAGCAGACAGGAAGAAGAATAAGAAGTATGACTTTAGCTGCAGACAAACCAAATTTAGTGTCTTTCTGCAGAGGTGTGGACATGTTCTCCCACTCTGGTTGAAAATATGAGTGTGAACTTTTTTTTTCTAGGGCTTCAGTGCTTTTTTTACTGCTACTGAATATAATACCAATACCGGTGTGGTGTCATAAAAGTATCATAGTATGAAAACTTTTAACAACTTAAGGCACAGAGTTTAAGCCAACTGCTCTAACATCAACGAAGAGGAGTGGTTATTATGCACAGAAAGAACATACTAACAGGAGTTTTTGTTGAAAAAAAAAATGAATAAAACAACTGAGATTTTATGGTGCTTTGAAGGTACTCTGTGAGATTTCATGCAAATTCACAATTCATTTATTTTTCATAAAAACTAAAAAAGTCATTTTCTGTGTCGTGTTAGGTGATGACTTTGAGTCATCTTTGCTGAGTTTTGAGAAGTTGGACAGAGCGTCACCAGACCTGTGGCCAGAGCAGTGTAAGTTTGCATTCTCCCTGCTTCCTCTAGAAAATTAATCACTATCAAATGTTGTTTTATGCCGTCATAACTTGATCATCCTTTAATCTGTCTTTAGTGCCTGGAGTGGCAGAATTTGCTGCATCTTGTAAAAATGTGAGTAATATTTACAGTGGATCACTTTGATTTACACACTGGATAATTAAACACACTTGACTCAGTGTTAAAAAAAATGATCTGATTTGTAAATCAGGTGTTAACTGTTGTGTTTTTTTTTTTTTTGCAGCCCATCACAAATTTACCCCCAAAGTGGATGGCTGAACTGGAGAGTGAGGACATTGAAATGTTGAAAGGTAATGTTCCAGATTGTCTTGGCATTTTTGTACCTCTACTTAATACCTGTAACAGTTGGTGTTAAACAGGAAGGATGTCGACAAAAATAGTTTTCACTGATAATCCTGTCAAATGGGGTTACATTTTTTTTCCTAAAACCAGTTCCACGAAGTAAAGAGCTTTCACTGTGCTGTCTTTCTGCAGAGCTGGGCAGTCTGACCACGGCTAACCTGATGGAAAAGGTCAAAGGACTTCAGAACCTGGCTTACCAGCTGGGATTAGAGGAGTGTGAGTACATGCAATACATAAATCAGAAACAGGTTTGCAAGTGGACGGTGAACAGCTGCAAAATACATGATACAAGGTTTCCTAAAATCTCCTCAGAGTCATGTGTCACCACTAGATGGTGCTCATCACCTTTCTGGATAAACAGCAGATGGTGTATTAAAAAGCATACTGCCTGATCTCATATTTAAACAGACTTTGAGCGCATGTTTTTGTAACCAAAAGCAGGATCATTTTAAAAGTTTGCAGTTCCAAATCATGTCTTTATTCCTGCCAAACAGCATGAGAAAGTTCAGTCTGAGGTCTTTAAATGATGGATTTGGGTCAATCTTTTTAAATTGGAAAAAGGTAAGAGACAATGGTTTGTCCACATGAGCCCATACAACAAGTGCTCAAGCATTTGATGGATGCAAAATCTAGGTTTTAATCCATTCCCAGCTGCCTCCATTGTCATAATCCTTATGGAGTGTGGATTAGAGAGATGTAGCTAAGTGCTCATATTTCCCTGAGAAAATGGGTATTTATTTTTTTCCAGTTAAAAAGCACACAAGCAATGAAGAATTGCACTGAAGTATTGGGATGGAATATATAATAAATGCATATTTATTTTATTTCTAGGTCAGTTAAATTCAGTTACTGTCTCTGAATACGGGGGCATGAAGTGATCAGAGAAATGGAAAAGCATTTGTTGCACAATAGCCAGCCTTGAATTAGTGCACTGATTTAATAGCTCGGGTGTATAAACTGAATCATGCCAAACATAATTTGAGAAGGCTTGGTGGAAATTGAAAGATGCATTTGCTGGAACTTCTTGATAGTTTAAATAGATTGTCAGATTTAAGGACACAGCTCTCTCCAGAAAGAGGGAAATGTTTTGTATCCGCAGTGGTGTAATACACAAATATCAAAGTGAGACACTACAACAATCATGAAAGTCTAGAAGAGAAAAACTACTTATTAAGCAGCTATAGATTGTGTAGCATGTGTTGTATTCTCACCAACCCCAAATCACAAATTAATTTCATTGAAAAAGTGTCCAATCTCGCTGACTCCTCAGCATGTAATCTGGCTGGTCTGGCATAAAGATGTTAGCTGTCACAGGTGTGCAGGCCTGCAGGCTTTGCAATCATGTCATGTACCTTCAGGACGACGGGACACAATGACGGTTATTACTAGTGTCGGGGCAGCTCTGTAATGGGTGCCTGTTTAATGCTCTCTGGTTTAATTTTCTCCTTTTCCCGGCTGTCAGGGGAGGCCTTGTAAATCTCAGCTACTTTTTCATCATGTTTGTGCACTCTTCAGTGCCCGTAAACGAGACTCCGCAGAGGCACGGCAGAGCGAGGGCAGGGGACAGGATTTACTGCCCCTCCCCCTTCGACATGTGGACCATTAAAGAGGGAGCTGGTTAATGGGCAAAGCACAATCAGGCAGTGTGAAGTTACCCACTCCGCCGAGGTTGAGAAGGGAGCTGGGCTTAACACCCCCAGCAAGACCAGCACTCCTCTGACAACCAGAATAAACCCAAACATTACCAGTGCTGGTTTCTGCTGTATGCCTGTACTTACAGATTTGTCAACACCGATGTGGAAGGAGGGAGTAACACACCCTTTTCCCCATTAACACTCGTTCTGCCCTCCTCCCATAATCATCCCCGATAATAGCTGTATGACGCTGGCTCGGTCTGGTCCCTGAGGGGTTTGACGCGTGCCTCGTCCTCAGGCCCCAGCTGTTACTCCGCCCCGTGATGAATACCCCTGTCGTGGGCCGCTGAGCGTGGGCATCAAGCCGGCAGTCTCAGGGGAAAGCTGAGGACTCTGATAAGTGCTGTTATTGGAGGTAATTGAAAGCTGAGTGTTCCTTAGAGACACAGTGGAGGGCCTGAGTTAAAGAGCACCAAACTGTACGGGGTGGTGATGGTGCTCTGTCACACTTGTAGGCTCAAGGCCACTGACTGCTGTTTAAGTTTTCTACCTCAAGGATGAGCCGTTAAAAAGGCTTGTACGGTAGACTCTGCTCGATTGTTATAATTTCATTTTTCCTTCATTGAAATGTGTTTGAAGCAGTTTCTGTGATGCTGCCAACTTTAGCATCAGTCTATAGACAAATTTTACAATAACTTAATTATGAGGCAATAATGTGGCAGTTCTTCTGGAGACATATGATCTAAACGCTGTCTTTCAGATACTGGTTGAACAGTCTTAAAAATTGAATTGAAACTTGAACTGCATCCCCTTCTTACTACGGCAATTTTACCTTTCTTGACAGTTAAACTGATGCTCGCTAGCTATGCTAACATGATTTACCCAATATATTCCCATACTATCAATTAAATCTGATGATCATGCAGTTTAAGGTGTATTCACAAGCCGACTGGAGCTGAGTGTTCAGAAAAGTATGCATTAGATGATGCTTTGTTTATTCCTGATGACTCTGCCAACTCTCTATCGCTAGGATATAATGCCATCGGCTTGTTGTTGTCGTAGAGTAAGCCAATTTATGTGTTGACAGCCTTATGCGTATAAGTTAGTTTGCCATCAAAGTGGAATACTTCCTGTTCTGTTTTTCAGCTGCTTTGTTATTGCCCCTTTTTTGGCAGACTTGGCAAGTGAGTGTAGTGAACAACTTAATTTAGTTTGCAAGTGAGTGTTCAATTGAGCCCTGCTGGAGCTCTAAGTCAAACTACTTCAAACAGTCCATTTCGCAAGTAGACGTTACACTTTAAATCCAAGCAGCTGAGCACAGTTTGAGTAGGATCTTTGCTCAAAGTGAGTTTTGAATGAAAAGTGTCAGCAGGAATTAAAGCAAAGAACGAGTGAAAGATGAGTCTGAAGAAGCAGGACATCAAAAATGCGCTGCTGAAGCAACAGCAGAGACGTACTCTGTGATGACAGTTTGTTTGCATTTTTGTCAATGCTACATGCAGATGAACAGAAGTACAAACATTTTACTGTATTTCTCTTGAAGATGATTCCCCTTAATCACTTTCTTCCTGTTATGTGTTCCTTCTCTTTTTTTGCACTGATTGCATGATATAAATGTCATTAGCTCTACAAACTTACCTGCAATGAATAATTCCAAATGTTTTCATTTTGTCATTTTGTGTCATTTTTATCAGAGGACTTGTAGCAGAAATCCTTTACAGAGTGGGTGTGGCATAAATGGTTTAATTTATATGAAACTTTTTAGAAAATTAAAATTTGGATATGAATCAGCTACAACAGAAGACATTATAAGAAGAGAATATTCAACTCCTGTTAAAATATCCCATTAATTAACATGGGGGAGTTGGGCTTTATGACTCAATAGAAATAGTACTAGAGTTCTTGGTTGCACTGTTAGAGTGGTCATGTTGTCCATTTGTTATACAGTCATTTTCTACCTTGAGTGGTACAAAAATATAAGGTTCTTATCATAGTTGGGACTTTTCCTCTGTTTCTTCCACCAATGGGAATATCAGAAAATGAACACATTACAAAAAAAAAAAAGTGTAACTGGTGTGTAAAATGTTGATTAAACAGATATGTTATTTTAAGTTATTTTTTATTGATTGAAAAATAGCATAAGACAACAAATAAAATGTTGGAACTAAAAAACTGAGAAATAAGAAAGAAAATCTGCTTATTTTAACCTTGATATTAGGAACATATTTCAGAGTAGTTTGCACAGCGACCAAAAAAAAAAAGCACTGATAAAGTTTGTAATGGTATAAAAAAACACCTGGAGGATAATCTCTCAACAGAGTATCAAATTTGCAGCAGGTCAGATACATGGCAGGGTATATAAATAGCATTCAAGACAAACTAAGTCTCTCAGAAGCAAGGATGGGGAGCAGTATAGCGGTCAGTGAGAGACTGCATGAGCAAAAAGTAAGACAACTGTCGAATAATGTTCAAGGATTTTATTAGCTACAGTACATAACACCATTCAAAGATGTCTTGTTTGTGGATTTTGGTCATATTTTACACAATGTCCCACCTTTTTTGAAATCGGGGTGCAATCCATGGAAAGAGAGGGGTCATTAACATGATATCACCTCAGTAGAGGGATGAAAAGTTTTGTTATCTTTGGAAATACAGCTTTGCCGTATGTGTCCTGTATTTAGGACCACCTGTTGTATCTCAAAGTGCACCACAGAGCACCTCTGATACCACCCCACATAGACCCAGGCTGACCCCTGTGGCGCCAGTCTGTGTGAAGGTGAGACTGAAGGTCGCCCTGCCCTGACAGCTCCTAATGGGCCCGCATTCACCTCCATCCCCTCCTTCCCCTCACCCTTAGGATCAATCTCCGGCCTATTAGAAGCGTGCCGCTGCTGAATATGATTGCATTCACTGGGCTCCACTGGCGCTAATGTGCCTCCATCAATCCATCAGGCGGGCTGACCGCGGGGCGGGCCGTTATGAAGTGCCTGAGCTGACAGCCGCTGAATGAGGAACAGGGGATGTTTCCCTACCACCACTGCTACCATCTTTCCTCCCCCTCCTCCTTCTCCTCCTCCTCACCTCTACTAGTCTCCTGTGTCTGTCCCTTGGTGAATCATAGTTAGGATGAATGGCAGTGGTGTTGTGCAACTCTCTTTAAAGGTGACAGTGTTGCTGTAAAGAAAAGTGAAACAAGAATGGAGGAAGTTTGGGCTCACTTATCCCTCCTAAACGGGGCTTGTGTTGTTAGTTCTCTTAAATTAGCTTCCATAGAAGCGTCTTTTCAGCTCCTTTAGTGATTGTTGTCATTGTTGAAAGATTCTTTCATAGTTTTGGCAAGATGGCATGACTCTCCCTTTCCTCTGTGTAGCAGGTTGCAGCTGTGTTTGATAGAGCTTGTCTTTATCTTAAGCAGGATCAGTGTCGGAGTTGTGTGAAAGCAAAGGCAGGCACAGCTTCACACGCACACACTTATACACACACACATACTCGCACACCGCTCCTCAGTTCTGCCAGCCTGCCGCCTCCCTGAGCAGATCGGAAATGACACCTCATTTCCATAAAGGCATTAGAAATTCATTGGATTTTCTTTCCCAGCTAATCATAGTGCGGGTGTAAAACCTTTTAGGCTTTTTAATGAACGATTTTTGACTGATTGCCTATTAATAAGGACACCTCTTGAACAGGCGCGGGCTGGGGCAGGGGTTGGGAGGTGCAGATGTGTTTGTTTTGGTGTGTGAGTGTGTGTGTGTGTGTGCATCGGCTAGGCAAAAATGCATTGGAGGAGAAGGAGGTGGAGGAGAGGAGGGGTGGGCCCTCTCGGTTGGGACATAAAGAGGAACCAGTGGCTCCCCTGGGAAATCACAGCTCGTGTCTGCATCTTAAATATCCCTGTGAAGTATCAATAAGTGGGTAATTGAATTTTGAACACAAACATGAGCGTCATGTGTATGTGTTGCTGGCAGGGAGGGGTGTAGGCTGAGCGCGCGTGTGTGTGCCTTCAAGTGTTTCTTTGCTTGTGTGTTTCATCTCCTCTGTGTCTCTCTGGTCCCCAGAGAGGAGGGCGGTGAAAGAGGATGTTAAATCCATTAAATAAAGCTTACAGCCTGTAATAGCTGAGCAGCGCGCGGCGATGGGCAGAGAGGGTCAGATAAGTCCTCTTTACTCTTAATGAAAGTGAATCGGGGCAGTCAGGGTGGGGGTCCAGGACTCCAGTTAACCCAGGTGGTCATCTGTCTTTGGAGCTAACAGGGGTCCAGCCGCTCTCAGGGAGCGTGCCATCTAGAGAGGCCGGCATGGGTGGAGGGGGGGTTACTGGGGGGTGAAGTGATGATTACTCTCATTTCATACACAGGGGAATTGTGGTGGGGGGCTGGAAGTGGGCTGTGACAATGACACCCAGATCAGTCACCGTAAATGAGGGGAGAGTAAGATGTTACACATTTAAATTCAAGCCCCCTGGGATTTAGCAAATGAAACTGGTTTGTCCAGCAGAGCAGAAAATCGTCAAGAGGTTTTGGCTGTAGTTTTTAGGCCTCTCTGTTTGATTTAGGAGAAAGGGGCAGCATTTTAAATAGCCACGGGGCATATTTAGCTGTTTCCAGATATGGGTTAATCTCCATTGTTGCAGTGTACCTTAGCAGCAGTAATCAGGCTCAAATCTCCATGCAGAGGATTACAGTGCTGATGTCGGAGCTAAGGGGGTACAGGAGTCTTCCGCAGGCTGCTCTCTTATCTATTCCACGCCGGCCTTTCTGTTACTCAGACTTCACCCTGATCATAACCAGATGAAGCTGTTTGATCTTATTGCATCTATTTATGGATAAAAATCATTCAAATTGCTCGGCCAGACAATGGATTGCAGTCAAGGATGTATGTAATTGGTAAAATGATTCTATATCCAGCATGATGTGGCCATGTTTACTGACCTGGCATGTCTTGCTGTGATGAAATCTGAAGACAGTCGGGGTCTAAATGATAATTAGAGAGTAACAAATCAACAGGGCAAGGAGAGACGGCCCACAGGATCCATAAGGTGTCATTTAGTATGGATGGTAGCCGTAACAAGATGCTGATTAACTCAGTGCAAAATTAGTAATTGACCTTTCTAATCAACTAAACAAATCTCTAAGTCCCTCTAATCAGTATTGATCTCCCACGTTGTATGACAAAGCGTGTGTGTGGGTGAGTGTGTGAATGTGTGCTTCTGAGACTTTCAAACTTCCTCTGTTATCATGCAGCTCTTCTATCAGCTGATCTTATGAAAACTCTTTTGTAAATGACCCTCACAAATAGGATATCTTGGAAGCAAAGTTTAACATTTTGATAGAAATCATACATAAATCATCACATTTTTTTGTCATGTGTAAGTGTTAAAGGGACAGTTCACCTTTTTTTTTTTAAGTGAGGTAGTATTAGTCCTTGGTAAGTGTGCAGTGGTAAGTGTATCATCCACCATCCACCATCCATCCTTTGTCACCAGGTTATACAGAAGAGTCAGCTCTACCACGCAATTTACCTTTTAAAGAAACCAAAAAACTAATGTCAGTGTAAGCATACACTTTATTTAGAAATTTTTTGCAACCTTGTGATCTAAAAGCTGGCTCATTTTAAGAATCACATGCTCCTTCACTCAAAACCATCCCTTTAAAGCTGTTGTGAGAAGGTTATGAAATAAATGAAAATTAAAACTGTTGTTTTTTACTGGACTATTGAGGACAAGTAAGTAGCTGTATGCTATGAAGTAATTAGCTGTATGCTTTTAAAACAGTTTTTTACATTCTTGTTGTACAGTATCTTTGTTAATATTCATATAGAAATAAAAGAACAAAAACACACAGCTTACACACATACACGAAAAGATTAGTTAAGAAATGAGGGGTGACATTTGTCCACAGCAGGTGTAAAAATAAAAAATAAGTTCCTTTCAGGAGCTTTAAATACATCAGCAGGACATTTTTATACCTGCGTCTTAGTTAAAGCGGTATTCACATCTCATATCTAAGTACATGCAGTTTACAGATAATTAAAATGACCAGACTAAATTTAGCTGCTTCTGTTTCAGTTACATTGCATTACTGTTATTGCCACATTAGTCAAGTTTCCATCCAAATGCATTTTTTGTAAAGACACTAAAAAACCTCTGTTGACACTTTTTTAATGGTTAGACTTGGAAAAAATAAAGGGATTTTTCTTGAATTGCGACACTTTCATGAAGAGAACGCACATAAATCTAGTTTAAGGACGTGTACCCTATACTAGCTTTAGACTAGCTTTTTGATGGTCTTTGTATTAAGTTTGGAAAAGTCCCACATTGTGACCCTCTCTTTTAACCAAACCTTTCATACAACATGATCACTTGCTGATGTTTCCTCACACTCAATCACCAACACAGAGCCCCCCCCCCTTGCCAATCACTTTCCCTCATATTTCCGTGTTGTAAAAAGAGAGCCACACATCATAAATTGAGCTGTGATTTATGTTTAATGGGGTCTTTAATGTGATGATGTGAATGATATTTCTCTCTGAGTTGGGGGAGGCTGGAGTGAACTTTAATTAATGAGGCGCTCTGTGGGGCGAAGGGTCTCTGAAGGAGTGGCACAGCCTCCACTGATCTATTTTACAGTTTGGGCTCATCATGAGATGGAGAAAACGATAACAAAAGAGGGAGAGGGGCATTATACAATAAAAATCCCAAATATGACCGTCCCTGCTGTAACTGTTCCTGATAAGAAAGTGACATCAAAGTACCTGCGGCTCCAGGGTCATCCACATGTAATTGCTTTCCCCTGCCTAATTCTGATGGCTTGATTTCAATCTAAAGCACCCTTTGCATGTCCAGGGGTGCTCTGATGAGTTTGTTTGGGTTGATTTGAAGAGACAGCAAAGTGCAAAATGAATCCTTCCCATTCCAATTAGCATCATCTTTAACCTAATGAGGGACACCTCAAGGTGACGTGGCCCCCACGCCCAGATGCACCATTATCATTCCACACAGGGCGACTCGTCTAAATTACTAACTGGCCCAGCTTTTTCATTAGCCGCTGCAGGGACGGGGGAGGCGGGGCTTCGTCACATCAGCACACGGGCAGACAGCAGCCATGCTCATCACAATCTCCCTGCAGGCACGATAAAGGAGGATGATGTTCTGCTTAGCGCCTGTTCGAAATCAATCCATCCTAAGCCGCTCCGCAGTCTTATATTTGTGCAATGTTCCATATTAGTTGGAAACTAGAGTCGCTGAAGTGATCTTTGCAACTTACAATAGCTGCTGTGGAAACAAGAGCCTGATCGTCTTATCTATAACAAAGAGTAATTACTGAACCTAGATGCTGCCTCTCCAGGGTTTCAGATGCTGCTGCAACAAAGTCCCCACAGTGATGCAAGCATTTGTCTTCGACAGAAAAGCCTCAGCAATGATAGTCTCTCAGTGAAGACCACTCTGAGAATGGGCCATCAGCAGGGACAGGTTTTTGTATCTATGGTGCCTTGTACACAGAGTTTATAGGGATCCAACCGTTTTAAAAATGTTTTATTTCATTTACATTTGTTGTTTCGTCAGGGAGTGGGGGATTTGAATGAAGCATGAAAAAAATGTGCACTTGGAAAACAAAAACCTATAATGGAAGTGTTATCTTGGTATCATTTTTGCTACATCTATTAACAAGGTTTAAAGCTCTCTGAGGAAATGTGTGAGGAACAGAGCTCTTTGACAAAAAAAAGTGTGGAAAAATACAGCATTCAATTGTAGTGCAAAACCTATAATTTTTAAGAAACGAAGCAACAGATCCCCCAAAGAGAAAGAAATGTTAAAAAGCAGGAACATAAAAGCTTTGTGGACAATTGTTGCTAGATCATCTCTTGTAGTAGCCCATAATCTGTTAGCATGGTGTCCACAAAGTCGTCTCCTATCTTTATGTGTTCTCCTAAAGCAGTATACATATTAACCTGGGTGATTTGCCTTCTCCTACTCCATTGTTTTAGTTTTAAGTATTGAAGTTTGAGAGGGAAAGAATAAAAGGCAGAAGCCTGTGTTACACAGATTGTCATTTTCTAATCCATTGAACATCTCTCTGCCCTTTTAATTTTTATCTTACAACCTTTTACGTGGTTCCTAACGGGTTTCTTTTAATAATTCCATTTGAAGGTCATTATTTGTCTCTGTTTTACCCCTTCCTTTTTCAAGTTATTTGTCATTTACATGTCCATATCCCTGAGCCACAGGTCCAGGTTAATAGAGACATTTTGTCTCATTTGCATTTCGTACACACAGTCACACTTTGATGCATGCATATAGCGTTGAGTACTTGCACCTCACTACAATGAGACAGCAATCAGGCGGATCACAGGGTAGCTAGTCTCCAGTTAATGTTGTTTTCCATGTCCTGAATGAACAGATGTTTGTATAAATTGCCTCCTTGTGTGACACTGCAGATATTAAAAACATGCTTTGCATTGCTAAACAACACTTCTGAGGGGGTTAGAGCTGCAGGCGAGGCACTGCAGGAGACTGCAGGTTTTTTCTTATTAAAAAAAAAAAAAAAACTCTCCTGATGCATTTATGACTTTGTCTTCTTGTTTTCCAGCCAGAGAAATGACCAGGGGGAAGTTTCTGAACATCTTGGAGAGGCCTAAGAAGTGACATATTCTTTTCCCTCTTCCTTTGATTTTTTTTTTTTTCCAACATTAAAAACTACAACTTTCGGACTGCAAAGTGAACTTGCCTTTACTCTGAACATGTTCAGACCTTCACAGACTTTGCACTCAGACCCAGACTCCTCAGTGCACCAGATGTCCTACTAGATAGATGCCTTCACATTTCCTGTACTCTTTTAGATGCATTCGGTCTCTGAATTTCTCTGTAGCTTGTTGATGAAATGGTCACTATTTATTATTCCTTTGATTTGCCGTTTTTTGCGGTTTGTGAGGTTGTATAATAAAGTTTTCAAACCCAAAGATGATTGGCTTGAACGATTCATTTAACGGGTTGCAGCAGCTAACTTTGGTGATGCAACAGGTCTTTAATCAGGGCAATCACTCCATTCAGTGCAGCAGCCCCGACATGAGAGTGCTTTCCCGGCTACCAGGCCATGTTTTCCGTTTAATGAGCATTGGAAGCAGGGTCCCCTACACAAAACATTGCGTAAAAATAATATTGCTCATTGTCATCGCCGTTAATGAGAGTTGACATAATTACTAGGACCATTTCTTCTCTAATTAGCACACTTCAGGCTTGTCGGAGCTAGCGGCCGGGCAAAAAGAGAATCAGACAGGCATGCCGAAAGGGAAACAAAAAGAAGTCCATCCGCCATAATTAGGTGAGACAATGGCTCGGACTGTTCTCGGCTGGAGATGTCGCTGGAGCTCTGGCCGCTCACTCCCAACAAGTTACACTTCTCCACAGGCCTCTAATAAGCCCCTCATCGTTTTTCCGATTCACACGGACAGAGGCCGCCATTGCCTCAGTGACATCACGCCCTCCCTCTCATGCGGGCTTTCATTTATACACCAGATAAATCAATGAATATTTATACAGTCTGCTGGATTTTTTTTTTTAAAAAAAAGCAATTTTCTCCTCAGTGTATGTTGTGCAGATGGAGCAACAAAAGGCAGAGAGAGCGAGTTTGGTGGGGCCTTGAACGTCCCACGACCTGGTAGTGGGAGGACCAAGAGCCAGTTCAGTTTTGGCTGGAGGCTGCCTAACAAGCATTCCCTCTTTCTCACATGTCATGTGGACTAATGAGGAATTGAAATACTCTTTATCGAGACCGAGAGTGGGGACACACTGTTGTTGACAGTTGGAAAGCTACTTCAGGAAAAAAAAAAAAAAAGTTTGTTGGGCAATTCTTTTTAATTCAGGTAAACAAAATAGCGATTATCACAGGCGACTGATTAGCCAGTTGTAGGGGAGACAGGGGATGGTTGTAACATGTTTTACATTGTCCTGTATTATGGCTACATCCCTGCCAGTGTAACAAACAAAACAGTGTGAAAATCGGGCAGAGATTCAGAGAGTTATTATTAATTTGGTTGGGCATTCCTACCTACCTTAATGCACTGGAGGCGCATGGGGGACCCATCCAAGACGGCGGATGTGCTGATACGTGAGCTCCAATAGGCAGCGTCAGGCTTTGAGGCATCTATGTATATTATGTCTATGGTTACAACCATCCCTGGTCTCCCCTACCTCATAGGCTGTACTGATAGTGACTAAGTATGTGGTCGTGAACACACCATGACCTGTTAAAATTGGCTAAGGTAAGATGTTGTCTTATCTTTGACTTTTTTATCCACCTTTTTACTTATTGTCTGATACAGGCAAAATATATATATTAAATATTTAGTCCAGTGTACTACTTTAGCTATAACGTGATTGCAAAGGTTATGTTTAAATAAGTGCAAATATAAACAACGATTTTTCCTGGTATTCAGTGAGCTCCTGGGTGTGACCCTGCCTCCGCTGGCACTGCTTGCATGTGGACACTTGTTGCTGTTGACCGATGAGCATGCAGTCTACTGGGCTGAGCATTGACGTGGTAAGCGACCTGACATCCTCAATACGCTGCACGCACTGCTGGCTACATGTCACCCGCAGCCTCCCCTCCCTACTGCCCGGTAGAGAAACGGGTGCTGCTCATCCATATGGAGAGGGAAAAAAATCCCAGTTCCTGCATCCACCCATCCATCCATCCATGCGTCCTTTCGCAGCGCGCTGTCGTGACCTCACATAGCCTCTGTGCCCCGACAAACGTCAATCCGATGTGCCCTGAGTCCTTAAATTAGCTGTCAATTAGTGCAAATTAATCAACTGCTCGCCTAATTAAGCAATGACGACGGGCAGCTACCAAACACGCCATTGTGGAGGAGCCATGAGAAAGCTGCGGGGCCTACAAACTCTCTCTGTACAGACCAGAGAGGAAAGGGGAGGGAAGGGGGGTCAAGCAGAGAGGGCGGGAGGGGCATAGCATCACCTCACGCCTTGCGAGGTGCTTTGGGAAAGCAGGAGCTCCGGCTGTGCGCGAGTTTTTCCCCTGACTCGGCTCTACATGTGTGCTGTCATCGAGTTTTTTTTTATAGTCTGGTTCAAGGATGCGGCTCGATAACACGACTGAACCGTCTAGCTTCAATCTGAAGCCATTCAGTGGCTTTTCGTTTGATCTGCACATTAGAGAGAGAGACAGTCTTTTTTTCTTTTTCTTCTCAAGGCCAAATCATAAGAAAAGTTGTCTGGTATGGTAGCCGAGAACCGCCACTGCTGCAAATGAAAAAGAATGAAAAAAAAAAGAAGCCACAATGGAGGTTATCGATGCCACAAAAAAAAAAAAAAAGAAAAGGAAAAAGAAACTGAAGCCCGCTGCAAAAAAAGAAACACTGCAGATATATATATATATATATATATATATATATATATATATATATATATATATAAACATAATTAAAGTTAAAGACACAATAAAAAGTGGTGATGCAAAAAAAATAAAAATAAATAAATAAATAGTTACTCACTGCGAAAATAACAGGATGCAAATAAGTAAAAGTCACAACAGAAGTGAGCTGCCGGGGACCAATAATGGTGATTGCATAGGTAACTTCCGGTATGACTTCTATTTTTTTATTTATTTATTTATTTTTTATTTGCAGCAGTGGCGGTTCTCAGCCACCGTAGTCTGGGGGTCTACAGAAAAAAAGCAGGTCTAAGTGGCAGGGAATAACTTCCTGTGAGGCTGAAAACTCAAACAGAACCAAATACAATATCCTCCAGCACCAACCACAGCTGGGAGATAAATGCACCAGAAAGCAGGAGAAAATACTTATAATTATACCTGAAAAATAAATCTGCTTGAGCCATTTAGTGCTTTTTGTTTCATGTGACCATCCTATCAGGAAAAGTTATGTATTATTGGATGCATTTTAAGCATTTGCAGTCACGTCAGCATAATTTGTTATACATCATACTGGGTGTTTTTCTTAAGGCTGCATATCAGGATTGGACCTGCTGCAGAAATACACCTGTTTGAAGGTCACAGTGATGCCTTCGTTACTGTCATTGTCTTTATGGATTCATTGCTGCTGGATATACAATTTTGACATAATCCCTTTGAGTGCAAAAAGGTAGGACAGGAGGTGTAAAAAGCAGAGAAAGGGTGGTGGGTGAGAGGATGAAGATGGTGCTATGGGGGGAGGGTGCAAATAAACAAAATTTCCCTAACAGCTGTTTCCTTTTTTTTAATCTGCAGCCGTCAGATCCTGCAGCTCTTTGATGGGCAAACCCAATCTACACGAATGACTGAACTAAATCTTCCCTTAATCTTGAGCCTTATTAGGCAGCCTCTCCTTTGCATGCAAATCAGAAAGCAGCCATTTTTTGAGGAGATTGATTATTAAAAGCTACACACGGTGGAAATAAACAAATAATTTTTTTAAAATGAAGGCAGTATGGATTTTAGCAGGAGTGATGATGGAGTGAGAGGGTCAGGAACTCGCCTAATGGGTCATCCTACACGGCTTCAGTGCTAATAAATGACTCCATCCTCACTGGCTGATTTGTCATTTGCATATTCTGATAACATTGATTTCTTCATTAATAGAATTTCCTCTAAATAGCCCCTAATTACTTTCAACTGGCCAGACACTAATTGCAGCAGCAATATTTTCTCCCTCTTAATCAGGAGCTACTTTCACACATGTGATATTAAATATGACTTCAAGCATATTAAGACTTTTCAGACTGGGGTGGCCTGGCAGGGACACTTAAATATGCAGAAATAACGTTTTTTTATCCTATCTTTCTCCACTTATAATATCTACTTGACTACTAACATTTAAATATCATGCAAATGTGTACACATTATTTCACTTTAATATGCAACAGAACAGAGTGGACACCATGAACACCCCTTTGGACACACCCCTGACTTAAAGATTCAGTCACTCTAGCTCATTATGCACCATACACCGTCCAGATGCATGCACTTATTATCCATGTGCACAGTGTTTTCTTACTATTTCACCCTGTGGATGCACTGCATTATTGTTCTGCTTTTAAATTTCTAAATTATTTTATTTGATCTTTATGTGATTACAAAAAGAAATTGAGTGGAGCGTGGGTCAAGCACTAAACTTGCATTACTTACTGGGGCCCTAAAAGTATTTGAATTTTTGTAATAGTGAATTGGTGACAGTATATATAAATCTATCTGTATATATCTATTTATGTGTATATATATATATATATATATATATATATATAGGTACATATATATATATATATAGGTACATATATTGAGAGAGAGAGTATACCATTAGCCATAAAGACACACAATATCTTCCTTATACTAAAACTCAAAAATAAATTGGAAAATTACTTAATCTTTGATAAGAATAAAATAGATTAGATTAATTGAAACAACCACATGACCTAAAACTCTACTCAAAATTTTTTTCATCTATGACTTTTTGAAATAAGCAAATTGACATTTATAAAACGGGATTTATATTTGAATCCAATTATAAATGTAAAAATCCCCACATGACTGGGCTACCATTCTAAGCCCATAATTTCGTTCTGCAGCCATAATTAGCAATTATGAAAAATGCCCCTATTGATCAATTCAGATTGCAATATTATTCTTGTAGCCTAATCTTTATTGTTATTTTTTTTCTTGAACATTTTGACGGGGGTGTTTTGTGGGTTAACTAACTATTAGTCTGTAATTTGTGTCCCATATTCTGTCTGTTTTCCTGTGTGATGATATAATCTGCTCTGCAGCCTGTGCTTGTGTCTGCTCACGGTGCTGATGTGGGATCAGCTCTGCCAGCGCACGGCTCCATGTCGTCCAGCTGTCGTTTTTTGGGAGGCTCTTTGATTTGCGTGTGATGAGTCTCCTGTAGCATCTGGAGATCAATTATGTGTGTGTGTGCGTGGGTGAATATGTGTGTGTGTTTGGACGAAATGCAATACACAGACTTGAGAATTATTCTTGGGGTGTTTTTTTTTGTAACCTGTAGAATATTAAAGCTGTGAAATCAAAGACTGAAATTGCCCAAACCTCTTAAGAAAAAATGGATCACACATTATTTTTATTTTTTGTTTCCTTTACGCGCGGTGCTCATGTGTAATGTTGCACCCACGCTGCCCTATCTTGTCACCTTTTTTAATATAATCCAAGGATCTTTGGTGTCGTTTTCTCTCCCTCTTTCTTTTTGCGCCCTGTAGCCTTGAAGCCATTTCGTTCTTTACTATCTTTCTGTATCCCAAATCCCCTCCGTGTTCATCCTGTGCAAAATGCAGATATGAATCGGAGAGGGCGTATAATGCATCCATGATCCACAGGAATCCTGAATCCTTGCAGCTGATTGGCTGCTGGCTGCTGCCTCTTGTTGGGATGGACCTGTTGGATAAAAGGACCATTTTCTAAAGGACTCTGGTGTGTTACAGAGGATCATGCACTGGGGACCATCGTGTAAGACGGTTTAATAAGAAAAAAAAAGGCCTTTCTTAAAACATAGCAGACAGCATGACTGGAAAACAAGGCGCCGTGCTGTCGGAAAGTTTGAATCTGTCGGAGAAAACCTCTCTGGGAGCGAATGGAGGGACACACAGCCACCAGTCGAAGAACAGCGCGCCTCATCCACCGCCCAGGTGCACTGGTTTCGGCATCCAGGAGATCTTGGGGCTAAATAAAGAGCCCTCTGCGGCCCCAAGGAGTCCCCTCGGCTCGCTGCCTGCCGGGGCGCACCTGATCGCGGCCAGGTCTCTGCTGGGCCCCGCCGGCATGGGAATGGGTGTGGGGATGGGATTAATCGGTCCTGGTGGGATTCCGTCGTTTTACAGCCAGCCAGCTTTTCTGGAGACGGTGCTGCAGGACGCACAAGATGTTCACCTGCAGCCCCACAGCAGGTCCGTGGGCCCACTGGAGACCAGCCAGTCCGCCAGCTCAGGTCAGATATACAACACGAACAAGCTAGACCTGCTGACGGCAGGATTAACAAGTGTTTTTATTATTATTATTATTATTATTATTATTATTATTATTATTATTATTATTACTATCTATGAGACTGAGCCTTTGTCTGGTATGTGGAATTAAATAGGCTAATTATATAATTGTTCAAATGTAGGCCTACGTGTCCACTAAAAACGACAGTGTGTGATTTATAATCTATTATTATAATCTCTTTTATAATGATGATGATGATGATGTTTCTAAGCTTTCCTCTTGTTTGAATCTAGACTCTGAGGATTTATCGTCAAATGAACGAAAATTGTCAAAATCTTCAGTCAGCCAGAGCAAGAAACGAAAGAAGAGACGACACCGGTAAGAATTTCTTTTGGCTTATTTCTTTTGGCTCTCATGGTTACTTCTCTGGTTTACCACTCAGACTTTTTTTTATTCCTTTAATGGAAAGGCAACAATATTTTGTAAGTACATTTAAAATATTGGGGAGTTATTGTCCCCCCCCCCCCCCCCTTTTTTTTTTTTCTAAGTGATTAAGAAAATTGGCTGCTCATAACCTGGAAAAGTATGTGTATATATATATGTATATATATATATATATATATATATATATATATATATATATATATACATATACATATGTATATAAAATTGCTGTAGTCTGACCATTATAAAAGTGTCATAACACCTTTTTTTCAGATTAGTTTCCAATGTTACAATGTTAACACAAAACTTATAAAGTGAATCTGTGCAGCTTTAGCTGAGTCTCGTATTTAACTGGAGTGTTTGGATTATCTAAAGGCCAACATATGCTGCATTAACTAAATGCTAAATGTATATTTCCACAGGACCATATTCACGTCGTACCAGCTCGAGGAGCTGGAGAAGGCCTTCAACGAGGCGCATTACCCGGATGTTTACGCCCGAGAGATGTTGGCCATGAAGACAGAGCTGCCTGAAGACAGGATACAGGTGAAAATAAACTCTCACTTCACACTTTTTTAAGATGATAATATTCATTCGTTGTAATTCAATCGAAAATGTTGAGGTTTTGCTGTTGTAGCTCCCTCCTCTTTAGCACACTCTCCTAGTCTATTACGGTTCAATTATCCCTCAGTCAGTCTCTGTCATTGAAGTGTTTCATATTTTGAAAGTTCATCATTGTTTCGAGTAAAAATGTAAACATTTCAAATGTTTTTTTTTAATGTACTGCAATATTGTTATTGTCAAAATTATTAGCCTACATTCATAAAGGTGTCAATGTTACAATATATTACTTTTAGCAAATATTTAAACATGAATATTTGAAGGAAATAAAATACGCCAGCTGTGGTAGTCCTTTTAAAAGTACGGATGGTGCGATTATCATTTAAAAAAAAATGATGTTTAGAAGAAAGAATGAAAGAAAGAAAGAAAGAAAGAAAGAAAGAAAGAGAGAAGGAAGGAAAGAGAGAAATGTGCGATTTTTCTAACATTTCCAGCTTTTTTCCCGAGTTCAACCACAATCTAATCCTGTGAAATCACCATCTTAAAACATTATATTCTCGCTTTTTAAAACACCCCAAACGAAAAGACTTTTCCATGTTAAAATTAACTCCAAGAATAATAACCGGATTTACTTTATTTAATCATAAGCCTACTTACTTTGATGAGCATTATTTTAGAAAGCAGTGACAGCTTGTAGGATACTGACACATTAAAAGTGAACTAAACTCCTCTTCTAGCTTCACCTCCTCCTCTCTGCGCCTCCTCCCTTCTGCCTCCTTCGCAGATCATCTCTCATCAGGTTCAGTTGGATGTGAAACAATTTGTTCTCGTAAAGGAGCTCTAACGACCTAATCAAGCTATCAAGGCGGAAGGAGATTGCGGTGTGACCTGGCCCATCCATCTGCCAGGCCGCCTTTTAATCTCTTTCTCATTACGCGCTGCAACAGAATAAATAATAAAAAAGAAATAAATAAATAAGCTCCCATCCTAAATAAAATTAACACCCAATTTTCTCATTGAGTGTAATTAGTTAAATCAGACTGGCTCGTGAGGCGCCTGCTGCTGCTGCTGGAGACACGCGGGGAGTTCAAATGAAATAACTACATTGAATTTATTAGCACGGGTCAATAGCGCGGCTCCCCCGAGTCCCGGTAGTTTAATTTCCCGTGATATTTGCCCGCCTGGCCGCCATCGATTGGGCCTGAAATTAACTTATTTTTCAATCAGCCTGCGCGTGCCCCAGGGTCACTGCTCCTCCTGCTTCCACACTGGCGCTCTTTTGAGGGCCACAGAAGCAATTTCTCATGAAAAAAATATCGTGTATGAAATAAGGGTTATCATCAGAATTACCGAGAAGAAAAAAAAATGGTTTGATCGTTTTCAATTTAATATCTGTCCCCTCTTTCGAGACCTCCCCCCTCCTCTTCCTCCTCCTCCTCCTCCTCCTCCTCACAGAGCCATCAGAGGAGTCTAAGCAGAGTGTTTAACCTGCCTGTGTTGTTGCTGAACAATCAATGAGTCCTCTCTCTGAGCTGACACACAGCCTGCAGGCCTGCACGGTACTGCAAAGTAACAGAGCGTCCGTGAATGCAGCACAGGTGGAGATGAGCTCTGACAGGATGCTCAGGTCTCCCACACCTGTAGCCTGCTGGGTGTTTTGGGAAATCGATGGACATAATCCAGACACAGGGGTAGTTGTCTTCGGAGTGCTTTAGGTTACACTTAGTATTTCCAATAAGGTCATCTTCAGAATAAAACCATAGAGGTTATTTTTATGCCACTCTACCTATTTCTTATGTATACTAATAAATCATTTCATAGTCATAGTAATAATTTTTGTTCAGTCTGTAGTTGAAGCATGCAACCCACACGTATGCAAATATGCACAAACATGCACAGACTGAATGCGACTAACATGCCTTAATTTATTGGCGGGTGTCAAAGTTAGGAGGCTGTACACAGAAGAGCAGTCAGAGGTTCGCCACCTTGCTCATAGGCTCCTCGACACTGGCTTGAATGTTAAGTTGCACCTCTTAAGCTATGCCAGTCCAGTTTCCAGACTTACTCAGACTTGAACAGACTTAGTTAGTGTTGGTTGTCGGATTGTATAACATCCCCCTTGATTGTTTTAATTACCTTAATTATGCTGTCATTAAAAATAAGAGGGTCACGTTTTCTCAAAATGAGCAGTTTTCTTTGTTGTTGTGAATGATCTGAGTATTGTTCTTCGCTTTTTTTATGACAGTTTGCAAGGTGTGCAAATAAAGTGGACCAATTAGACCCTATATGAGCACTCATGGCTAAACAGCCTGAAGAGTTAATAGTAAACCTACTATCCAAAATTGTAATCTTATCAGAGGCTAAAAGATGTATAAAGATTCAGTAGAAATCATTTATAGAGTCATACTCTCTTGAAAAAAAGGAAATTCCAAGATGCACTTTGTTGTTTACGACTGTCATTTACTTTACGCCTCCTCTGGCATCACAGCTGACACTAAAGTAACTCCACCGTCCTCTAATGATTGGGCTTTAACTTGACATCCAGATTTTTTTATCTGTTCAAATTAATCATCAATCATCAAAATGACTTAAGAAGATAACCAGATTTCAGTAGCCAAAATCTTGTTCAAAAAAAGGACAGGCCAGGCTGGACCTTTTGAGGGTTATCAACCCTCTTTGGTGTCTCTCTACTACAGGTGTGGTTTCAGAACCGCAGAGCCAAGTGGAGGAAGAGGGAGAAGTGTTGGGGCCGCAGCACCGTGATGGCTGAGTACGGCCTGTACGGAGCCATGGTGAGACACTCCATCCCGCTACCAGAGTCCATCCTCAAGTCTGCAAAAGACGGCATCATGGAGTCCTGCGCACCTTGGCTGCTTGGTAAGGCTGCTGTATTCACATTTATACTAACATTCAGTATCATTGAGTCATTTAGTTAATTTACTGATTAATTCAACACATGAATAAATATTCCTTTGCAAAAGATGGACTGATATGCAGACCACAAAGTCTTCTTTACACAGTTTAAGATTTTAAAATCAAAACATTGAGTACATGGTATAATTCCATCCTCTACCCTGGCCATGCATCTCCATTCTCCATTCATACATTATTTTCTAAACCGGAACTATTTTTGCTTGCTATTTTCAGTCCAAGATGGCTTACCAATCAACAGACGCTATTCTAAATCTGAATACCCGCAACTCTTTGCAGGGATGCACAAAAAGTCCACGGAGGGAGCTGCTACCCCACCCACAGGAAAGTGCGACACTCCCCAGCAGCAGCAGCAGCAGCAGCAGCAGCCGAGCTCTCAGAGGGCGGAGGAGGCTGAGGCGGAGGAAAAGAGGTCAGAGGTCAAGTCCACCATGTCTAAAGAGGAACTGAGGGAGAACAGCATCGCTGCACTCAGGGCCAAAGCGCAGGAGCACAGTGCCAAAGTGCTGGGGACAGTTTGTCAGGAGAGACTGATGGAGGGGAAACAGGAGAGACAGACAGCTGAGGAGAAAAGCTGTGATCCTCTGAGTCCTGCAGAGGAGGAGAGGAGTCCATAGAGACTGTCTGAGGTTTTTGTTCCTTATTGACGTTTCCAAACTGGCCTGCATCTGGACTTCCTTAGGAAGAAACTCATCTGGCCCCAACTGGCTCTGCACATGAGATGCAAAAGCACTTTTTTTGATTTATTTCCAAACTTAAAAGTCATTGTCACTTACAAACAGTAAACAATCTTACTGAGTGAGACTTCAACTGTTAATATCTGTAAAAAGATCCCATGATTATATGTAGAGCTATTTGAGCAAAAGTTTATCAAGTATAACAGTTGTAGCAGACTTGAAGGACAACCAATGAGAAGTCTGAAGCTATTATTTCATTCTTGGTATGTATTTGTTTATAATGTTGCTTGTACAGCTTCTAAATAGTGACATGTGAGACCTGAACCATCCCACCGACAGTACTCTTTTCAGAGAAAGAAAGTATTTGTTGTCCTATATTGCGCTGTAAATACTTGATATATTAATCTCTCGCACCAAGGCACAATTTGAAACATGTTTTTCTTGTAGTCTTTAAAATGCTTGTCTTTTCATTCCCAAAATATGTACAATAGAAAGCATAAAATACAACTTACCTTTTATTAAATGTGGCTTTTTGGTGTCTATTTATTCTGCTGTCTAAATCTGTAGAAAAATTGGTTTTATTTTGAAGGCCTTCCTGTTGCTCAAATGGTGTTAAGTTGCCCTCATTGTTGGAGCAGCTACTTGTTGTCACTTGCTGCTCTGCTGACCGGGCTCATTAGGACAGAGTCCACAGCTGCATGCTTGGGTTAGTCCTTATAATCCGTCGCAGTTGAGAGCCTTCAATTTCAGATGAAACGTGGAGTCTGGTGCTTTCGAGACCGGAGAGGGAGAAAAAAAAAGTCTGTGCGCCCTCCATGTAGGATAACCTCGGTCTGATTCTAAATCTCTTTAAAAGATGCTACCACCAGCAGATTTTCAAGCTGTTTCATCCTCTTATTGAAATACTTAGCCGAACTCTAGCAGCTTTATTTGATGGCAATCTTGGTTTTCCACACTCTGAATCAAGCCACTTTAACTTCGCTTTAAAACACCCGCATGTGTCTGCATTAGCCGTAATCCATATCACATTTTACTCCTCATCCTCAGTTAGCTGATTGGGCTTCCTAATGAGTTCTACTCCAATTAAACAGAGAGCAATTCCAAAGGGCAAGGGACGACTATTATCAGTATGCTGCTGTGTGTCTGGGCACTGAATGGCTCTCAGATTGGAACTATAATGTCACGAGATGGGGAAAAGGTTGCTAATTAATTTGTTGACAGAGATAAGGATACACACTATAATTAATGATGGCTGGGAAATGGACTGCAGTGTGACAGAGTAATAAGAAAACCTGATGAAATGAACACGGGAATAGTTCAGGGATGGGGTGGTAACTTTGAGATGAGAAGAGTACATTTGTGATGGAGCCACTTCCTGTAACATCTAAGATCTACTTTTTCTACATTCAAAGCATCATGTCAGTGACCATGCAAGCTTATCCATCAAATACAATAAAGTTTTGTCATTTAATAACATTAAATTAGCTAAAGCGCAGTCTCCCCGAGACACTGGGCACACTCTGGTTAACGGCTATTCTGATAATTTTGCATTTAGCACTTCAATCTTTTTAGGTAATCAAATAAAAGAGTGATACACCATGCTATTAACATGTTTTATGGGCTGACAATTTTTTATTTTATTATCAGTGTGTAAGAAAAACTATCTCAACAAGATGGCAGGAGTTGCAATGAAATTTTGACATTTATTTTTTAGACCCTACGGAGTCAAAATATTTTGATTTCCTTTCTAACAGCTACACAAAAGAATCAGGCTGCTGTCAATGTCATTATTGTATAATGATAACATATGTGCAATGAAATGACTATCAATGTATCTGTTCTTTAGTTCATGCAAATTGTCTGTTTTCAAAATGCAAAAGTCTCCTTAGTGATGATCAAAACCGAGGAAAAGCTAAAAATCGACACAGAATGATATCTACAAACATAACACAGCTCCCCCGACTACAAATAAAAACAACACAAACAATTAGTAACGACTGCATATTTGAAATAACAAGCTACCAGCATCAGGTCGATTTTGGGGCATAAAAGATAATAAACAGAGACAAAACAAGTCAACTCCTGCACACATTTTCTGCTTGGACTGCTTATTTGTTTAGTGATTGTTGACATGTCGGGTTCAGATTCCTTCATGCATACAGTAAAAATGGGTTTTTGTTCATGAGCTTACACATTGATATGGAAGAATTCATCATCCCACAAATCATAGTCACCCAAAATAATATTTCTGCATTAAAAAGTGAAATCTGAGGGAAATATTTTTTCAATAACATAATCAACATCTTTGCATAGTTAGTATGTAATTTTACGAGACTAAAAAGTTGCATGATGCAATTCATAAAAAGAGCAGATCACATCTTTACCACTCGTTTTTTTTGGTATATGCTCTTCTGGATGAAATCTAGATCTGCTTAATTAAAACTTTTTTTAATGGTCAAGACTAGACTTTCTTTTAGTCAATTTCACTCACAGAATTACCCCAGTTAAAGTTTCTGGAGGAGTAGAGACTGTGCTATCCAACGAGACACAAATATGAAAACATTGAATACAGACTTACCTGCGATCATAGCATTGATGTGTTGACCTTTGCTGCTCAGTTGCTTTGACTGGTTGGTTTATTTCATTGCTAATATGAATGAATGTTTTGCCTACATGACAGTGTGTCGCATCAGTGAAATCATAAGAGACAAATAATGGTGAAATAAAAGACATTTGTTGTAATTAGCTGACTTTACTTTGGAACTTTGTTGCAGCTTAAGAAATGTGAATGCTAAATGCTAATGCTACCATTTTGAATGATAATGTATGACTGACTGGACAAAGTGTTAGCATAGCAGGTGGTCAATGAGGACAGTAATAAGGTTTTGAGGCTCAGTCTCATCAATACTGGTAAATGCATCTGCCTCTGCTACAGCTAACTCTTACCAGTCCTTTGCGCCTGTTTCCGTACTAAAATACGGAAGCCCTTGGGAGACATCCATAAACCTGTCAGTCCCCCTATAATACCAAGTTTAGATCAGATCTTTGCTCAAAATTTCTTTTTTTCTATGAAAAGCTAGTTTAAAAGATTATTGGAGCCTGACTTTATAAAAAATAAATAAATAAATAAACAAAAATAATGAGATAATATGTTTGTAAATTTATGAGAATGAACTTGTAACATCATGAGAATGAAGTCCCAAATTTATTCAAAAAAACAAGTCGTAATTCAGGCTGTGGCTGGTCCTCATGCTACTTCGAAGGTCCAGATGAGAGGAGCAGCGAGTGGCCACCTGAACTCAAATGAGGAAGACGAAGCTATGAAATAATACTTTATACTTTTTTTTTTGTAATATTAGGACTTTATGTCATAATACCACAACTTTGTTTTTTATAACTTCAATCCACTCACACTGGAGTCATGACTTTGTCTCATAAATTTATGACTGTATTTTCAAAGTCTTATCTTTTTTCCTTCCTTTGCAGTCCAGCTTGTTGTGGCTTCAGCTGTTAATGCATTTCTTATGCATTTGATAAGTTCATTCATAATGAATAAGAAATGAATTTGCTTGTGTTGCCATTGCATACTTTTTATTTGACCATACAATATAAACTGAGGCTCATTTTCAGCATTGATATTATATTTCTTATGTGTTAAGAATGTTATTGTATTGAATGCGTGGCCGTAAAACTGATAAAATACCCACCAGCTTCTATCACTTGCTCTGTTCAAGGTCAATTTAAGCAACTTTTGGCGTGCTTACCAGACTTGCCGCCCCAACTTGGTGAGTTTTGAAACTCATACTTGCAAAAGGTTTTCAAGCAACCATATTTCTAAAAGTTTATACAAGCCCACACAAGCTTGAACCATTTGGTTCCAAACTTCAAAATAAGACTTATTAGATTTTGTGCAATGAATACCACAAGAAATGCATTTATCACATCGCTTTTATAAGATCAATCCTCCCTGTGCCCAATAACTTCAATACAGCTCGACTGAAATGGTTTGCAATAGAGTGAGCGCTCACCTCCATAGACCCTCAACCCAATTCAGTTATTGAGGCCAAGACATACAGGGTGAGGATTATTCCTCTAAAGTGCACAGCTATTTAATCCTCTGAGAGTGGAATGGGAGGATATGATAGAGCAGATTTGCTGAAGATCAAGCTGTTTACATTGGATATGAGGAGGTAATTCACAGGATCCCTGATGGACAGTCTGCTTGTTGAAGACCATCATAAGATCATCTCCATCCATGCAAAGTGAGATCAGAGGGAGGTTTATGGAAAGATTTGGTCTAATGCAATATTAACATTCAATTTTCTTTTGATAGGGGTAAGAGCAATAGGATTTCAGTGCTCAGATTAAGTGCATGTAGATCATTTTGGGAGGGCTCTGAGCTTTGGTTGCATGCTGAGTAAAGATGAAGCCTAGACTGTATAAAACAGAATGAGGTAGAAAGTGTAGTTAAGAGAAGTGAAGACATAGGAACTTTTATGTTGTTCTGCCCCCTGCTGCTGGGAGTGAAAAGTACAACTAACCATCACATCTCAGTTAAACACAGAGCCCATGACCCTGTTTTGAAACAGTGTAGCTATATTACCGTTAAGATCATTTAAAAGATTACTGCATAAAAACAATAAATCAGTGTAATGTGTTAAATTGTTTCTCAATAACATATTTTACTCAAAGGAACATCGGCAGCATGGCTGGTTAAGAGACAAAATGAATATATTTGACAAAAACAATCACACGCAGCCTTTTAAAAACTGCCTTAATGCTTTTAAATCAAACCACAAAGGCATGTATATGTATCTGTGAAACAATAGTAATATTTGCCCTGTCCGATGGCAAATAATGTGACAGTACCAAGTGTTTATCTGTTATCCATCTCATTCTTTCTCATCTTTATCACATCAGGTAAATATCATACCTGCTTCATCAGGGGAGATGGTTTATACCGAGCAGTCCTGTTTGTTCTGTAAAAAAAAAAAGATATGTTTTTGTGGTCAAAAGAAAGATCAGTAACAAATCATTTGTAAAAGCTTTAACTGACATTTAAAGGGGGGGCAACTTTCAAAAATTGGAAACATCAAATTTCACTGCTCACTTGAAAATCAGACACAAAAACTTCCAAAGCAATCGTGCAAAAAGCACTGGTACCTAAATCAGCAGTCAGCTTATTGTGATTTCAATATTGGTTTGAGTATCCATCCTGTTTTTCTCAAGCCCATTTACTGTATTTTCTTTTACATAGAAATTTCAACTTTATCTCATCATGTGTCCACAACAAAAAGAGAGGAAACAGCACACAAAGTTGTTAGATAAATGTAAAATATAGACTATGTGATGTGGCTCAAAGCGTTAGTGAAAGTTAGTCAATACATTTTCCATAGGGTCAAAAAAACTGAATGGCACTTTTCCTTAAAGCTCCTGTTAGAAATTTTAGGTTGTTTCAATTTTGGCGCTCCCTGTACACAAATTATCTTTACTGCATTTGTTCCG